CATCAGAAAAAATACAGCAGACCAATTGTCTAAAGACCAATGGCTTCGTTCTCGAGCAAATGCGAGCCCTTGCAACTCCGTGTGTTCTGGTCAATTCTGGTCCTCTTACCATCAGTCCATATTGATTTAATTTTTTTCGAGCAGTCCGGTTCAGAAATTTGGACACCTCGATCTTCCTGGAGCCGACGAATCGCTTGAACAACAGTAATGTGCCGCTATCGCAAAATTCTCAAAGTCAAAAAACGGTCATCCTGTGGTTCTCTTTCCCTAGGGCTTCCAGTACCGGGCCTTCTACGGTAGGACCCAGTTTCTTGAAAACGTCTAATGGCGTCTCGCAGAGTTTCGTAGAGAACTCCGATGCCACATCCGCAACCTGATGGAACGTCCATCATCAATAAGTGCCACACCATGCACAACATCCTCAGCACTAAGCGACATTTTTAAGTTTAAAATTATCCTTGTTTTGGATTAAGGATTACGTGTGTTTACCTCTAAACAAATATTTATCATAAAAAGAAAGAGACAAATTAAGGACAGAATTTTCTTTTATCGAGAAAATGAAAAAAAATAAATAAATTGGGTGGAATTTTTTGCTTGTCAGTGTGTAAGGAGCAAGACTTCCAAATGAAAGAAGGCACATCATCAGGACCAGATATTCCATTGCGCTTAATTTTTTGAATTTGAAAGTGAAAATCCCCAGGAACATTGAGAGGGTTTATAACGATCGGACACAAGAGGTGAGAAATTGCTCAAAAATTCACTACCAAATTGTTCGGCGCTGTGAACATCACTATCATAAACACTATCAACCGTTCATTTATGATATCATTTCACCTGTTTCATCAAGTTTACAAACGGCCAACTCGAAAATTATTCCGAGAAAAACAAATTTGCGTTATGTAACTAACCGTGCGGTTATTTATTCATATAGCGACTACGGTCCGGAACGCAATAATTTGCCGTCGATTTATTTTTATACGGAACGTTTTACTGCGGAATGGTTAAAAAAAAAATCATTATCCTCCCTCTTGACCTCCATGCCCGTCTCCCGATATCCGCCTACAATCCGCGAAACGAGAAGAACTCGGACCGCAAGGTCGTCCAGTATCATCTTCAAATCTTGGTTGAAAACAAGAAAAGAAAACCAGAAAAAAACCAAGCGGAATAAATTCAGAATAATAAATGGTTGTATTAAAAATCACCCATTTTCCCTCCTCAGTTCAAAAAATTATATATGATTGAAAAATAATATCATATAATGACGCATCAAAAAGGATATTGTCTTTATTTAAAGAATGAAGATGGTATTTCTTTCCTTTCCGTCCTGCGGATAAAAGGCGCGAGGGGCAGTTCGCCGACAGCTATAATAGCATTAAAATGCTCCTTTTGTAGAAACGTGTTATTTCTTTTTACCAAACCATAAAAAAAAGAAAGAGAGAGAGAGAGAGAGAGAGAGAGTGAGAGAGATATTTAGTAGATAAGTTCACCAGTTTGATTCTCATCCTGTTTTTCGCGTTTGGTATTTGTTTTGTTTGTATTCACGTGGATTCCGGTTTCATGCCATCACCGAAGATTAAAATGGCGTATCAAGAGGTATTGATCGTACTCGTGCTTTTCCCAACGAGCTGTACATCCTTAACAATTATATAACCGGAGAAGATAATTATTTTGTTTTTAGAAATACAGCTTTGATCATCGTGACCAGCCCAAAAAATGTTAATAGTGGTAAGCACGAGGATTTTTTGTTAAACGGATTCAGCGGCTAACAAAAACAATAACACAGACAAGTGGAAATGGGCTGAATAAGAATATACCTAAGCGTGTTAGTTAAAAATAAATTAATTAATGTAATTAACGGCTTTTCAAATATTGGGATGTATCATTTTTCGATTTATCTGCAAAAATTATGACTTGCCTCATTCAAATATATTTTTCCGGAACTATACATGATATCCGTTTGATTCTTCTTTTTTATTTTAGTCATTATTTATTACCGATGTTCAATAATTTTATCTTGAAAAAAACAATTGGTTACAGAATTTTTAAATTTTTCAGATCGTCTATGAAAGTTATTTCAAATCATTTCTTTTTGCACTTCCATTTTGTTTTAATATTTTGATTAAATTGATCACAAAAACTATCGATTAGAAAACTTTTGACATGATTAAATTTCGTGGAAAATGATGAACACACATTTTTTTGTTGTTTTGATATTTTCATGTATTTGATTAAAAAAATAGCTGATAGAAAAATTTTGTGTAAAAAATGAACGAGTACTCTTTTCTTAAGTTGTTTTAATATTTTAATGAAATTTGATTTAAAAAATATCAAACAGAACACGTTTTCACTAATATGGAAAAAATGTTGAACTTGTACAAGTTTTTTCTCGAGTTGTTTTAATTTTTGAAGAAATTTGATTAAAAAAACTGGAATAGAAAAATTTTGGATAAAAAATGTCAAACGTACAATTTTTTGTTGTTTTAGTATTTTGATTTAAAAAATATCGAACAGAAAATGTTTTCACTAAGACTGGCACTCTCAACACAACACGCAAGAATGGCACAATTACACAGAAGACAAACAGTTTGAGCCCTGAAAATGATCTCACTAAAGATCGAAACGTTGGCACGATAAAGAAAATGTTTTTCTAACACCTACATCACACCAGACCGCATCTCACGATTTATCGAATAGAAAAATTTTGGGTAAAAAATGTTAAACGTACAATTTTTTGTTGTTTTGGTATTTTGATTTAAAAAATAGCTAACAGAAATTTTTTTCACAAATGTGGAAAAATATTGAACTTGTACAAGTTTTTTCTCAGTTGTTTTAATATTTTGGTTAAAAAACTATCGAATAGAAAAGTTTTGAGTCCTGTTATCATTTTTTGAGAAGTTCTCTTGTCATCTTTTATTTCCAAATTAACCTTTTTAAATTCAAATAAAACCTTTTTAAGTTCAAATTAACCCTTTTTAACTTTAGATCTTTTAATTCCAAATTAACTTTTTTAATTTCAAATTAATCATTTTTAACGTCAGATTAACGAACTTGTGTTACTTCTTGGGTCAAAAATTAATTGTATATAAAAACATAAAATATATTTTATAGAGGATTTTCTAAAATATAACTCATACAATATTTATATCAAAATGCCCAGGGAAGTGCAATTGTTTTTTTTTAATTTTCAGGTCTCTCCTTTATTACGATAGGTCAGATTGTTTTCTCCCTCTTTAAATAGATTATATGTGTGAGAAAATGCGATTTCAGTTTTGTGTGGAACAAACATGAACACGTGAAAACGTGAACGAGTGTGAAAAAAGAATTGGACTGCTAAATATTTCCACGTTATAACGACGATAGAAGTGTTGTACATGGTAAACGTACAATTTACGAATGGTTCAATAAGCCTATAAATAATGGGACATTTTTACCCATCATCGAGAAAATGACGTTGTAGACCTCAATGTGCACATGTTCCTAATTCGGGGGTTTTAATTAACGAGGGACATCTCCGAAAATAAAGTGCTGACATGTACACACTAAACTGTTTGTGCGTGATAATCTTTGAATCTTCGGCCGAATGAGTTTGTGCGTGAAAATAGCAATGGCCAAATTCTGAACACTTCTTCCACCCTCGGATGAACGTACAAACTGAATCTTTATTACATTCTCCTTAAAGGAGTCTACCACTAGGATTAATTTTATTAAATGCCAGGCCCTCCAGAACGTTCATAATATCCACCCTCACAAACGAGAAGCAGGGTTCCAAAAAAATTTTTTTATTCTTGACCCACTTTGACAGTTTCCTAGCAGTACAATTTGCAAATTTCAAATCGATCTTTTTTAATTGCAGATTAAACATTTTAACTTCAAATTAACCTCTTTTAATTTCTAATTTCACCCTGTTTAATCTTAAATTAACCATTTTTTACTTCACATTAAAATCTTTTAATTCAAATTGACCCTTTTTAATTTCAAATTAAGTTGTCTTGTAAGATATAAGGTTGTAAGTTATCAAGTAAAAATTAATTTAGAAAGAGTGAATTACTTCGAATTAACCATTCTTACCTTCAAATGAGCCCTTTTGAAGTACAAATTAACCGCTTTTAACTTCAAATTAACTAAATTGATATTAAACCTTTGATGATGGAGATCCACCAAAAAAGTACAAAGAACCTCGAAAAAATCGTTCAAACTAACCTTTTGATTATTTCAAATCGATCCTTTTTAATTGCAGATTAAACATTTTAACTTCAATTAACCTCTTTTAATTTCTAATTTCACCCTGTTTAATCTTAAATTAACCATTTTTTACTTCACATTAAACTCTTTTAATTTCAAATTGACCCTTTTTAATTTCAAATTAAGTTCAAAATATTCACCCTCTATCAAACGAGAAGGAAGGTTCCAAAAAAACTTTTTTTTACCCACTTTGAGAGTTTCCTAGCAGTATAATACACAAAAGACTTCGAGTCCTACTGTCATCCTTTTTAATTTCAAATTAACCCTTTTTAACTAAATATTAACTTCTTTTAATTTCAAATCAACCATTTTTAACGACATATTATCCATTTTTACTTTACATTAACCTTATTTACTTCTCATTAACCCTTTTTAATTGCAAATTAAATTCAAAATATTCACCCTCTCTCAAACGAGAAGGAAGGTTCCAAAAAAACTTTTTTTTACCCGTTTGAGTTTCCTAGCAGTACAATTCACAACAGATTTCGAGTAGTGCTATAATTTTTTCAGAAGTTCTCATGTAAGATAGTTCCGTGTGTACATCTACGCCGTTGTGTGTCGTTTTTTCTCCGCTGGATTTTTTATTTATTTTTATAATCTGGCTGCGGTTTCGTTCTGAAAACACAATGCGGATGCGGAGGCAATGATTATTTGCTTTTTATAATTCCAAATCCAATTTATTTGATTGCAGTTGTGGCATTGCGACGTTCCTTTTTGACTTTTTATTTATTTTTGTTTTTATTACTTATTATTCCCAGGGGAAATGGCCGTCGGCTATCTCTTTACCAGGATCAGATTCCAATGGAACGAAGTGGATTTCAGCCTTTATTCAACTTACGTGATTGTAATTAATCTTATAGGTGAGTTGATATTGTTATTGAAAGTACAAAATTGATTACTATATATATATTTTTTTTTTTACAGGAACGTCCCTAGGCATTGGCCTGTTCATCCATATGTTTAAAATGGAAGACGCGATGCTTGGGATGGTGGCTTACACGTCAAAATTGGTCGCAAGTATTTTTTACGCTTTTGCCTCGACACCGCAGATCTTCTACATCGGTAAGTCGCCAATGGATCAAAAAATTTTTGAGAAAATTTTTACGAACGCATGGTCAGCTAAGCAATTACATTCCTAAGCAAACGTTTTAATGTTTGTTACAAAAATTTTATTCCGCTGACATACATTTTTTTATTTCGACTCACAATAAAGTCTTAGCAGACGTTTTCGGCTTCACCGCAGTGACAGTGAAAAATTTTAACCCTCGAGAAGCGATCAAAATGGCTAAAAAGTGGAAACCTGTAGGCAGGAGGTCGGGTGAATATGTACGGTGCGGTAAGGAATGTCCTATGTCATTAAGTTTGCGCAGTGTTGGCAATGCGACATGAGCCCTGGCATTATCATGAAGAAGAATCGCCTTACCACTTCGGTTTACCAATGCTGGACAGAAGAGTTGCAGTTTCCCGTGCATTTTGTCAATTTCTTGGCCTAGTTCTCTGCTGTGATAGTTTCATCATAATTCAGGAAATAATAGTGAACAACCCCAGCAGGACACCACCAAACAGTCACCATTATCTTTTGTGGCTGCAGATTTGGTTTCGGGAAGTGTTTTGGCTCTCCATCCTTGTCAAACCACTGACCTGTACGCCTCCTTTTATCGTACAGAATCCATTTCCCATCGCACGTGATGGTTCGATCGAGAAACGGATCATTTTAGTAGCTCAACAGAAGACGTGCAAATTTCAAAGCATCGCTTTCTTTGGGCTTCGGTTATTTCGTGAGGTACCCACTTATCGAGCTTCTTTGCTTTACCAATTTGCTTCAGATGGCGGACGACGGTTGAGTGGTCAACATTCCTTCCGCATTTTCCCCTGTGAATTTTCTTTAGGCAATCCATTTTGGGTCGGTCGTCATCCAGAAGGGAAGGCCTACCGCGACCTTCCCTGTCTTTGTGATCGAAATTTCCCAGGCGAAATCTCTGAAACCATCGCTGCATATGCATCCCCTCAAACTGTACTGATGTTACGCGCGATTTGGGCCGCACTTCGCTCAAGTTTCAATTCGTACAAATAAATTTGACGAAAATCAGTTTGGTCATATTTAATTTCGCAGGTCAAATGATAACATTTAAAATTATTTATTATAATCCATAACTTAGATTTGATGATTTAGCCTTGTTTGAACAAGCACCTGCGAAAAAATTTTCAAAACCTGCATTAATTTTACACCAGCCTAATATGTAGTACATTTTTATAAACTAAATTTTTTATAAATTACTACTAAACTCTGGCTGGTGGTCTGAGTCTTCTCCCTGACTCTGGCTGACTGAGTTTTCTGACAAAATGAGTTATTGTTAATATGACAATTTGATTTGGCGTGCAAAGTTTAATCTATTAATGTGGTACAGAAAAGCCATGTATAGTTCGCCTAAATTGAGATCAGAAATATTTCTATATTAAGTCTTTTATATTTGGAGGACATTCCAAAATTGTGTGAAAGTGTATTTTTGCAAGTTAAATTATTTTTTTTAAATATCATCTCTGCAAAGTATTCTAATATCAATTTATAGATCGTTTTTAGGTGTATTTAGAAAGTAATTGCATACCGTCTTTTCCGTGTCACTCACCGAACATGCCCCAGGACGATCGACAACTAGGTCATTTCAGCTCCTGACGCATGCAAATTATAAGCTAAACGGACATCACTCATCCTCTCGTTCATTCATTATCTCGCATGTATAATTTAGAATGAAGAAATTTACAGAGTTATATACTTTTTAGAGAACCATCTCATAGAACTGTACAGTACACCGGTTCTGTGAGTTTTGTTATTATCCCTGTTGTTACGGTTGTATGTTACGGTTATGTTTTAGACACGTCTTTACTTTTGCATCCTCTGTTCAAAGGTAATATAGTGGCATCGGTGAGAATTTGCGCAAAAATTGGAGTTTCCGCTATGACTCTCTCACACCATACAATGTTACATACATTAAATTCACTAATTTCGTGGTCCGCTTCGAATCCCGCTCGTGCCATTAACTTTTTTTCATCTCAACTAAAAATCTTAATTAATTGTTACATACATTGTTACATTACATTGACTCGCAGAAGGCATTTAACAAACAGCCAAAATGGAAACCACCTCCATAAACAAAAGCACATGACCTTTGACGGGGTCGGGTTAAAATGTTGGCCTTTTCTTCGGGCGCCTGATTCTCAAGAAATTCTCTGCACATCCGGTCATGCAGAATTGCCACGTTTTTTAAAAATATTTTTGATTTTTAGAATCAATGGATCGAAATGGTAAGAAAGATAGGGAAGTATCACCACCTCATATTTCCTTACCGGATATTGATGATGATCTTCTGCAAGCGACCTGACACTCTATGTAAGGAGGTATGCTTAATGACTTTGTGTGGAGGAAAGGTTCAAAAATACATAAACACAGTTAACTTCATAAACATTTATTTTCTGGACCGTCTTAATACTGGTAAACAAACTATGCAAGTCAGCCATAACAACCAATGACATCAGCTCCCACATCCTTCTGCTTTTCCTAATTTCTCCTTTCCCTAATTTCTCCTTTCCACTGCTTCCTCGACAATGGATTCTATTCGACAGTTTACAAGGGTTAGCCTGACCTGGCCGTCGTACTTCTAGAGAGCTTCCATTACGCAACCCCTTGGTCTATGTCGATGGCCTTCCAGCTGGCTGTACAAAGCCCATCCAGTTGAAGCGATACCAACTTTATGATGACGCTCAACTTATCCTCGAAGTACGACAACTTTCTATAAATAACTTTTCGTCTTTTGTTATTTATTGGGGCTGTTCCCTTGTCGCTTATGTTACCACACCTACTTACAGATCCATAAACCGCACTACACGATCGACCCAGTGTTTTATGTACGGATTGTCTAGCCGGAGTCCTCGTTTCGAACAAACCCATGCCAAACCGAATACACTTTCGTTAGGAGTACACTACACTGCTCGGTAGGAGCATTCCAATAGATGCATCATCGTTATACTCGGTAAAGGTCACACATACCTCTAACTAAACTTCAAGAAGCTTTCTCGTAAAAAAGAGTGACCTTGTAGGCGAAGAGGAGCCCATAGTAGAGTGAGACAATTAGCCAAGAATTACTCTCAGAGTTTCGTATCAAATTGGTTGACCTATTATACAACAAGGAAGCAAATATGCCACATCTTTAACAAAGTGTTTTTGAAAATATACATTTTTTTAAAATAATTATAATAGTGTCTTTAGACTTCCAAAGAACTTGTCCCTACCTGATCAATTATCTTTTATGATCTTCTCTATGGAAGTAATATAAAATAAGCAAGTTATTTTTTGGTTCGATCAACCGTCTCTTGTTTGCCCAAAGATTTGACATTAGGGCAAAACGAAAAAACGGTATTGAGCCAATTGTTATTTAATTCAAAACTTTTTTTTTATTTCAGTAACTTTGATCGACATGGTCGGAGGAACGGGATTAATCGCTATGCGGTCAATTGCTTCAAAACTAGTACCTTCTGAAGAATTAGGTGAGTACGGTTTTCATAGATAAATATTTAAAAAAAACTATGGTAAAGAATAAAAGAGAGAATAAATGACGGGTAAGGAAAAAAATTGTATACGTGGCCTACTTTGAGACATATGTTATAATGTAGGTTCTAAATTTAAAGTCAATGGATTTCCGTTATTTTTAGCATTTTAGGACCTCCTGATGAAAAATCCAGTTCGAAACTGGTTTGAATTCGAGAATGTTGAGGAATCTCTTTTTTATATCTTTTTTGGTATCTTCGTCATTTGTTAAACGAGCTTTGCCGGTTGATTTCTTATTTTCGCCTTTTCATTTCAGGCAAAATAAACTCTCTTTTTGGCGTGTGCGAAGCCGTGGTGCCAATTGTTTATCAGCCTTTGTACAGTGCTGTATATAACACGACAAGGCAAACACTGCCAGGCGCCTTTTTCCTTGTCGGTGGTGCATTGAACGTTCCCACGATCTTACTGTTTCTGTAAGTCTCTAAGGCGATCTGTATCAAATTAAAATAATTAAAATGTGATTTCTTTCAGATACCTTTACATTCTCCAGAAACGAGACCCAGTTGGCACCTTAGTGACGAACAACGGCCAGGAGAAAGAAAGGGATGCAGCCGATGCTCAGCCAAAAGGCGTACATAACCCAACGTTTGAGAATGATTTGATAATTGATCAAACCAAGCTTTAAATATTATTCTGTTCGTATTTGTAAAATATTTTATACTCTTGGTTATTTTCATTAAACGACCTATTTTCAAAAATGTCTTCCTTTTAAAAACAAAAGAAAAGTTATCTTGACATTTTATTTTTATAGTAAGTACCGAGAGTCTTAAAGCAAGTTAATCAAATACATATGTTTCTTTGTTAACAGAAATGTTTGTGGTATTTTATAACCATTATATTTCGTGGTCCGATTGACCAAATAACTTCTTTCAATTAATTAATCTTTATGTAAGGCATTGGTTGAAATGAAAAAGCTAGTTTCACAAGGGGGATTCGAACCCACGACCTTCGGCTAAATACGCCGCTCCTCTACCACTTGAGCATCGTGACCTCGATCCACTCGGCCACCAACTTCCCATCTCAACCTACTTTTCGAATTTTCCCTCCTTTTTGCCATTTTTCAAATATCGTGTAATCTATTTGATTCTCGGCGACAAATGAAATGGCCACGGAGAGCCAGTCCGAGGTATCGTTCATCGTTCGCAATTGGGATGGGAACGTTGTTGAGGTATACTACTGGTGGGAGCGTTTTCTCGTTTAGGATAAATATTATGTTTGTTGATTTGATTTCGTTGATCTTGATTCTCCACTGAGGGAGCCAGCATTCTAGGATGTGATTTTGGATATTACGGGAAGCTGTGACAGGATCTTTATCAGGAAAAAGGATTGCGGCATCATCTACAAAGGTGAAGGTGTTACGTTGCCTAGTAGATCAGAGGTGTAAATTGAGTAAAGAAAGGAGCGAGCACGCTGCCCTGTGGGACACCTGCTAGAAAAATATGGATAGGGAACAATGAATTTCTGTGGTATACTTGGAAGTAACGATAGTTAAGATAGGATTTTAGGATAAGGTGATAGGTTGCTGGAATGATGTTCTTGAGCTTCCACAGCAGCCCAGAGTGCCATACTCGGTCAAAGGCACCAAGTATACCCAAGAACACACCCGGGCAATACAGTTTTAGCTCAAGGGATGCGGACATAACGTCGATTATGCGATGTGCTTGTTGTACAGTTAAGTGGCAACTATTTTATTTATTTTTCACTTTACTTGGACTCTCAATCTACTCATCGACTTCAAATTGCTTATAATTACTTTAGATACTGTTATGATCTTAAACCAAGAGATCATATTTATTCCAATATTAACGTCATCAGCAACCTTGACATTCTAAACACTTATAAACTGAGAGTTTTAATATACATATTTTAAATTAAACCAAATAAATGTCTTCAATATCTATTAACTTTTTCCCACATTCCTTATACAAAGGCACCAATCATATCCCAAGCCTTCAACACTCCTCTAAAATTTTACGTTCTGCTTCCTCGCTGGCTTGTTTCAGGTCTATGGCATCTGAGTTTTAAAAAACGACACGAATCATCTCCTTTTCTTCCATCTTTCTCTTCTTTTTCCCGTTTCCTTTTGCATTGAACGATATGATATTGCACCTCTCTGTCTGAGTGAATGGAAAGCAATACGGTATACTGATCGATTACAATGATTTGATATTCAAAGAATGTATAATAAATAGAAACCTGAACTGACAAAATAACTATAAATTAACAACTAATAACTATAATTATGCACCTACTACCACGTGTCAACAACTTTTTGCACTTCCTCCGCAATTAAACGATAGTTAGTGATCCTTTATAGATCTGCCTTTTTATTAAAGAAACAGTAAAAGAACAGTAATAATTAAGACACAATCCTTCAACTAAACAGAAAGTGGCCAAATTTATTGTATTTTAGAGATTTTAGGCTAAATAGGTCTATTTAAAACAGTGCTGCAATCAAATAGGCAGGAATAGGCGCTGAAAACCACAGATGTAGTACTTCGATGTAGAAGCGAAAAAAGACGGTGCCAAAGCAAAAAAGAACGCAGCTTTATCTGAAGTCTAAAGAATCGAATATTCCTCGAATATTGCTGGGTTTTCCTCAACTAACCCACCTGATTCCATCCCAACGTTTCATTTTTGTCTTTACCTCATACTTGGTTGTGTACATAAAACGAAATTAGGGTGAACGAGGTTTTTACAACGAACGGCCAGATGGGGTATCCACTCGGACACCGACTTCCCATCTCAACCCACAACCTTTTGAATTTTCCCTCCTTTTTGCCATTTTTCAAATGTGTAATCAGAATTTGATCCTCAGTGACATATGAATTGACCACGGGGAGCTGTTAGTGAAGTTATACTTCGTTTTACTTATTAAATCCATTATATTTCGTGGTCTATTGTCCAAATTACTTCTTTCAATTAATTAATCTTTTTACGTAAGGTTTTGGTTGAAATGAAAAAGCTAGGGCCACGAGCGGGATTCGAACCCACGACCTTCGGCTAAATACGCCGCTGCTCTACCAGTTGAGCTATCGTGACTTCGATCCACTCGGACACCAAAATGGCAAAAAGGTAGAGGATGGGGAGTTGGTGCCCGAAGTGGATCGAAGTCACGATAGCTCAAGTGGTACACCAGCGGCGTATTTAGCGGAAAGTCGTGGGTTCAAATCCCGCTCGTGGCACTAGCTTTTACATTTCAGCCAAAGCCTTACATAAAAAGATTAATATGTAAAAGGGTAATGGAAAAATATTGAGTACTGTCTAATCTATTTTATTATTTAGTAGTACTAATAATCTATTGTATAATTATAAAATAAATAAATGCAGTAAAAGAAAATACAACTTTTTCGAAAATTGACTGTTCAAACTGACTCCTAATAGTATCGATAGTAGATTAGATTATCGCTATTTCTTAAACATCGAAATATCGATAGTGTTATCGATTATTTCCTATCTCTAGGTCCCAGACCGGTCGGATAGAGGAGACGGTTGATAAAGGAGCCTATTCAGCGGGGTTTAATTTTATAAATAACTTGGGCTCCACAGACCACCTCCCCGTCGTCGAGTCGGAAATAAATTTAAATGCAGTTTCTTTTATGTTTCACGTTTGCCGGGGCGGAAACGGTTCTATTTTCCTCGTAATTATATCGAACGAAATTGTTAATTGAACGAAATGGCGACGGAATTCGGGACTGGGAAATCAATTTTCATATTGGCCATAGTCGCGGGTTGTTTTGCCATACTTTGGCCGAATATTTTCTATCCCATGATAGTCGGAAACACAGCTACGAAAGGACAACAAGCCAGCAACGGAAACGGTAAGTGAGAGTCGTCGGAATCATTTTCGATATAATAAAATATAATAAATAAATAACTTCGTCCTACTCTCATCTCAGTCTAATTATAGGGATGTCCAGGCCCGGCACGTACGTGTCTGTAGATTGCACGCGTTTTGGCAAAACCCCATTGAAATGTTGTTTTTTTCGGCCTAGTTATTTTATTATTCTGCATTCGAACTGCCCACCCCTGGATGCATTTCGGTTCCTTTCATATTTGGACGTTGGAGAGAAATTTGAGTGATTTTCTTGATTTCTCCACCTTTGACCGAGTGTAAACAATACATTTTACCTTGAAGCTTCTCAGTTTCCAAGTTTAAAAGGACCGTGACTATTTTTGGCTCAAAAAAACGAGTCCTCTCCAAATATACACTGACAGGCAAAAAATTCCACCCACTTGTAATATAACTTATTAGTAAATATTTTTTTATATCAAAGTTTCACGTATTTTAACGTTTAATAATTGAGTCTTTGTCTAAAAAAGTTAATTGCTAAGGAAAATGAAAAAAAGACGGACAGATAAAATTTGTTTTCGATTTTTAATTAACATTTTAAATTTCCTCCTCTTGCCTTAATTAAATCTCGAAGACCCCTCGGCATGCTTTCTGCCAGTCTGGTAATGTCTCTTTGCTGGAGGTTGATCATTCTTCAGGAAGAGACCTTTCAAGATCGTGGAGTGTATGAGGAGGTGATGGACGTGATTCGTTTTTTGACGTTATCCCATAAATACATCATGGGGAAACGGGAATCAAACGATGGGGTTGAAGTCTGGAGAACTGGTGGCCAGGCTAAGACCCTGATTTTATACTGTTGAAAGTATGTACTATGCGAGCGACATGCGGACAGGCATTATCGTGCATTAGAACAGGATTGTTGCTGATTTCATTGAGGATAGGCAACATGATGTTCCACAATTTCATCCACATAGTGAATGGCCGTCAAAGACCCTCCACGAACAACAACCAACTCTGTGCGACTCTCCATTGAAATTCCAGTCTACATTTACCCAAGGGTGTTTAGACTTTAAACCTTTCTGTATTTCACTTTACTTCAGACTGTGTCAATTGTAGATTCCTTTATCGTCTTACTTAACAAGGAGCGATTTGTTTTTTGCTATTGAGACTGTCATAGCCAAGGTATCCAAATCTTGCTTGTCATGCTAGCAGTTTGGGTCGAATTCCAACATAACTCTAGGAAATTTTCTGAACATCCCCAAGACACCCACCTTTCCATCTCATAACATAGTATTTTTATTTTTTGTGCAATTTCCTTTTTGTACCAACACCCTTGGATATAGTGGCAAGGGATCACTTTACTATATATTTATCTTTTTAATTTCCTCATATAAATTTTCAAGTCCTCTTCGAAACCAAAACTGCTGCTAGCATGGCTGATACAAAATTCAGATTGCCGTAAATGACACAGCCACCACAGTCTACACACGGACAAACCAAATGGCTCACTGATTAAGTGAAGACCACAAAGAGAAACAATAGAGACAGTCTGAATATAAGTAATTCCTGGAATACAGGACGCCTAAAATCCAAACACACTTGGGTATAGGTATAGTGGAGAACAGGTCACATCACTACAATTTTTTAAAAATTATTCTCATTTTCTCTTCTATTTAGAATTCCCTTCTCCTACAGCAGACTCAAATGACAAACTCAGTATATATGAAGATATTTATATAATCGATATTTGTAGTTGTAAATATCAAATAAACATAATGAATAAATAAAAAATTATTCTCGTATAAAATTCCCTCCATTATGTCATGATTCAAACCCAGAACTGCTAACATGAAAAAATAAGATTCGAATGCGCTAAATTACTCAGCTACCATAGTATGCACACAGACGAAAACAAAAACAAATGGCTCAGTAATTGAGTGGAGACCTTAAATTAGAGAGATCATAGATCCTTATTATTTTTGACAGTTCCAGTATATCAGGAGAAGTATGGAAGATGAAGATGTTTAAATACTGAAACACAACTGACAAACAACTAGCAAGAATAAGTATACTAGGATGTTCAGGAACAATCAGTCTTTTCAGTTTCATCACCTTGCAAACCTTGCCCACATTTGTATAAATCTTTGGTTACAATTTATGTTAAAAACGTATTTCTATTGCTTGTAATTAAATGTTATTGGGCAAAGCCATCAACATTTTTGTTTCTCTATATTTCTCACATACATTTTTTACTTGTATATACATTTTCATGAAACAATTTAATTTGCATAAGAACTGGAACATCTGGTTTTCAAAACAAGAAATATTATAAAATAAATTAAATTAATGTATACTTGTTTGAAAAGTAGGTTTTATATATTCACCAAAATTTTTGCTGGGTAGCTGGGCTTACTCATTGAAGGTAAAATGAAATATAACCCTGGAAAAATTTGAACTATAGCTGTTTTTCTTTTTATTTTCACTTATGTCAGGTTTGAAAATTAAATTATTTCTTATATGAAAAAATTGGTTGTGATGTAAACTCAGCACGATGAATTTTGAAATATAATGAACCGTGCTGATAAACTTATATTCAGTTAATTTTTTTTAACCTTTATTTATCATGAACTTTCTTTTTCCAGGATGTTGCGATGTTATTTTTGATACGGATGTCAATGCTATTAAACTGATGACCGAATTGTGCGAAAGGATTTTAAGTCGTGAAAACGAGTTTGATAAGAAATTTCTTTTTGCTTTTCAACAAGGAAAGCTAACGAAAGAAATTGTTCACACTTGCCAAAAAACCGTCTTGGACAAGTGTGATGTCGACATAACAGAATTTCTGAATGAAAAAGTCCTCTTAGGAAAATCCTATAAACAAATGTTGGATGAAATTAGATCTTTAAACAGCTCACTATGTTTAAAGCGGTCTTTTGGTATTTCGTTTAAACAAATTGGTCTCCCACGGACGGTTCGCATTTGGGGCATTAATCAACCAAGTAAGCGGTTTTTGTGTTGTGTGATGTTTGGTTTGTCTTTTCTAATTTCATTAATATATGCTGTGTGGCGTCTGTCGCTTTGTATAACTTTATTTCAGTTTATAAAGCAATGTTAAGAAACACATTTATAGTATTTATACAGTTTATAGTTTGATACTTTTTTAAAGAAAAAATAATAAAGAATGACGTTTCGTTTGTAAAATCTTAGTTAACACCAGATAATGGTACAAACAGTTGACATTAGCCATGAGCCTGATTTAGAACATTAACACTAAAAGATATTTTTGTAATATTAATTATTCCAGTTTGTGTAGCTTGTGTGGAGTCAATTTTGTTAACAGAAAACAGTAAAATGATGAAACTGTTGGCATTATCTAATATCTACCATATATGAGAACATTTGGTTATTTAATGTGCGTTTAATAAACATTTTAAAAAATTACTTTCAATTTTCAGAGCACTTAAGGCAAGAACGTCCACCACATTTACATCCTGAATTTCTGCATCCAGCGTTAAGAGAAAAAGGAAGAGCAATTCCACAATCCCATGTTGTACCTAAAATCAAACAGCAAGAAGGACGGGTACTTTAATGGATAACAATTATTATTGGCTATTACCGTCATATCAATGAAAATTCCCATTATTTTAGCCTGGACCTTTACCAGGAATTCGACCTCCAATGGGTGGTGCAGGTCATGTCGTTCCTCCTCCTAAAGGTAGTGGAACTATGGGTATTGTCATGCCAATGTACACAATCGGGATAGTCGTCTTTTTCCTTTATACTATGATGAAGGTTTGTAAGATTAGTTTGGAATTTTATGAAATATTATTTATAAAACATTTTTTTCCAGATATTATTCAAGAAATCTGATAGTACATCGGGATATGAAGGATTTTCCCCTGACCCTGATTTCCAGAGAGTTGTATTTGGTGAACGCGTTGTTCATAAAGGTTTCGCTAATGGAAAAGAGAGTGAAGACACAACTAAATTAGGTAATTTCTAATTAAATATAAAATATTTTATTAAGGGGGCATTAGCGAGCCACATGCACAAAGTAAACACAAATCAAAATCAACAGCCTAAATATGTTCTTCAAAAATAATAAACCATTTTCTGTGCATGAATAAATTCTACACTATTATAAACATATTTACTTATTATCTTTTTACATTTTGGCACTCAAGGGCGGCGGGAACGAGATACAAGTAAGTTATAACCGTTATTAATATTAACTGTAAAAATAATTCCTTGAGAAAACTTAATATTTATATTCCACATAAATATTCTGCTAGATATATTTTTGCAACAAATTTGAATTATTAAAACGGTCTGATACAGGCATTTAATTGATCATCTTAAACATATTTTTGTAATTTTATTTGACATGACATTTGGTCAGTAAGACTTTTTTAATAAATTCCCCCCTCACGTATACAGACATTCATTGATGTCTTTTTGAAATTTGAATAAACTTTTATTATATTGCACAAGCCCTTTAGGTAATGAAATCATGGGAGTTGTATTACACAGGATGTGTTTTTCAGAGTTGTTAAGTCTCAATGCATATGATTTCAGGGCAGTCTGGATCATCATTATTTCTTTTTCATCATTGCTTCTATGGTTTTGATTTTTGCACCATTTGGTAGTGGGTCCATTTTGACCTGTTGATCAATTAGATGTGTGGTTTCCTCTTATCTCATCTACCACGATGTTGATTTTCTGGCATAGATTGCTGGTTGTCTTAAAACATGCTTGATCTTTAAGATTGATAGGCCTCTTTAAATCAGTTTTTATAAACCAATTGATCATCATGTTGATCCCTTTTATTTCTGAGGACGCTTTGTTGACAGTCATCCACAAACGTTTTCTGTCTTAAGGTTTCTTCATATGTCATATTTTCTCACTCTATTTTTGTATCTTTCACTTTACAAGAATTGTTTCCATTCATTTATTTCTAGCAGTTTTTCTATCCAAGAAATTGTTAAACATATGGAGCCTTCATAAGGCTGCCAAAAAGGACTGAATGATTTCCCTTATTTTAAGCTATATTTTAACTTTTTTTTTTATATATCTGCATTTTAGGTATGTTGGGGTGGTGATAGTAGTGTTAATTTAGCCGTAGGGAGTGTTAAAAAAGATAAGGGAGAATTTATATATTTTACTTCATTCTATAAATATAAATAATTATATCATAAATATGTGCATGTATAAAATGACCCCAAAAATTGAACTTTCACACAATTTTATTTTCTCGTATTTGATATATGATGTGATTGATATTTATTTTTGTTGTCACCTTGTTAGAAAGAAATATTTAATTAGAAAATGTTTGTTTTTCTGAATTTCCCTTCTTGATTAGAGTTTACGAGTGACATCTATATAAATATATACTTTTTTCTTCTTTTTTTATTATAGCTATTCATTGCTAAGTGATTTTGTAGGAGACAGGAGAATGGTTCTTATTTAAAATTTCTTTTATTAAGTTTCTATTTCTTACATTGTTAAATAATTTCTTATACTCTTGGCTGTTTCTTTAAGCCTACATCATTAGTTACCTTATTTTGTATACGTATCAAGTCGATTGATTAACAGTAGGTCGTAATTTGTGCAGTTGTGTAATCGTAAAAATTAAATGGTATTTTGGAATTATATTAATTGGCTTTGGTTGTAATTATTAATTTGTTCATGCTTGTTAACACTCATGGAATCTATTTTGAAATTTTAAAATCATTATGCTTGATAAATTTGTGAAGCTTCTGTTGTTTCTTGTAACAACTTGTCTGTTTACTTGCTTGCAATTTTTAGCCGTAAAAAATAATACAATACCCAGAAAAATAATTAAATTGGCTATACTAATTTATAAAATACTTAGAAATAAATTTGAATATATGCACACGATGGTCAAGCTCTTGGCAGTTTTACTTTCAATTCTTAAAACTTGTTTTGTTTCTTGCATTTTAGCCTGATATCTGAATTAAAGTTGCTGTAATGTGTGTATTTAGGAGTGTTGTGCCATATATATTTAGATTTTATTTAAACTAATATTATAATGATTTAGTGAATTTACAAAACAGGTTTGGCTTCATTTCATTTGATTTTTATTATTTGGATAGTTTCTCATGTAATTTGCTCTCCTACTTAAAATATATATGGCATTTACTAATAAGTATATCAGTAATTGTGAATGAATCAACATATTGAATAGTTTGGGAGGGAGAGAGCGAATGTGAAAGAAGGCGAGTAATAATGTAATTTAAAAATTAATTTGTTTTACATTATGTAGTAGTTACCGGTTTTATCACAAATTATTTAAAAATAGTTGTCGATGGTTAGGCTTCATTAACCCTAGTTATAAATTATTTAATCATCGAAGAAATTATGCTATTTGATGAATGGTCACTAATGATTTATTTCAGAAAATACCAATATTTCGTCTTTAAAAATCATTTGTTTGATATCATATTACAACTATTATTATGTTTAATAGAACAGTTGCATTATTGTGAATATAATAATTTTCTAATATATATAAATTTAATTAAATATTTAATAATTTTCTATGCACAAACATTCTAAAAAAATTAACTTGTTTTGTTCTATTTTTAATTTTAATAAATAAATTTATTAAAATGAAGAAGTAAAATGTTTCTGTACATTAACAAATTAATGGCTATAAATACGAATTTTCTTTTAAAGAAATTATTTTTATCCACTAATCTATTTGTTTTACATTGGGCTGGCAAGAAAGTTATGTTACTTTGTATTATTATTATTACTATTATTATTGTTATTTTGGTATTTACATCCATTTTTTTATTTGTTCATTCAAGGCAAGAACTGATTACTATAGAATCCTGCACTTTTAGTTCATAACATTTTAAGACAAACCTAATTTGATTGAAATTTTTTTTTCTTTTAAAATTGATCTTTTATTTATTCTTCCAATTTTAAGCAAGTACCTTACAAATTTTATGGCTGAATGGTGTTTTTGCCAAGGTCCAGTTTTAGTGACTCAAAAAACGCCGGGACACACATTGTACTCAAGACTGATATGAAATCACGTATAGAAATAAAAAATGTATTTAAATTAGAGAAATGTGTTAATAAGAGAAGGAAAAGGAAGGCAAGTGGGAAAAGAAAGCAGGTCCGTTCAAAGTAGTTGGAAACCTTTCTAAACCATAAGCCATTCTTTTTTAATTTAATTTTCTTTAATTTTGTTAAATTATTTAACTGACAACTAACGGGCTCAGTCAGACAGTGCCAAGAGGTATGGGATTATAGCAGATTGTTGAATTAGCAATTGTTTCTATGGCGCCCAACACTCAGCCAATTCATTGTCGGTAACGGTGCGGTAATGTGTGTCCCAAGGTTCCAAGCCTTTGTATTTCATTGTTTTTATATACTCAATGACTAGAATGTTCTTTTATGAATAAAAAATTATTTCTCATTCAAATATTCAAACAACTCATTTCTTTTGTTTATGTTACGTCTTTCTTTGGTGTTACTTGAATATTGAAAAGTGAAGTAATAATTGTGATTATTCTCTAATTAAAAAACAGTAAAACAAAAATTTTAAGTCACTTTCTTGCTAAACCGATATTGAGTGGAAATTGTATGAAGGAGAATTAGAAGCTTTATTTTAAGTATAGGGTGGGGTTAACAATTACAGGGGACTTGGAACTGGATTTGTTGAAGAAGCGGCTACAAGAGACAGAAAAAGCAATGGAGCGTATAGTTGCAAAGATGATGTCACTGCCACACAACAACCATTCTGAGGTATCCCTTCCTTATGGGTTCTCCTTCGTACATTCTTTCTTTATTTTTATATTTGATGTGATTGATTTTTAAAAGTAGTTTGGAATAGCTTGTTATTGTATGTTAACAAGAAAACCTAAAAACATCACTTATATGTGATTGTGTGATTTTTCACACAAAATCCAGAGTATGCACTTTCAAATATGGAGCTTCTGTGATATGATTGATTGCATGATTTCAATACAATTATATTTCATTATACTTCCTTTGCCAGTATTTTGTTTTTGTATTTAACATTAGGTTAAAAAAAAATGCTTTTTTTAATGTTTATAAACAACTTAATTTCAAAATAGTTGTTCAAGGGAAAATAATTAGTTTGTTCACCTGAAATGGTTCTTACCATTCAAGTATTATGAAAGGATTTTGTATAATTGCATACCAGTTTAAAATTAAGTTGGTCACTAAGGGTTTTTTTTCTCAACTCTCTTGGTGAACAATTTAAATTTAAAAAATAAATAAAAAGTAAAACAAAAAAACGATGACAATGCCTTTGTATTATGTGTAGTGACATGCCTCCACATCAATGTATTCAGTACATTGCATTTTGTTTTGCTAATGAGTTATTGAAGATGTTTCCAGTTAATCTAATTTTTTCAATATATTTATTTAAATCAGTAGAAATAATTACATCAATTTCTTTTCATTTATCCTTTATTATTTAGTAGTTAAAGATGAAATGATGACAGATGTGATCTACACAATTCACAGGTGTTTCTTTCGATAATTATAATTAACCTTTTGTAACTTCTAATTAGCCCGTTTTATTTTTTATCTTAATACTTTAACAGTAATTAAAATAATTCCAAATTACCCTTCTTTAAAACATTAAAAAAAACTTAGGAGATGGTATGAAATATAAACATCTAAATTAAAATTCCTGCATTGTTGCAATTTTTTAACTACAAAATAATTGGAATCTTATAAGAAAACAGTAAATTATTTACAATTAAAATTAAAAATTCTAAAAAAAATAAACGAGCCTTCTTTTAATTTAATTTTTTTCTTCAAAAATATTAAATGGGTTTTTAGCTAAAATACTTCATAGAAGTTAATAACTATTAAATTTAAAGTTTGTATAAAAGTAAATATAAAAACAAATGATTCTTCTAATAATTCGAGATTTTTTAAAATCTAAAATAATTTTTTTGGAAACCAGTTTTTGTATTGTAAAAAACATGAATTAAAATACGAATCATTTTTTGTTTTTAATCAATTATTTTAACTTCCATGTGCTTTATAAGAGCCCCACTTATTTTATATTTAAACAAAACTCATAAAAACTCAGACGTTATACTTTACATTCCTTACCATCTCCTAAGTTTTTTTAAGCTTTAAAGAAAGTGTTAGTTTGAAATTTAAAAAAAAAGGAGATGTGAAATTTAAAAAAAGGTTAATTTGAAGTTTAAAAAAGTTGAGTTTGAAGTAAAAAGGTTTCATTTGAAATTTTAAAAAAGCTCATCTAAGTTAAATATGGTTAATTTGATGTTAAAAAGGATTAATTTGATAAACCTTAAAGATGACAATCGGTCATGATTGCATAATCATAATATATTAGGGACGTTGTGTTCAGGATGTTTAAATTATCATTTTCAGCACTATATCTTGGGTGGCCTTTTTTCTCCCTCTCTACTGTTTAATAGAATTTTTGTTCAACTTAAGTAAGATTTATTTTGCAGTATAATGCCCAAAATTTAATGAATGGGCAGAGTGCACTACTCCTCCTCCAGTTACACATTCATTTTTTTCTTTTTATTTATATTTTTGCGTTTGTTTATATGTTCACATTTAGAACTATAGATGTTAGTGTACAGAAACAACCAGGAGTAATAGAAAAGAAATTCCACCATTTTTCATTCTATTGTCTCTACTCTCAGGCTTACCATCCAATAGGATTATTATTATCATTCTTCTATGTGTAAACGACATACTACTAGATGTACCATAGGTTCTTGTAATTTGATAAATTTATTTTTCTTTGTGGATCTTATTTTCCCAATTGGCCTTATGGTTAGATTCCTACAACTATAATTCAATGATATAAATTTTGGATGTGTTTGTGATGGCAAATATTTTACAGAAATGTAGTTAGTATAAAAACTACATTTTTTACAATGGCATAATCATTATTATAACTTGCTTGGGCACTTTTATAGTGCTTACAGTAGCAATAGATTGATTCATAAGGTTAGTGGTACATTTACTTTTGCTACGCTTTTTTCCGTACTGAAGTGTCTTTTTTTTACTATTATTCCGTGTGCAGTACAATAACAAATATTGTAAGCAAATACTTGGTATTTATTGCATTGTTCTTTAAGAATTTTGTTTTCTTTTCACATTATACACAGTTTGCTATTATTAGGGATAGGCAATTATCTATTTTTATGCATTGCTTATAATCGTCTATCCAAAATCACTTATAAATTTATTGAAAATTTGTCTTTGAAAAACTTACAGATCTTCTATAGCTAAACAGATTCCCCAAATTTTCCTCCTATGAGTAGTTCCTTATGTTACGTTAAATTTTCATATTTTTTTCACTTACAATATTGCACGGTCTGACTGAAAAAACAAAGTGAGGTGAAGTATTTTTTACGATAGGTTCACATAACCAAATTAGATCTTCTAAAATTCTTACCTGATGTGAATAAATTTTATAAGAATACTAAAAAATTTCAACCCCTTTTTTTTGCTTTTGTTGAAACTGTCGACTTTGGAAACTGAGGGACACTAGGTTGGTGATAATTGCAATTTTCAAAATTGAAAAAATATATCAATAGAAATTTTTCACCCACAAAAATGATTTAGGAAATTATTACATTACGTATTGCTTAATATAAAGAGGTTTTTGTTATATGATAAATTAATTAATCTAATTTGATAGCTAATTTCACATTTACTTCAGTTGGACATTAACATGTTGACTGCGTTCTATATTTGGCCATTTTAAAACAATTTTTTTTTTTTTTTAATTTTATTACGTTTATCTGTGATATAAATTATTTAATGCAACAGTTGGGTACCCCGTAAATGAAATATGCAGCCCTCAGAATATTCAATTTTGGTGTGTAGTTGAATAAAAATTGTTTTTTTCTACAAAAAATGTTTCTTTGTTTTATGCAATCATTCAAAATTGTTAAATAATTAATGAAATAACAAACACATACACTGAAAAGTAAATTATGCCGTTTTCACAAAATAAATGTAAAAAATCACTTCCAATTGAAAAACAAAAAAAATGGAAACGGCAATAGCCAGTGACACTTTTGACCTTTTTGATGTGGCCCTAGGAATTTCGCATGGAATTATGTAGTGGGTGAAGTGGAGGGAGAGTTTAAAAAATATAAATGGGAAAGTGTAGACTGTGCACTCAGAAGGTCAGTTGTCACAACATGCATGTCTTATGCTGTCAATGTGTTAAATAAAATCAGTATTCAAAAAATTCAGCTCAGAAAAAGTCAAACCTTCATGTTGTTTGGTCATTTCTAATCTTTTTGGTCTGCCTTTCCTTGGTTTGGTCAATTAATATTTGGCTATTTTTTCTTGGCAGTTTTAGTTGAGTTATTCATGTATAATTATATAAATGTCTTGTCATAGAGGGCTGCTTAATGTCCAACTATCTGTTTGGTGTTGCAGGCAAGAGGTTAAACCACTTTTCAATATTTTATCAAATGTTTCTATAAAATTATTATTATTATTATTATTATTTTAAAAAGTGGCAAATTGTAACTATAATATCTTTGAATTTAAACTTTGTAAAAATATGATCGGAATATTTTCATCCTTTCAAAAAGTGTCATTATGATTGTATGTTTTGCTTAGTCGTTTCGGCAATCACAGGCCTTGTTGAAGAAGTCAACCGGCAAATACGCTCAGATGAAGCAAAGCTCCCTTATGAAAAGGTACAGATGCAGTTAAATCCATCCTTTGAAGCCTCCATTCCTTGATTTTTTTTTATTTTGTCACCATTTGATAAAAATTCAGTCTAACCTGTTCCAGCTTCGTGTTTCGCTAATATAACTTGAAGAAAATAATTAAATTTTGTTTCTCTTAATTCTGTAAGCCACTTTGATTCAATTTTTTTAATGCTGTTAACGATTTCATTACAAATTGATGAAATTTAATATTTTTGAACTTTAACACATTTTGGTTTAAAAACTTTTTTTGAGGGTTTTTTTTCTCTCTTTTTCATATATTATCCTTGTAATTTTTGCCTTTATTAATGGCTGAAAATTTGAATTTTTTCTAATATTAGTTTTACTATTTGTTTTGGGCTTACCAAAATCCTGCATTGCTTTAACTAGATTACCGATCAATTGAACAGTGTTTGTACAGTGCACTGGCATACTATAGATTTTGTTTTTATATTTAACATTGCATTATACATACATTTTATTGTACAGTTGAAGGTATTTACAAATTTAAAATATGTTTTTTTTCTCTCTTTAGTTAACCACACCATTTTTCTATGTTGAATTTGATAAGCTTAAAATATATTTGCAAAATTATTAATTTCACTTTTTGTTGAACAGTGGAGGAAAGGAGAAATATTTTAAATTTAATTTGTCTTTTGATAAGGTTAAAATATATTTGCAAAATTATTAATTTCACTTTTTGTTGAACAGTGGAGGAGAGGAGAAATATTTTAAATTCAATTTGTCTAGTCGAAGGATGTTTTTTTAATAGATATATAAAACTATTTATGTCACATTTTTAATCGATTAAATTATCATTATTGTCTTATTTCTCTTTTATTTTAGTTGTATAATAACATTGTTCGAGATTTTGTTTTAATACTTTCTCAGGTGATGCACATTTGTTGTTTCATAATGGGAAAACGCTTTTCTTTTAATTTATTATAATTCAATTGATTTTCCTAGATAAAATATTTATCTTGATTTTTCATTTATTTTGGTATAATGATTACATACTAAAATTAACAAGTTGTTTTCCTCCAAATTTTTATATTTGTGTCAATAGTGCATTTGCATGCTTTTTTTCTAGGATGTGTATTGACTGTAAATATGGGTGTTTTATTGCATTTTTAAAGTATATATTTTTTAATCGCCATATTTTGTTTAAACAGGGAAAAACAGTAAAAATGCATTTAATAAAATACAAACGGCAGAATTTTCTACATTTCTTAAAATTATATAATTTAAAAAATGTTAGTTTAGCATTATATGAACATGATTCTTGAATATATTATCAGTCCGGTTTTAAGGGAAAAAATGTATTAATTGATTAAAAAGAAATATTCATTGTTTTTATTGCTGTTTTAATGGTAGCCAGTAAGGCTACATTCGCACTCAACAACAAGTCAGCCGATATTTTATGTTAAATAGTTATTAGTAAGGCCCTACTCACACGGTGATGCTCAAGTCTCTGAGAGACTGAGATACTCAGCGGCAAAAAGACCACGTTAATTAGGTGGAGTCACTCAGACGGGTGAACTTCAGTACCAGCAAGACACTGCCACGTTGTTGTTTTTTTCTTTCTTTTTTCTTTGTGCAATGTTCAATTTAAAAACTGTGCTGAAGTAGAAATTTCAGATATTATACAAATGCAAGTTGAAAGGACTTACAATTTATAGTTTTTTGATTTAAGGATGAACACAAAACTTTCTCACTTTTATTGTTTTTAATGGTAATAATAATAGTGGATATCATCACTACTAGAATTCCTAGACATTGTATAGAGGATTAAGTGCACAACAAAGCGTACTTGATACTACTTTGCCAACACCAATATAAAACTGATTAATTTTCTACTCAAACTGCAAGCAACTTGGCAATACGGGCTACTCGAGACATTCTGGTCACCCAGTCTCCTTGGTTGTCAGGCAGCTAGTGACCAAATTTGCATATCCCCATGTGAGTAAGCCCAAAAACATTAAATCCAGTGGGTGGTAAATGGATTTTTATCAGACAGTGTCGGCTCGACTTTGTAGTAGTGAGTGTGCCCATAAGTTTTACATATTACACAATTTTTATTTTGCTGCTGAGCATGTTGAGAAACGGATATAAGAATATTTTTGTGATGGTAATTGAAATAAAAATTAAATATTTAAAAGTTGGTAAAATGGGACAGAATTATTTAATACTAATAAATAAATTATATATATATATAATTTTTTTTTTAATTAGATAGTAAAATTTATGACATTTTATTTTCTACTTGGTATATTTAGCAATATTAGGACCTTTCCTTAGTTTAGTTTATATGATTTATTGCTACATAATATTTTAATTTGACATTACTAATTTATCTACATCTGAACAGGTGGATGAAATTTCTCAGCTCTGTATCTTGCCATTGAATGCTATCTTTCAGTCAGAAATTCAGTTAAAATTTGGTTTGATGGCTTAATTGTTCAAGATTTTTTAATTTTTTTTCTCGTAACTGATGGAACAATAATCAAAGAACAATGACATTACTAGCTCCATGATGCAAAGATACAGAAACAAATGTGACAGAAATGCCGTCCAATGCTAAAGTGTTAAAACCACGGTCAAATTACAGCATATGTTTTATTGCCCGGCAAATGTCATTGAGTGTGAAAGAGGCCCAAGGGTGGTTTTTTTTTTTTTTTTTTTTTTTTTTTTTTTTTTTTTTTTTTTTTTTTTTTTTTCTCCCACCGGTTAATTTAAAGTAATAATTTTTTTTTCCAAAGTGCCTACAGTACTTGCATTTGCATATTTAAGAATCCATGTTGATGTAGTATGAAGATACTAGGCATGTTTAAGTAGATTTGTTGACCGTTTTAGTAGAAAGAATTATATCTTTTGCATTTTATATTGTCTTATTTTTGAGTATTATAAAATTAAACCATTGCCCCCCCCCTTGCTCAGCTTTCATCCAATTTATAAAAGCTTTTAAGTTTGGCTATTTTCCCTTTAATGCAAAAAAAAAAAAAGACAATTACATTTCTTATTATGGTTGGAACATAAAAAGATCAGCCGTTCTACAGTGATTCGTCATAATTTAAAATGTTCCGATGTTCTGTTAAACTGCAGGTATAGAATGCAAAAGTAAATAAGCAGTAATCAGTTTTACAATTTTCTTTCTCATTTTACTATAAATAAGTTAGGTTAAATGTGAGTATTAATTTTTAATAAACATTCTTGAATGTGAATTTTATTCAGACAATTTGGTATGAATTTTATTGTCATTAAAAAAAAATCAAATGTATATACAGGTTTTTCTAATGCGCTTCTGTTTGTTTAAATCTTGGGAAAATAGCCATTAATTGACTTACAAAGAGTGAAAGAGAGAGAGAGAGAGAGAAAAAGTTAGTGAGATAGTGAAAGAGAGAGAGTGATTTTTGCTGTTTGTATTCAGGAGGATCATTTAAATAATAAGTCTTTTTATTTAAATAAAACTAGCCGTTGTTTTTTAATTAGTGAACTCACCAATAGTGCATACATATTAAAACAATAATAGTTTTTTTTTATATTTTCTAGTGACACTAATTTATTATTATTATCATTATTAGCATGATATTTACTCCTCTTTTATTTTTAACAATAACTGATGTTTTCCAGTGCTAACTGATATTGTTTTTGTTTGAAATATTTTACACTTTTTTTTCTTTTTTAGAAGGAGAAAGAATTGGAAAAAGAAATAGAACATCTTGTGGACGATGAGGTCAAAAGTCTTGACAAAGAAGAATTTGAAGAAGAGGTGGTGGAAGAGGAAGAAGCAGAAGACACAGGAAAAGGTGTAGTCAAAGTGCTTGGTATGGAGATGACAGAAAGTTGTGAAAAAGGGGCCAAGTGGAGTAGACCGCCGACTCCACTCAGTAGGCCAACCACACCTCAAAATATCTACATTTCAGGTGCCGTACCTTCTCAATCACAATTATTAGTCAGTGATTCGCATACAGAAACAATTCCAGCTGAAGATCATGCAGTTGTACTTACTGGAAAAGTCACACTTTCTCTTATTGGGCTTGAAAACGTAAGATATTTACAGGGGTCCTTTGAATAATTTAAAATTGTAAAGTATAAATTACATTGTTTCTTTTGTCTCAGAAAGAAGGCTATTAATTACTAAATGCATTCTAAATTATTTTTTATGTTTTAGGAGGAAGGATCTGCCTATAAAGTTTCTTCATCGGATCAATTAAGCGAAAATAAAAAAGGTATACCAATTTAAAGATATACAGTGCTCTCTCAGTAATCTGAACTAATTGCTGCAGGGAGTATTTGGATTTCTGAAAAATTTAGATTACAGAGGGTGTTAAAAACTACATACATGTGTATAAAAAAAATTTGCAACACAACATTGTAAAATGTTAAACCTATTTAACCTATATATACTGTAAATTTTTGTTTTAAAAAATCTTCCTTTTTTTAGATTTTCCTCATTGCTTCTTTCTTTTTTTTAAGCTGTAGGTATATTATATTTAACACAAGAAAAACTATATAACTTTCAATGTTTTAGTACCAAAAGGTGAGGATTCACTGAACAAAAGAAAATTCTCAAAAATTCCTACGCTTGTCTTGGTCTTTGTACGGCCGTTCATTCTCTCTCTCTCTCTCTCTCTCTCTCTCTCACACTCTCTCTCTCACACACACACACACACACACACACATTTCCTCCCGATATTGTTTTTTTTCCTTTGCTATTCTCACTTCTTGAATGTTTCCCATTTTGGATGAGCGAGAGAGCACTTATTATTGAATTTACATATGTACAAGGAATATGTCTATTCCTAAAAATCCTAAAAATTGTCTTGATTTGCCCATGTATTTTTAACAGTTTTGAAACTATTTTTCAGATAAAACAGAATGTGAAACTGGCTTGAACAGTGATGAACACCATGACAGTTTTGGCTCTGAGGACTGTAAGTATTTTGAACACATATATATGGGGGAGATAAGACGAGAGAAATTTTAAACATTTAAAACCAAACCTAACCAACATTATTTACATAACAGTTTTCAGGTTACTTTTGGATTCAATTTGTTAAATTGTAATTTATTAACATAAAAATGTATACACTTAAATATTGGATTGTCACACATAAATGTTCATTTGTTGAACAGGAAGCAAATGAAAAATTGCTTATACGCTTATATTCTATTTTACAGACTTATCTGTATATGATTGGAAGTTTCTTTAAATTTGATTCATTTGCCAAAAGTTTTCCTTCAGTAAAGTTGTTTTAGCTGTGAAGAAAACTGATAGTCCATAAGAGACAATTCATGAAGATAAGGGAGTTGTAGGATTTCATAGCAATTGCTATTGCTGTTAAATAAAAATAAGTGTTTGTTACAGATTGTAAACATTTGTTTGTAATCAACGTGGAACTCTAAAATGTGACATTTCATGTGGGACCCATCATTTGAAACATTGTCCGATACATATTTCAATTTCAATTGTATGTGTTTCAGCAAGCAAACTTACGGAAATTGAGAACAAAAAAACTAATATTTCAGCTGATGAACATGAAGAAATAAAGGAAACGAAGGTGTGGATTTTACTTTTAAAAAAAGCTTATTTTAATAGCCAAAATGCATACAATTTTTGTTGTATATTTATTTATTTACGTATTACAACATTTACGTATTTAATTCAATCAACTTAACTTTATTGTTGTTGCACCTTAACGTATTTGTTTATTTTAAATCTATCTCAAATGGGGTTTGATGTTAACATGGTTTAAACAACTACTTAGTGTTACATTAGATCTTGACTTAAACCATAAGACTGCTGACACACTGGAACCAACTACGACTGTGACTTCGGACAACTTAAATGTCCAACTTGAGTTCTCAAATTAAACAAACATGTCAGAGCCGTTTGTCCATGTCAATTTTATATTCCAGTCCATATGATTTTTTTAAGACAATTTCTTTAATTAAAATAATTACTTTTTCTTTGTTCATGGCTACTCACATAAAAACCAAGCTGTTTCACATTCTATGGGAGCTCAAGTCTACGAAAAGTTCAGATTAGCTTGAAAACGTATAGGTCCGCCTCTGGCTGCACCATATTTACTGAGTCACCTCCCTCGCCCATAAAACGTAAAACACTGGGGCCTCAGTACACACACAAACATACGCTGTGACTTTCTCAAGTTTTTTCCTGGTGAACTATCTCGCGGAGACTCTTTCTGCAATTGCCTCTCATAGACTTACAACTAGCCTTCTTTTTTCCAAATCACAAACCTCGAACCCCGTGCTTTTAGTCACTATTCTATTACATTATCACTAAATTGTTTTCCTTAAAAAAATGTAATAATAGTATTGAGATATGTACTGTAAAATATTCCCATCCAGGAGAGGATTTATTTATGGGACCAACGGGAAAATAATTACTACATATGGAATGTGCAAACATTTTTTGTGTGCAAGAATAAATATGTAAATAAATTATATTGAGTTAATATAATTTTGTGAAAAGATTTACATAAATTTAAATAAAATGAAAATTATATATGTTCGGTTCCAGTGTGAGGGGATTGATAACATTCCCATTGGAAAAGTTTCTATGAAGTTGGTCAAATACCGATCAAAAATTGGACATAGTTGGTTCTCCAGTGTGAGAGCAGCCTTAAACATTAGATGAAAAAATGCATGCACATGGATTTTTAAAAAATTAATCTGAAATATAATACATCCACATAATATCCAAATTACATAAATTGTATTGGTTTATTTTTAAAGGACCTTTCTGCAACAAACACAGATGAATTTGATGTAGAGGGAGAACAGGATGACTTAGAGGAAGAGTATGAGGAAGAAGTTGAAGAGGAAGAAGATTTCGAATCAAACGAAGGAAAACAAAAGCACATGGAGACATAAAATTTGAAATTTTGCTAATTGATGCAATTGTTTATAACTTTTGTCAACACTTTTTTTGAAAAAAAATGGATCAAATAAATTGTAAATGTGTTTTATATTGTTAAAGATATGTTAACAATTGAAAAAACTAGTCTCGTAAAGTCAGATAGGTATCATTATGCTTCAGTATTAATTTTGAGGTTGAAGTACACACAGTTTTGAACACTGTAGTTATATTTATTATATTGTGTTATTTTATTTTTATTATTGTTAAATGTGTGTTAATTTGCTAACAGGTTAACACACAGTTACTTGTTTTGTTTGATTGATGTTGTTAATCATAGTGTCATATTTGCCTAAGCAATGATATTAACATATTAGCATTATAAATATAATCAACGATTTAAATTATTAGTGCCAAAACTTTATTGTGATATATTAATATTGAACAGATGTGCTGATTTGACAGCTTTAATAGGATTAGTTCTGACGGGCTTCCTGGGATTTGTTAATCATTTATCTCTCTATTGGGCAATCAGGTTTCAATAATGTTTAGGTACCACCGCTACAACTTCTATTAGTTTCTTGTCATTACGGAACTTTCTTACAGCTGGCTTACTCAGAATTAAAAATCAAATACAATTTCTAATAAAAAAAAACATTGTCATTGTTTATAATAAAAATGTGGATTGTAAATCATTGTTCAATTTATTACTGTTATTGTAAAAAAAAACACGTGGGGGGGAATTATAAGCTGCATCGACATTTGTAAAAAGAAGCAAATTGTAGAGCAATAATCAAAACTGTCTTTTACTTCCATTTATGTAGAGATAAATGTTATATGACTTATTTTATAACCGGATTAGCGTGAAAACTGAAGTCACCGGATTGTGTTGAATTCATACATTTTGCAACTTTGGCCTACATAGATATAAAATATACATGTGATAGAAATAAAATTAATTTTCCTACAATTTTATTTTTTATTTTTAGTACTTTATCATATGTAATAATTTGTACACATTTAGTGACATATCTTTTGTCTGTTCACACGTCCTTTTATTTTTATTTATTTATTTTTTTTAATCGCTGTAAATGATTATTAAATGCAGTAATTTTAATGTGTGTAATTTTACCAGCATTCAAATTGACTTATCTTGCACCAAGTATTGTAAAAAGTATACAAATAATTTTTTTTAAAGAAATAGTCTAATATATAAAAATAAACTATTTTTAATACATCAATCTTAATATTGCATTAAATGGTAACTGTATTGCAAACAAATTGAATTATTTATAAGTAAGATATTAAATAGATATTGATGAATAATATAGATTCATGTGATTTAATGTCAAAAACGAGTTTAATAAATAACTAGTATTGAAAAATACATATTGTTTGTTATTTATTTAGGTTCCGTACCTCAATTCTGCTTGCACAATTAAAATAATGAACATTTAAAAAAAAAATCTTAACTATCTCAAAACCTTGTTATAAAAAAAATTCCTGTTTTTAAGAAGGGCTTTCAACTACTGGCTTATATGAACCCTCGGAGTGCCGGTGTTTTTTACTTGACCTTTACTGTGATGAGCGCTGTGTCAATGTGTAAATCGTTGTAGTCACTGACACCCCCAAATAATATATAATACGCTGAATACAATTTTTCGAGAAAATCAAAAATATTATTTTTGCACAACATTATTGCCTTACAAAAACCTTAACATTTTATTTTAAGGGTTTTTTGGAGGGGGGAAACAAATATTAACTTTGTCCTTGTTTTATTTTATTCTTCTTGTTCCAATTTATTCATTGATGCCAACACGTGTAATTTAATCAGTTCTAAAACCCTATAAAGTTTCAGGTAGATCGGTGATGTTTCAAAGTTCTTATCATTTCTGTGATTTTTAGGGGGGAAATGGCAGCCTTTTTGAAAGGTAAACGTTTTGAGAAAAATTTTTTCCCAAAAATTTGTAAACAGGGTTTTTTGGACTGTTTCTTGTTTTAAAAAATATATTTAAAAAAAATACTTTGCCAAGTCAGGTTCTAATTATGTACGTTCATAAATACCCATGTTAGCGCATTTTAAAATAATCTGCGTCCTACAAAAAATAACATTAATTAAATATATACAATATTGCTGAAAATCAATGCAAAAAGTTCAGAACTTATTGAACTATTTTTTGGTTTGGAACGTTTAAAATTAACCCTTTGTGCACAAACTTTTTTACGATTCTGCACAGTTCTTCCCCTTCTTTCAATATAGAATCTAGATATCTATCATTCGTCTAAAGGGCCAACAAGGCAAGCACATAAACACTACAAGGCATAAACATTAAGACATACATAAACCATGAGAGACAGAGACAAAAATAAATAAAAACTAAGAAGCGAAGAGATATTTATTTATTTAACAGTCTGCAAGCCATTTTATATTATAATGTACGTATATTATATCAATATGCTTGTTTCAACTTGAAAGAAGTTTTTCAAAAACAAACATAAACACTAAGGACAAAGATAAATAAATCACTTTCTTTTTCTACTTTTTATTACTGAATCTAGAAATGTCTGATCTTTGTTTACTAATCTTTTTTACATTTGTGCACAAATACATCACTATCTATCCATTATTTTATTATTGAATCTAGATATATTTATCATACTAAACTATTAAAGGATATTTCATTTGTGCACAATACTGCATCACTATCTTTCTCTTATTTTTATTATTTAATCTAGAAATTTCTGATCCTTTGTCCTCTAAACTTTTTTACATTTATGCACAATACTTCATCATTATCTTTCCTTTCTTTTATTATGGAATCAGAGACAAAGAGAAAGAAACACTAAGAGACAAAAACACTAAGGGACAAAGAGAAGTCAACATTTAGTGATAAAAACAATAAGAGACAAAAAGATATAGATATTAAGCGGCAAAAAACAGAGTTATAAACATGACACAAGATACAAAGAAAAATCTCTATCCTTTATATATTAAACATATTTCGTTGGTGCACAATATTACATCACTATCATTCCCTTATTTTTATTATTGAATTAGGGACTGAGAGATATAAACACTAAGAGATAGGAGATAATCTCCTATAAATCTTTGTGTACCTGAATCATTATCCTTTGTGTATCAAACATCTTTCATTTATGCTCAGTGCTGCATAACTATCTTTCAATTATTTTATGATTGTTTCTAGGTATCTCTATCATTTTTGTAATAAACTTCTTGCATTTGTGCACAGAACTCCCTCACTATTTTATTATTTGTATATCTCAATCTTTTGCCCACTAAACTTTTTCACATTGGTGCCCGGTGGAACATCACTATCTTTCCTTTCTTTTATGATTCAATCAGGGGCAAAGAGATATTTCCACTAAAAGACAAAATTATCACTATCTGCTTCCTCTTGTATTATTGAATGTAGATATTCTGACCCTTTGTACACTACACTTTCTTCACTTGTGTGATAAGGGATATTTTTAATTCATTCTTATTCTATTAATTTTAATTATATCAACCGATATATTCTTGTTAGTTGGATAAAACAAAATAGAAAATACAAACAAAAAACAAATAAATGTTAATCCTCATTTTTCCTCAGAATAGTAAACATAAAGATTACTCATTTTGTAAACAAACACTTTTCTTGTCTTTTCTCCATTTTAATCTAGTTGTTTTCTCTTTAACCATGGAAAGACATCATCTTGAACCAGAAGTACGCAATATTGTGAATGAGTCATCGAGGTCACCAGCGAAAGTGGATATCACAGAGGCAGTTGGTGTTTCTCAGGTGTGGTCTCCTGGGCTTTAACCCGATTCCGAGAGACTGGAAGTGCCATAGGAGGCCTGGTAGTGGATCTCAGCGCACCACGGCGCTAAGGGAGGACAGAAATATTGTCATTGCTGCAAGATGGAACCCTTTCCATAGTGCCTGCTAGATACTAAATGAGGTACAAGATGTTTTGGCAAGGCTTTTATCAGCATGGATAGTTGGCCTCACACCGTATGCCCCTTTGAGATGACCTGCAGCAACAGCCCACCACCAGCAACCCAGGAGAATATGATGCAGCAAGCACCTGAAGTGAATATCTATTTGAATGCTGTTATGTTTACTGATATATAGTATATTATGTATTGAGGGCTCAATACTGCGTTTGTATAGTATAGCAGGTGCCGAAGAGGCTACTGAGAGCAGGGGATGTGTACAATGCCCCAGTTTGTTACAGCAATGAGTTTGTGCTCTCTTCGCTGCAGTTTGGAGGTGCTGAGATTTGCACTGGAAGATGAACAGGACTCCCTATTGTTGAAGGCAACCTCACTGCAGGCCCCTATGTCCAAGAAATATCATCGAGGAATACATCTCTCAAATCAGGGATCTCATTGGAGGCATTTTCTATTTTTGGATGACAATGCTAGACTTCATAAGGCAGAGTTGTTCATCAGTGTTTCGAAAACCTGGGAATTTCCCATCTGTCCTTTCTCCCATTGTCTCCAGACCTCAATCCCACAGAGCACATGTGGGATGCATTGCAGAGCTTTTCGATCATCATCTACAGGCAGTCTGCAACAACTGTGTGCAGCGTTGCAACGTCTATGGAGTGAAATTCCTTATGAAATTAGTGACAGCCTTATTGACAGTTGTTGCCTAACAGATGCACAGAGGTTTTAGTTACATGGTATTAATCGTTTGAAAAAATTATTGTGTCTAATAAACAAATTTATGGAATTAAATTTATTTTATTTTTCAAAATCCCTTAATTGAATTTTCCTTCAGTAAAAACAATAATTTCTAATAAATTTTAAAGAACAAAACTAAAATTAAAATGCTTGGTAAATTAAATACTACAAAATTGGCAATATCCCTAATCATTTTTGAGCAGTTTATTTACCTTCAATTCAGTATGTAATCAGGAATTGACAGTAGGACACATACTACATGTTACTGTTATACCACAGAAAGAACATAGTTCAAACTGCCAGAGATGCTGGGCGATAGTGCCCCTCTTATTTCTCTTTAAGTTTTTAGAAAGAACGGAGCTGATAAACAGAATATAGTAAAGTAGAATTGGGATCAATAGGGGAGAAGCTTGGGGGTTTGTATGTTGGGGTGCGCCCTTGGGTGGACTATTCGGTTGGGGATGCTTGGCGGATAGGATGGGTGAGCACCTCGGGCAGGTTTAGCCCCGGGTCTGTTGAGAGGATATGGACTTTTACAATAAATACATTGTAAATGGTTTTTACCCACATCCCTCAAAAAAGTCCATAATCATAAAGGAGGACAAGTCCTCATAAAGATGAGTGCTTACACATCCGCCCTGATGGCGGGGGCTGTCTCTTGGGATGGTGTTGTTCCCTGACAGGACCTTCCTTTCCTTCTCCACATTAGACCATTCGACAACACCAACTTTTACCTGAATATCAAGAAACTCTAAATGACCCATAGTAGTTGAAGACCATAAAAAATAAATAAATAAAATAATAAAATCTGTAGATTGATTGGCCTGTTATGGCAATTCTGAGATGAATTCATTATAAAATAAATATGCTAGGGAAAGTAAATACTACAAAACTGGCAATATCCCTATTCATTTTTCAGCAGTTCGTATGATACATCTCTGTTTTGTTCAAAATTGCACAATTATTGCGGAGGGGGGAAAGTTGGGGGAAAAAATACGTGCGTTTTACGTGTATAAAGAGAATATATACATAAATAAAAAAGATCTTGTTTTACAATAGCGTAACCGAAGCATTTTTAGCGATTTCGAGTATATTTAAACATGTCGTAGAATAAGACCGGAGATCGTCTTTCGGCAGAGGTTCAGTTGGCAACACTGAAAGTCGTATAACCGTCGGCCTTTCGACGAAACCTCCGTGCTCGGTGTCGAGTGGAGGTGTGGTGACGTGTGAATGTTGGAGGCATCGTTTTGCCGTGTTTTCTATCCCAGATCGTGCCCGTCTCTCAAGCTAGGACGACGTTCGTTGGTCCGGGCCAAAGCGAATATTTCTCAATATCTCTACGAACGTTTTCCACATTTTTTTGCCATTTAATTTCCACATTTGAAGTTTCTACGACCCAGCCATCAAAATAGGAGCAATTATGGAATTTCGGTAAGTTTTTTCCTCACCTGGGAAAGTGGAGTCTGTTTTGTACCTTTGCCTAAAAAAAAAAATCCTTCATTATAAAATGTTTTCAGTACTTTTCCTCGTGGAAAAGTGTTTATATTGAAATTGCAACTTAATATTCCCCAATTACTTGAATGACAGATGCTTATAATGCTTATCCTTTCCAAATTTTTATGACAAACTTTTACACTTTTTTTAAGATAAATTTGTTTATTTAAGTTTTACAATAGCCTAGAACAATTTTATTGTGCACAATATTGACAAGTGTAGACAAGATTGTCACAAAATCTACTTTTACAAGGGTGCCATAATGCAATGACCAGGCATACTAAATAAGAACTTAATTACAAAGAACCAATTGGCTCTGATTTATTTGTAAGTAAGTTACCTGAAAACGGAAAAGAGAAAGCATAAATGTGTTTTTCTTAGTGACTTGTTGTTTCATACTTTGTAGAAGTCGTGAAGACCCGTCAAGAATGGGGTAGTTTAGAAAAACACCTTTTATATTTTTTCCCAGTCGTTTCGACCTTTATTCGGGTCATCTTTGGAGCATAAAGTTATTGTGGTGTCATATTGGTTTTGTGTGAGTGTTGTGTAGGTACTTATAGTATTGGGCTGGTGCAAAAATAATGCATGTTTTGAAAAGACAGCCAAAACTATTTTTAGTTTTTTATAAAATAAAGAAAATTTATTTGAAATATTCTCCATCATAATCTATATATTTTTGCTACAGCATAATATGTAAGCGATAAAAATGTTTGCTAGAACTTGTTTTAGAACTTTACACTTTTTTATGGAGGGTTACTTGTATTATAAAATAAATGTTCTAAATAAATAATTTTGCAGGAGATTATTTCTTTTATGTATGAAATGGAAGGATTTTTCAGCTGTGTGTTGCTCTACTGTGGTCGCTGTTTTAAAACATATTTTCAATTTTTTTCAGGTTTTATATTCTCTTTGCCCTTTTGGGTTGCGCACTCGCTGCTGAGGAAGGAGACACGGGTGCAAGACTACTCATATCTAAACAGATATTAAATAATTACATTGTTGAAGATATGGATCTCATTGTAAAGGTAAAAAAATATTTATTATTTTATTATGTGTTAAAATTGTGATTGTAATTTAATGAAGTAAAACAAGAGTGTTGGTACATCATTACACTGGTTTGAGTTGTACGAGGTGATGAACCAATAATTTGATCGTCTCCTAATCATCTTGGTCTGCAATTTCTTGCCCATTTCATTACAACATTACAAGCAAAATGCCAAAATAAGAAAAAACAGACCACAGCGATCATACTAACTCAACCTAAACATAATTAATCTTTCATGTAAGACTTATTTTCATTGATTAATGTCCTCCCTTGGGCATTTTTATTGTTCATTTATGCCTTGTAGACATCTGAATGTTGTCAGTCCACTTGTGCATGTCCAGTTTTTTTATATTTTTTTATTAGCTGCATTTGTCTGTTGTTTTAGCCTTTAGCCAATTATTTTATTGATGAAATTAATCCTTTGGTATTTAAGAGCCAATTCATTGTAAAAAAAAATACTTCAACAACTTGGCACTGCTCAATAATTTAAATTTTACGTTATATCTGGAAACATTTCGATTAAAAATTAGTTTTTAATCCTTTTGTAATATTTATAAACAATAATATGTTCTTAAATCGTGTAATTTTGAATTTTTAGTACACACTTTACAACATTGGGAACAATGCTGCTAGCAATATTGTCTTGTCTGACAATAGCTTTAGCCCAGATATCTTCGGTACAGCAGGAGGTCATTTGAACGTCAAAATCTCAAGGATCCCCCCTGCAACGAATATAACTCATGTTGTCGTGTTGAAACCAAAGAGGGTCGGCATGGTTAATTTTACTTCGGCAGAAGTTAGATACACAAACTCAGATGAATCCAACGAAGTGAGTATATTCTTTTATTTTTATCGCAATGTTCTGTTAACGGTAAATTTAATGATGTGCTTCAATATCAGGTTCAGGTTGGAATCAGCAGTGAACCTGGTGAAGGATACGTTATCGCCTTTAGGGATTATGACAAGAAATTTTCACCTCATTTGGTAAGTCCATAAATTTATATTGTAAAATTTTAAGAGCACATGTGAAAAGTTGCACACCAAATAATTTAATTGATAATAATTTTTGTAAATTGGCCAGTCTGCTTTCTCTTTCTCTACGCATTTGCCAATACTTGACTGGAGTTTTTGTACCCTTTGCAAATTTTAAAGAGTTGTTTATAGATTGTCCAGCATGACTTTTAACTTGTTATTTTCTTGACTTATATTTGTTATTTTATGTACATTACTCTTCACTTTAATTAAATTAAAAGTAATCGTCTTCTAAAAACAGTTTTCAATATAAGGATTTTAAAAAAGCATAAAATCCAATATTTCTCTTGGTCTGCATCAACTCGGTTTTTGTTGATTTGAGTCAATCAATCAAGAGGTTAAAATTGTTGACATCCTTTTATCAATTGAGGTTTGTATACGCAAATAAGAAAGTTGGGAAATATTAATAACTTAACTCAATGTCCTTCCAGTTCACTAAACACTGATAGAAATTGTTTCAATCTTTTAAGTTTTCCCATCACTAACCCTACCTAACCCGTCCCTAATCTTAGTTCTACCTAACCTCTATAATTTAGCCCATTCCTAACCTCTAACCTATCCCATCCCTTTCTAGCTCTACCTATCCCCTAACTTAGCCCGTCCCAAACTCTACCTAACCTAACCTGTCCCTAACTCAACACAACCTAATCTAACTCCCCGGTAATGCAAAATCTATGACACAAAAATGATCATGGAAAAAATTGTGTATTCACCATAAAAACACTACGTTAAATGAAGTCCTGTAAGATTATCGTAGCTTAGACAAAAATAACTTGTTTTATTTTATAATAAACATTCCCGTTTAAATTAAAGTTTTATTGTACGCAATGGAATATTGAAAATTAAAACATCCAATTCTTTGAAATTCCCAAAACTGGACAAAGAAATTTTTCATGCTTCTGCTTTTCCATGTTTAAATATATGCAAATAAGATAAGACAAAATAATTTATGCCTATGATAGACTAGAACGTAATAAGTCTCGTAAAGCAACCATAATCTCCCCTAACATAAATGTTAGAGAGGATACAAACATTTTTCTTGTATTATTTCTTTCTCTTTGAAGAAAAAATCATAGGACACACAAGTGAGTACTCTGCAGTCAAGGGTTTATATTATGTTTACATATTAAATTTAGAAAAAACGTTTATACAGATTTTGTATTTAGTTTTTTGTAATTTTGAAAAACATCACTAATGCAACATTGATTTAATTATAATAGTGTATTGTGAATTTTTTGTTGAAGTCTGCGCAGTGATTTACCCGTAGTTTGGTTTTTTCCAATCATCGTGATCTACACACCCTTGCTGTTTTAATCTTTCGGACCAAGATGATCAGAAAAGACCAAACAAAAATCTATCCAGTAAGTTTGAATTAAAGCATGACTCTTTTGTTCCAGATCGACTGGGGTGCATTCGCTGTTATGGCCTTTGCTCCTTTGTTCATCCCGTTTGTCCTTTGGCGCTCAAGCAAGACAAAATATGAAAGCTCTCTGTATCAGAAGAAGTTGAAAGAATAAATTAAACAATGAAAATAATTTATTAAATTGTAATAAAAATATTTTGTTTACAATTTTTTTGTTTTTCTTCAATTGGCTGTAACATAGTTGTTAATCACCTATTATGATTTTAAGTATTAATTGCTTATTAATTTAATTAAGGATAATAAATTGGTACTAACTTACTAAGTTATTAGCACTACTAAGTACTACTTAACTAAGTACTTACGGTGTAATTATCCTCAATAACACTTTAGATACAACACAAAAATGTATTAACTGCTTATATTCTACAGAAAATTTCATTAAAACTTGCTGCTTTTTAACCCTTAAAGCCACAGGTTGCTGCTATGTTCTTCACAATCAATAAATGGGAGATTTGAGGAAAGTGAAATTATTTCTCTGACGAAAACTGTGAAACAGTGGTGAGTCCTCTTGGAGTAATGTAGCTCGTCAATTCAGATGATCTGTGAAACACAATTTTTATTCATCTACACGGTCATTGGTGACCAAAATCCATTCGTCCACTGTGACATAAAAGATCTATTGTGGAATTGACACTTCTTTATTTCCAAACCTCGAAAAGTGCACTACCTTTAAAGTAATTTAGCACTTTACTTCCCCCTTAAGTGACTGTTTCATTTTGGCATTATTATTTCCTTTCTGAAGAGGTAGTACTGTTTCCAGACTAATAATTTCACATAGGACAAGTTCCGATGAGGCCTTTTATTTTTCCTTTAATTCTTGCCTGCCGAGAGAGAAAGAGAATAAAAAATAAATGAGAGAGTGTAACAAGAAAAAGAGTGAGTAGTGTGTGTAATAATTAAAAGAGAGAGAGTGAAATAAGTAAATGTGTGAGAGAGAGTGTCTAATAAAAAACAGAGTGTATGTAATAAGAAACGAGAAAAAGTGTAATACATAAAGAGGGAGAAAAAATAGTGTAATAAGTAAAGTGAGAGAGTGTAACAAGTAGTTGAAAGAGGGAGAGAGTAATAAGGATAGAGAGAGAGGGAGAGTGTGAAGAAGAAGAGAGAGGGAGAATGAGTGAGCAGTGTGTGTAATAATTAAGAGAGAAAGAATGTGTGTATTAATTCAGAGATAGAGGGAGAGAGTGAATAATATATATTTCTCCATAAAAATTGATTCCTATTTGTCAGACTTCTTTAAAACCTTTTAGGTAAAGGTACCTTTTATGTAGGAAGGCGGGCATATGTTGGGTTAGGGACGAGTTAGGTTAGGTAAATTAAGATGTCAGGTAATGTAAGGTAGGGTTAGGGATGGATTAGGTTAGGTAAAGTAGAGTAGGATTAGGTTACATATCAAAGATTAATATTAATTTTCTGTAACGTGAATCAAAAAAATTCAGCCGAGAATGTATAGGTTGAGTGTTGTCTTGTTGAAACAAAAATATTTTCCTATTCACCAAAGTCTCTTCTCTAAACATTGTACTTAACATGCCTTTAGGTATGAATACATAGGTTGGGTTAGGGTTAGGGACAGGCTAGGTTAGGTTAGGTAAAGAAAGGTAGGTTAAGAACTGATTAGGCTAGGTTAGGTAAGGTAGGGTTAGGCTGATGCTTTTATGCCCAATTTTTTATTTGTATCCAGCCCTGAAAACATACGCACATTTAAAGTCACGTCACAGTTTAAAGGTTTAAAATAATTTGTCCAAGGCTATTAAAAATTACAAAATGGAAAGATATGATTTAATATTATAGTAGAAATACAATGAATCAGAATACACACAATCAATGATTAGTACAAAACTCAATTGTTAAAAGTCTTAATAATAAAAAATATATTAAGTGGTATCCTGTTATCACACAGGAAGGAGAGGAAGCACATGTTTTCCATAAACACCACACATACATACATTTTTTAAATACACAATTTATTAATTTAATGATTGAAGAGGTCAAAACCAGTAATAAAAATTTGTAAAATTAGTAAAAATGTAACATTTCTATGTGATTCGGAAATGTTTTAGTACATTAATAAAGTCAACTGACTAGATTCAATTTCATTATCTGATTGTTAGAAATTAAAATAATTAAAACATTTTAAAAAAATATATAATTATAATGTTCAGTTCAAGAAAATTATAATGATAAGTTAGGAAAACCTTAAAATGATTTTAGTTAAGCATGGGCCTAGGTATAAAATTAAAATGCATACATCCATCATGAAATTGTCGAAGACTACTACACTTTCAGCGTCGTAAACTCTAATAAAAACTGCACTTTACACCTCCCATAAAATAATAAATTCGCAAGTTCAAAAACATTAGTCTCCTAAATAGTTTGCTACTACTGAAGCTCTGTGAGAGTTGGCAGTGAATTGTAACATTTTTTTTCTAAACATTAATGAGATTACGATTGAAACATTAATTATGTATTTAAGAACAGTTAACATAAAAATTCCCAGGACTTTTTTTCAAGTATCAAGCATTAAATAATTTTGAGTCAATAACGCAAAAATAAAATTATAATTTTAATTAAGTATATGATTGCTTTCAAAATAAACTGTCAGTTTTATTTATTTTTTTTTTTTTTAAGGATAAACTATCAACAACCCCTAGCTAACACCTTACAAATTAGCATATAAACATTTTTTTATGAGGTAACATTTTTATTTGTTAATACAAAATGTTTTCTCAAATATATTTTAAAAAAAATGTAATTTTTTTTATATTCACTTCAGTGATCATCCACTAAACGTTTTAACTAGATATTGCATTGCACTTATTACTCATATTTTGATACCCTCATTACAACTATTAATAAATTAACAATTAATTTAAGTTTCAACTCTTATCGATAATGATTTCAGTTCATGTAAGCTAGATTATTTATTTAGTACCATTTAATTAGAACATCCTTCTCTACAAATATATAAAATTTTATTAATATTGTTTTGTAAAATAAAAAAATTATAATTAAACATTTTTTCATCATACAAATAAATTTTGACATTTTCATTTGTCATGTTGATATAAAATTCACATTGAAGATTGGTTATGTGAAAATAATGTTTATTAAAATAAAATAATTCAATTATATTTTAAATATAAATCATTGCTTATTATTTATTAGAAACATAATCAATCATAACCTGCCTGCAAAATTTATAAGACTAATAATCTCAGTCTTGCCTGGATGAAAAAAAAACAAATTCAATTATCTTCTAAGCTTTCGACCTGCTTTAAGGTTATCATCAGAGCTATAAGATCTTAAAGAGGTTTACAAATTGACATAATTATGTTTTTAATAGATGGTTTCAATTTTCTTTGAATACCGACTCAGTTCCAACATTGCCAAGGACACAGCTGGGACCGAGTCGGTCTTCAAAGAAAATTGAAACCATCTATTAAAAACTTAATATGTCAATTTCTAGCCATCTTTAAAAATTGTTTGCCCTGATAATAATCGTAAAATAGGTCGAAAGCTTGGCAGACTGGATTTGTTTTTTTATCCGGACTATACCCACCACATCCAGATTATTTGTGAGTAAAAAAAGTAGTCAATACGCCTAACATGTTAAATTTATAAGAAACTAATTCTTACTCTTAACTCTTATATACTTCATTGGGTGTTAACTTAATATTAATGTTATTAATTAAAATATAATTTAAAAAAAGATAAACGAGTTACAAGGATTTTTTTTTTGCTTTGTGCTAAGTGAAGTGTTTATAATTGCTTTTCTTCCTTAAATGTGCCAATTCTATAACCACACAACTTAGCAATGCTTAAAATTTATGAACTTCGAGGATTTGCATACACTGCTCATATTTCTTGCAAGCAAAATATGTTCAGTGTTGACTTAAGTGCTGTTTGATTACCAATGATCATTAATGATTTTATAAATTTTTGCTTTTTATCGATTAATATTAACATTATTGTTTTTATATAATTACAAACTTTGATACATGACAATGAATACACACAGTACAATAACTACAATATGCTTGATTTTGTTTTTGTTACATTAATACACGACATTAAGTCTTAAAAACAAAGGCTAAAGGCCTTTAAGGTTAAAAAAAAAATAATTAAAGTGGCACTATTTTTTTTATTTTTAGTTATAAAATTGCTAGTAGAGAACACAATAAGAAAATATATTGATACTAAATTGTAAATAACATTGAAAAATCACAAATGGTTAAACGTACATTGAAATATTACTGTGAACTCAGTTATTACATCAGTATCACATGAAATAGTTTTAGTGCACCAGTTAGGCGTTTTCATTACAAATAGTAACCAAGAAAAGTTGGTTCGTTGAAAACAGAAAAAAAAAAATATTTACAAATGAACACATTAAGGAGGGACATAAGGAGGAGGCATTCTATAGGTTGGCGTCGGTTTTGGACGTGCAGAATCCCTGCTTGTTGTAAACGGAGGAGGAGGCTGGTACGGGGAGTCTTCCGTGTCTGATAGCAATGCAGTCGTGACTAAAGGTGAGCCTCGTTGATATTCGGGCGGAGGAAGTGGTGGTTTTTCTTCTTTCATTATAACCGGGCTTTTATTCGTAGGCTCTGGTCTTTCATCCAACTCGTCCTGAAATATGACTGGAATCCCCTTGCTACGAAACGTTTGCCTTTCATCTTCATCTCCTACAGACATTTTTCCTGTTCGCCTCCTTCGGTATAAAATGCATGCTACTAAACCGGCGCATAAGAGCATTACGGCGATTACGATTGCGGGTATCAATAATCCGATTATGTACTGTTCTCCTTGAGAAACTGCCGTCACATCACTGGTAGCCGTTTCTCCTCCATTTGGAGATATTTCAGTTAAAGCTCCCTGACAAAGGCCTGTGGGAGTCAGTCTTGCACCCAGAACTTGAAACTCTGGCAACATGAGCTGTATAACATGTGGTGTCACTTTTTCATCATCTCCAAGCAAAATCTGTAATTTAACATTCATTATTGAAATAAAACAATGAAACATGCTTTACACTGAGTTCTATGTGTTTAACTAAAGATTTCTCTGTAAATCTAAAAGTGATAAAAATAATTTAATGTACAAATTTTTGTTAATATTTGGCTGGAATTTCAATTTTCAGCCCTCTGGGTGACGATTTTTTAAAAATTTCTTGTCAGCCGACCAGCTGGTTGGAACACTTTGATTTTTCTGAAGGTCACCTGCACTGAACGCGTTATACCACAGAGATGGCCTTCAAGACAGCTCGTTTACTTATTTTCAAGATGATATTTCACCCTTTGTTAACCTTTCATTAGTTGCACCCGATTGGCAAGATGCAAAGTTAACATTTTTGTAATTTTACTACGAAAACAAACAAGGAATTCCTCCTCTTCCAAGTGCCTTCCTAACTTCCTCCAACTCACCAATCAGTGCACATATTGGACTAGCTCTGTTTATGGCAATACAACACAAAACACAAAACGTCCGATGCACCATGACTAAAGATTTTTTTTTTTTTTATCATGTTCTTTAATTATTTTTTACATTTATTCCAAGACCTGACAAGGTAAATTTAATTGCCTCGGATAATTTTCCTGAGTTCTTTGATGGAAAGATTGAATGCTATCTCAAAAACCTATACATTTTGAATGCACTTTGAAGGATGGAAAGTGGAGAATTTTAAGCTGATTTACCTTTCCCAGGTTTGTTATATTATTGCACATATATAAAATAAATTAGCTAACCTTTCTCAACTGAACGATTTCATTATCTGGGCAGAGATTGGTAGGAAGACTCTTGTTATGCCAAGTAATTACAGTCGAACCAGGCGTAAACCCACTCAAAACAATTGCATTTGTATTATGATCTTTGAATATGGCTGCTAATTTTTGCACGAATATTCTTTGGAGCGTTGGATTTTCCATAAAGATGCTATAATCAAGTGAGAGTTTCATACTGAACTCAACGTTGTACAAGATCCTTGGCGCAGGATGAACGTTAACAACCAATCCATCGTTAGTCGTGAGACCTTCTTTATCTTCACATATCTGAAATTCAATTATATATCAATAATAATTTTAGTAATCCGTATGTATTTAGTAGTCATAATTGATCATATTAATTATTTTAGTTAATTATATTTTTTATCTTATGTCTTGGTCGAGATGAAAAAGAGTGTCCTGCTCGTGATACTAGCTTTTTTATCTCGACCAACATCTTAGATAAAAAGTATAATTAATTACTATATTTTTTGTGTTAAATATTTAAAAAAAAAAAAAAAAAACTTTACCAATTGGTATTCAATTTGCCCAACATTAACAGGCATAGGGATACCATAAAATTCTTGATTTTTAACATCAAACTGTAACCAATGGCTGGGTGGAATTGGATTTCTATCGATGGTTACTAAAGAAAGTTTAAGCTGCCTAGTTCCCCCATCTTCTGGATCATAAAATGTATCCTGAAATATGACCAAATCCGTAAAAGTACCAAGGTAAAAATAAATCAATAGGAAAACTTAGTGAATTTTAAATAATAAAACAATAAATAAATTGCCACTTACATCAGGCACTGTAAAAACAAGAAGTTGGCCAACAGTTGCATTCAAATAATCGACTTGATTACGATTAACGGGTGGAAAATTTTCCTCTGGAAAAGGTACTTTTGGAAGTACACTTTTACATTGGCCTCTATCTTCCCAATCGATTCTATCGATTTTTATTTCATTCGCAAGTATACTTTGTAACCCGGTATTCTCATCCAACAATTTCTAAACAAAAAAAAGTTCTTAAAAATACACACATTTAGAAGTAGCCAAGTGGTCAGTCAATTTGATTTTCTCCTTCACAATTGATCATCGCATTCAATGAATTATTTATTTGGCTAAACTAAAGCCATTAACAAAGTTTTTTGTTTTGTTGGAGAGTGTATCATCTGAGGTTAAAGAAGGTGCAGCCTTGAGTCCCCTGCTTTTCTCCCTATTTTTAAATGATTTAGATGAGTGGATATGTATATTGGTGGGATTCAGATGGGGACCCTAAAAATCAAATTCTTATGCTTTGCTGATGATTGTCATTTGATGGTCCAACCCCTAGGAACTTCAATTCATGATAAACCCCTTCGAATTAAATATCGCTCTTTGAGGTCTGCCTATCAACTTTAAAAAAATCAAAAGCTACGGTTTTTAAAAATGAAAAATGGTTCTATGAGAAGCACCCTATCAAAGTCACCAATCAGATCACTACATCTTGATGGGAAAATAGCCAATTAGAGACAAGCTGTAAATGCAATTTGGAAGCAACTCTTTGGGGAAAGCTCGACAGCATTTTTTGCCAAAGTGAAAGTGTTTCAGTTATGCTAACAGACACTCTTATGTTTTGGTGCACAGATCTCGGGCGCTAAATAGTACTGTTGAAAAGTTCTAATGCAAGTTCTTAAAGAGAACTTAAGCTGTTTTCCCTTCCTTGCATCTGGAAAGCAGATGTGATTTGATTTTCTCCTTCACAATTAAATCGCATTTGGACTAATATACTAACGGTGGTGAGAATGCCAAATGACAAATGGCAAAAAATTATAGCACTGTACACAATGGAAAAGAACGTGTTAAATACTGGCCTTGTTCTTGCTATTGTAAATAGAAAAAAAGTTAATGCTTTACGAGTGTCTGTTGATAATGATGAGAAATATTTGCTGTATACAGAGCTTAATTTTGATTCAAAATACCTCTGTCTGGAGTCGCTAAACTTTAAATAAATTCAATTCATTATGAAAGCATGTGGCAAAGTTCTAAACCTGAGCATTATAAGACTTATGAGGAATTCAACTCTAACGAGGAACAATTTGTATCCTGTCATGTTTGGAGCAAATCAAGGATATCTTTCATTTTCTTAGTTAGACTGAAATATTTTAATTCAACTCTCACATGATAATTTTCTTAGTTTTCTAAATCTCAATTCTTTGAGTGTGCACTAGAGATCAGGTTTACAATCTGTTTAAAGAATAAGTTTTTATTCATTTCTTTGAAATATTATCGTACAAAATAAAATAATAATTAGTTTTTATTATGTCTGGTCACATTAAGGATTATATTGGGTTGTCCGGAAAATAATGCAGGATTTTAAGTTTTCATTAAAAAAAATCTATATAAAATATTCTGTTTACGTTTACAGGATTACTCATTTGTATGAATGTCAACACTTATTAATCCTCTTCCAAATGATATTGTTTGTTTACCTCTGTAGCATTCCGCTACTTGGAAATAATTCAGTCATCCTTATAATGTCAAAGCGAGAATTTCGTACGATTTTCTTTTACGAGTTTAAACTCGGCCGAAGCGGAGCCCAAACGGCTAGAAACATTAACCAAGTCTGGGGCGAGGGTTGTGTTAATGAGTGCACTGTGCAAAGGTGGTTTAAAAAATTTCGGGAGGGAGATTTCAGCCTTGAAGATGAAGAAGGTCGTGGAAGGCCTTCCTCTCTTAATGATGATGTTCTGCGATCAGTGGTGGAAGAAAACCCCAAAACAACTGTTCGAGAACTTGCAGAGCAACTCAAAGTCAGTAAAACGACCGTCGCTGACCACCTCAAGGCGATTGGAAAAGTGAAAAAACTCGAAAATTGGGTTCCACACTCATTAAACGATCGCCAAAAAAATCAGCGCTTTGATGTTTGTGCATCACTTCTTTGTCGAAACAAAAATGACCCATTTCTGGCCAGAATTGTTACATGTGACGAAAAGTGGATTCTCTACGATAACACTAGACGTTCTGGACAGTGGCTCGACAAAGGAGAAGCTCCAATACATTTTCCAAAGCCCCCAACTCATCAAAAAAAGGTAATGGTTACGGTATGGTGGGCTTCATTTGGTTTAATACACTACAGCTTCTTAAATCCTGGCGAAACCATCAATGCTGAATCATACTGTAACCAAATTAATACCATGCATCAGAAATTGGCAGTAATGAAGCCCTCTTTGGTCAATCGGAAAGGGCCCATTTTGTTGCATGACAACGCTCGACCACATGTGTCACGTGTAACGTCACAAAAATTATTGGAGCTTGGCTATGAAACTTTGCCTCACCCACCCTACTCTCCGGACCTCTCGCCTACTGACTACCATTTTTTTAGACACCTGGACCACTACTTACAACACATAATATTCAAAAATCAAACGGAACTGGAAAATGCATTTATTGACTTTATCAATTCTAAAAATTCTGAATTCTACTCAGACGGAATTAATAAGTTACCAACACGTTGGGAGAAATGTATTGAGAGTATGGGAAATTATTTTGATTAAAGAACATTGCTTTAAAGTAACTAGTTTCTTTTTTTTTGTTTAATACCAAAATCCTGCATTATTTTCCGGACAACCCAATAGTTTATATTTCATGTTGCAACTCTCCCGAATGGGCTTTTTCTTTTTGATACCTCTTTTGTTATGTACAATTGTACTTTGTTTAATAAAGACTTTAAGAACAAAAATAATAGTAAAATATATGTATATATTTATTTATTTATTAAAAAAAACTTACTTCGTATATCTGATCTATTGTAGTTGAAGAACAATCAGGCCTGACAAGAGAGTCATTTGTCCATGTAAAAACAATGGGATCGGTCGTTATTTTCAGTACTGTAATCTGACTGCTATTTGGATCAGACAGTGCTTTACTTATAGCATCGAGAAAACTAAGCTGCCATAATAAACTAATTTGTGTTGGTACGGATAAAAGTTTTGCGCTAATGGCATGATTTACAGTCCTCTTCCCTTTGTGGTTTTGTACGTTTACTTCGATCCTATCTCCTACGGTTAAATTTCCAGAATCTGTGGCATTCAGATAGAAGACCCACTTGGAAATATGCTCTTCTAGAGGCCTAAAGCAAATCAAATTTGTATAATTCGACAATTTATATATATATATACATATATAACTTTCATGTATAACACATCATACTAAGACTTACAGGGCAATAATTTCTTGGGTATCTTCTGAAAATTGTATCCAACTGTCTTCCCGTAAAGGCTCTCCGTCTTCTGCAAGTAAATGCACCCGGAGATTCCTTGTATTACCATCTTCTGGGTCGTTAAAAACGCTTTCAGGGATTTGATACCTGTGAATACATTAATAATTAATATGTTGATAATTTTTCAAAATATGTACAAATATAATGTATAACGGTTACTTAAGTGATTTTCCGGCAGTGATAAGTTTCTTTTCTAGCCTTTGGATTATCGACGGAGGATTGTTTTTTACATCGAAAAATTCATCTTCCCTAGTTTCTTCTATGTTCTTTTCTGGATTAAAGTCAGGTAACGTCGGTTCACTGGGTGCAATTGATATGGACCAAGATGAATTTTCATCGAGGGAGTCCGATGTTGAATTTATATCTTGCTCTCTGCCCTACAAAGGAAAAAATCCTTAAAATATCTCGAGCCCTTTCATCATTGATGAAGAATTCATTCAAATAAATAATTAAACAAATATTTATTAAGCATGCAGTGTAAGTGATAATTGATTAATAATCATGATTATTAAAAAAAGACAATCATAATTTTTAATTCTAACAATTAACACAGCAAACATGTAAACATACTGAACTGGCTGCTGCAGCTAACATAATACTTTTCGCATATTGGACTGCCTGAATATAAGTTTAAAAAATTAAAATACTACAAAAATACATGCAAAAAACTTTCTTTTAGACATTAAAAAAAAGTAAATCTAATAATATATTGCAAAAGTCGTGAAAAATACATACAAATTAACAACCTAAGAGAAAGTAATATAAAAATTTAAACTACACTAAGCCAACAAAAGTACGCAATGGTCTTAGCATTTTATTTCTGTTAAATTAACCCTTTTTAACTAAAACTTTACCGTTTTTTTTACTTCAAATTAACTTTTTTTAAAATAACTCTTTCTTTAAAGCATTAAAAAACTAAGGAAATAATATGAAATTACAAGGATATGAAGTAAATTCATGTATATGTAAGATTTTTTTAAAACACAAATTGAGACCTTATATAAAATACCACATGAAAATTAATTAAAATTAAGAATTCTATAAAATTAAATGATAAATAAACAAATAAAGTATAAAACAAATTGCTCTTCTAATAATTCTTTTTTTCTAATATAAAATAATTGGTCTATAAAATAATTATTTTATTTTTTAACTTAATACAGGAATCTTTTGTTTTTATATTTAATTTTTATTATTATTAATTGAATATGGTTTTTAAGACCAATTATTTTATATTTGAAAAAAAATCTCTCATTAATAATGGAAAAGAGATCTTTTGTTTTTATATTTAGTTTTATATAATTTTTAATTCTAATTATCATATGGCTTTATATAAGCCCAATTATTTTATATTAAAAAATATATACATAATAATGATTATTTGGAGATCGAGAACCAAATAATCATTAATTAACGGTCACTAAATAATACACATATACAATTTTATTTCCCATAGTTATTTTTCATACCATCGAATTGTATGGTATCTAATTGTTATATGTTTTAATGGTTTAAAGAAAGGGTAATTTGAAAAAGCAGGGTTCATTTTTTCGTTGAAAGAGTTAATTTGATTGAAAAAGGCTATACATTAATTTAGAAAAAAAAAAAATTCTACGCGATGCAAGCAATAAAATTAAGCAGAACGATTGCACTGATTGAAAATTACCACGGCTGAATCAGTAGGAAAAGGAGGTGAAGTGGGTGTAACGACCGAAGAAGATGCTGTCGGAAGAATTTCACTGCTCACTATTTGATCAACTTGTACACTTGTTAAACCAGGCCTCTCAGGAATCTGGAGATGTTCAAAAACCGTGTTCATTTGAGGCGTATTCGATGTGTTATAAAAATTTCAAAAGTAAACACATAAAAGAATGTAAAAAGCTTTTTCAATACATATAAACAAAATTCAATTTTGAGTTTATTATGATTATTTGTACTTCAGTATTTTTAAAATGTTGGTTATAAATTTGTCATAGAAAATACACTTTAGTCAGATATCATTATAGTAAAATTGACTAAAGCTGATGTTTGTAAGGTTCATTTTAATACTGTAGTTCAAAACAGTACAATGTTTTAACCAGCACTATATCTTAAAAATGATATTTTACAATCGTTAAAAAGAATTTAATGTGCAGATACAGTACAAACAGTACTGTGATTTATAGCATTTTTAATCAAAGCTTATTTACACAGTTTAACATTTTCACTAGCAATATTCATACCTCAATAGACTTCATTAATTATGATATTATCAATGTGCAAGGTTATTTACGTACAATATTTTATGATATAGAAAATAATTACCCATAAATGTTCTCCAAGAAAAAAATAAAACAGGTACTTAAAAAAAATCCAATCCATATCACAATGTATATAAAAGTGTGTGTATGCACATTACTATACCATGTAGACAGTTTAGTGTTAACTGATTACTGATCGATTGTATTTTAAATATAAATAACAAGTGGCTATTAGTGAAGGACATTTAATCCAACATATTTAGTTAATTATAACTGTTAATGAGTGTTTATTTACACGTTTTAAGCTATTGATTTGCCCTTTAATTTACTTAATTGTCAACATGTTTTTTTAATTAATAACAATTAACAGCAATGAAAACCTTATTATAGAATCAGTGACAACTTTCAAAAATAAATTTTTCCATCACTGAACCAACCAGACAATAAAGTGAGTTGTAGAAAGATTTTCAGAGTAAGCCTGAAGGTACGAGAAGAAATTTTACATAATAATCACACTAAGTAATTCTTTTTTGCTTTATGTAACCGTTTTACTAATTGCAAAATTTAAAATTAAACAGAACTACCTTTTAGTAAATGTGGCCACTATAAAAAAAATATTAATCGGTGCTTGTCATTTTAATTGTAAACCAAAATAGTTTAATCAAAAAATGAATTGCGACTTTGAGCGGACAGCCAATTTATTAGAATATCCGGTGTAAAAATAGAATTTCACTAAAATAAGAATATTTATAAATATTTTGAACGATTTTGACAGTATGCATAACAAAAGTTTAAATTTTTTTAAAAATAATCATGAAATTCTCTCGTAACAACGCGTCTTGAGGATTTTACCAATCAACCTTGCCCAGATATCCCACCCAGGCTAGCATCTCTGGGTACAGAGACAAGTTATCTTGTGTACAGGCTTGTATGCTCCCTAGGGCAACTCACTCCCTGGGCTCAAAGACAAGTTATCTCGTTAAGGCTTGTATGCTCCCCAAACCCAGTGACGAGTGATCCCGTTCTCTTGGTTTTTTACCTTTTAGGAACCCTAGTTGAACAATTATGGCACTATTGGGCTGATGTATCCAATGGGTAGCAGACCTCCCACACTTCCTGTTGTCATCACCAACAAATCTAAATTAACATTTCTCCCACTTCTGCTCACAATCTGGCAAAATTGGGATAAATTCCTTTTTCTTGAAAGCCATTCAGCCACAATATTGGGAATGTCCTACTTTCGTCAACCTGCCTTGCCCAACCATTTCTTTACCCTTCCCTACCATCTAAACTATTGTCTTTCTGATTTTTTGCCTCTTTTCTGCTACACAACCTGTGTTTTAGTTTTACACTTTGGGAATATATTTTTGTTTTTGTTGTCCTTATTTATATGTATTTATTGTTTTATATATTTTTTTTAAACTCTGAACTTGTATGTATGTACATGCATGAGTAGAGTTGAGCTAAATAAGTCAGTAATCAATGTTTATTTATTTATGTTTTAAAATACATAATGAAGACTTTTTGAGTAAAATAAATTTTCACTTACAACTTGGATTCGTTTTTTCCTTAAACTCTTTGTAAAGTATATCTGAGGAATGTACAGTCAAATTTTGAATGGAATTGGTGCAACAGACAAGAAGTAAGGCGAATACTTTGAAGTGTAATGCATAATACAAAATAAATCAGATTGGGAGGGGGGTCAAGTAGCGGCTGAGGCTATAGGCATGGGTACGTATTTTAGTATACAAAAATCAGTCCTCAAAAGGTTAAAAAACTAAATTTACATGATACATTATTGTGACATAGTGTAATTAACCTGTATCTATGTCAATTTTTCTTCCGTGAATAATCTGGTAATCACATTCTTCGACTTTCTTAACTTCTTTGTTTTGGCTGGAATGGCCATTCTTGATAGTTAACCAAGAGATCCAAGTTTGAGTTGGTTGGATTTCATGCTTCAGTTTATGTATATATATATATATTTTTTTACAATTTCTCTTATATCTAAACTCTATTAAAACACAGCCAAGGTACTGCTTGATATGAGATTTTGGGCCCTTTAATTTTTATGGATTGAAAGCTATGTTACTCTCCAAGGCCTATTTTTCCAGATGTATTAATGCTATGATTGGGGGGCTGCATCGGTTAAGGCACATGGTCCTCATCACTGTAAGCTAAAAGGCCCAGGTTCGAATCCAGCGGTCCTGCATTTGAACCCAATGTACTTACAAATTTTTTTTTTTTTTTTTTTTCAATTACACCAGTACCCCAAAGGCTGATATGACCCCCAACTGTTGCAAACCCTCATTTAAAAAATAAATAAATAAAAAAGTGTTATACATCATTTTATTCCGGAACACTGGGCTTGTCCTGAGGGCATCCAATGACTTATTCTTGGGTCACACAGAAATATGATAGCATCAAGAGGTAGAAATTTATTGGACATATATTATTTATTAGAATCTTGGGCCATGTCGAATCAAAGGCTCTTGTCATTACACAAATTAGCAACACAGTTTTATTTTAGGCCTGAGTTTTAACAAATTTTATCTACAAAATTGGTAACCTTTGTAGAGCATCTACTGTACTGTGTTGTCTATTCGATAATAATATTTTGTTGTTTTCCTTGTCCTATAGATTATAAACCAGCTAAACAATGTACCATATTAAAAAATAATAATAAATAAATCATCAAATTCTGTATTTACTATTATATTATAATTAATTAAGGTTTTTTTAGTCGAGATAAAAAGTCAATGGCACGAGCAGGATTCGAACCCACGATCTTCGGCTTGATACGCCGCTGCTCTACCACTTGAGCTATCGTGACCTCGATTCACTCGGACACCAACTTCCCATCTCAACCGCAGCTCTTGAATTTTCCCTCCTTTTTGCCATTTTTCATTAATTATAATATATTGATTGGTTAAGCGGACCACGAAATTAGTGACTTTAATGAATTAAAAATGAAGTATACTTCACTAAAGCTCTCCGTGGCCATTTCATTTGTCGCCGAGAATCAAATTCGATTACACGACATTTGAAAAATGGCAAAAAGGAGGGAAAACTCAAAAGGTGGGGTTGGGGTGGGGAGTTGATGTCCAAGTGGATCGAGGTCACGATAGCTCAGGTGGTAGAGCTGCAGCGTATCTAGCCAAAGGTCATGGGTTCGAATCCCTCTCGCGCCATTGACTTTTTATCTTGACTAAAAAAACCTTAATTAATTATAATATATTAATTGGTAAGCGGACCACGAAATTAGTGAATTTACTATTATAATTGATGATATTACTTGTCTAAAATCTGCTGAAACTTAATAAAATAAATAAATCTGTTAAATTAACCTTTAAAGTAGTCATATGCACATATTTTTGTGCGTGTAAAATTGACCTGTACTTACATAAGTCGGGGTGGACAGGGTATACATATTAGTTAAACTTTCTAATGCACTCCTATGATGCCTATGACGGTGTGATGAAGAAGATGACGGTTCGTATAATGGGGAAGGGTTAAATGGAAATATTGGAGTTTCTGTTATAGCGACAATTATTCTTGATGGAATATCTTCAATGTTGTCGTCCGTAAAATCGTTCGAAGAGTATGGTGTTAATGTTGGTGTTGGATCGACTTGAAAAGCTGGTGTCTCGTTTAAAGTGATCATTTTAGGAGTGTTGTTTTCATCGTGAGAATGGGGCTTTCCGTTTATCTAAAAACCACAAAACCAAGGCAAACAAATTAGTTAAAATAATTCTGAATTTATTCAGTTTTATATTAAAAAGCTAAAAGTGGTGTTACGTTGTTAATATTAAAACTTAAAAAAAAAAAAAGGAATAAATACCTGTCTTCGTTTTCTAAAATCGCTCTCTTCTTTGACAAGTTTCCAGCCAATCACTGGACGCTGAATAACTTCCGCAAGAGTACCATCTTTAGCTGCCACTTTTACATTTGCAACTAAATGCTTAAGCTTATTCCAAATCTTTCCATTGCACCCAACCTAAAAATAAAAAGTTCACAAGAAAAATTAATTTGTCAATAAAAGCTAATATGAACATCCTACTTCTTTTTATAACTGACACTTCAATTTCCAACAGTTAGCTGTGAGAATTGACTAGCACAATATTTAATTTTTTTTTTTTTTTTTTAATGGTTATTGCTTCACATATTACACAGAGCACAGTAGGTGACAATCATATATAAAATATATTTTATATAATTTTTTTTTTGGGGGGGGGGAGGAGAGGAATGTGAAAAAAAGACCAGGGATGACGGTGGCATTTGAACCAATGACCACGGAGTCTATCAGCTAAGAGCATAACCACTCGGCTACTGCAGTCCTTTGGAGATAGTCAGATCTCATCTCATTCAAATCTAATTAATATATTTGAAAATTATTTAAGTTAAGCACTTGGTGGATTTTTCACCAACACTAGTAACATGCTGTCTATCATTATATGGTACTACCTATTTTCCTAAACAAAATCGTTATTGTTAAGCTTCAAAGGCTCAATTTTTAAATTTATTTAGGAACACTATTTATAAGAAGAATAAGTAAATTATAAGTCGCTCATTCTATTGGATTGTTTTCAACGTTAGTCCAACTGGGCATAATAAAAATAAAAAAATACTGTAAGTTAAAACAGAGAGTATTTAACAATAAAAAATTTAACTTGGCCATTTTGGTCAGGATATCCTTGATGTACCTGTCGGTCTTCGTTTTACAAACCACCACTGAACATAGAGAAAAATCCCTTAAGTACATCTTACAGATTAAAATGATCAAAAATAACCAAATGTTTATGCCCTTTGAATTTTAGACCAGGAGGCTCGCGTTTGGTCTTATTTTGCCTCGACGTGTCCCAGTTTTGAAATAACATTTGATAAAGGACCATATTGTTACAGTTCATTTTGCTTGTCCCAATCGTTTTGGGATGTTTTGTTGTTCGTAACTTTGTCATGACATCTGGCTAATCATCATAGCTAAAATTACAAACATTGGAGAGTCCGGTGGAAATTCAAATTCTTATTCGAAGAATTCAGGTAAGGAAATCCATCGTCCTGCTTTCTACCAAGAGGTTTTCACACTCCTTATACTCCCTTACCTGCAGGGTAACTTCTCAGTAAAGAACATCCGACCTGAAGTGATTAAGATTCAAATAATCACTAAGACACATTTTGAAATACAGTCCACTTTTAGCTAAAATACCAAATGTCCCTGAGAATTTCAAGAAGAAAATCATGCGGAACTGTAAGGTCATTTAGGTCCGTATTTACTTGCGGGTTTGTTGAAATATTCAAACACATTTCAGCATTGCGTCATCTTTAGTGAGGAACTTCCTAGTCTTCATTGAAGTTATGTTCCTCACTGAAGATTGTGCAATGCCGAAACGCGTTTGAATATTTCAACAAACCTGTGACTCTATGCTGGTTCAGTATGAATTCACCGACTCGCAGACTAAAACCCATCGTATACTAGTCTATTTAAAATAAATAAACATATAAATAAATGTTAATGGTTAAAATAGAATAAAATAATATACTAGGCAAATGCTTTTCTCTGTATTTACCTGCCACTGAATGATCGATGAGCTCTGTGATTTTCTGGTTATCACATTTCCAGGTCCAGCATCTATCACTGCATCGTTCAGATCATTTAATATTTCATTTTTTGCACTCAAATGTCCCAAATAAATAGAACCCTTAAAGAAATAATTTTGTTTATAAAAGTTTTTATAAATGTTACAAATTCATAATTTATGGCTTGTTTACAAGGTTATTTTTAACAGTATAACTTCTTTTGAAGGTTATATTTCACTTATTACATAATCATTGTAATTTTTGTAAATGATTAATTATACACAATTGTTCAAAATGAAAAATTTACGTCACAGACAGGATTCAAACTCACAATCTTCAGATAAATACTACGGTGCTTTACCATTTGAGCCACTGTGACTTCGATTGCCCATGCTTCAAACTTCTCATTTCTATTTCCCATTTTTATTCCAATTTGTAAGCAAACTACGGCTTCATGTAGATGTACATTTTTTATTAACAATTGTACTACATCAGGACTACCCAGCCTGTGCATCAACCTTGCATGGTCTATCCTTAATTGGATGAGGATGACCCTTCTACGAGTCAGATCCTCTGAGGGCCATCTATTGACAGTAATCTTGATACGTGAGAGCCCACCGAAGCTGCCACTTTCTTTTAATCATGGTTTTTATTGCATTCATATGGTTAAGCCCAGATGTTGGGATATCCCAACTTTAGCCACTTTGTCTGCCTTTTTGTTACCCTCCAGACCTATGAGTACGCAGACGACATCCACCATTGTGATGAGACCATATACTTCATGGTATCTCTCGAATAAGAATACAAGAGGGTTGACGGATAGCAGTAACCGTGCTGAGGTAGTAGGCGTAGACTAGGTAGGCAAAGTCGCCATCACCTCGAATCATGCCACAGTGGGACATGAGTGATGATAATTAGACACACCCATGCCATACAGAGTGCATGCCATAATTTCGCCAGTTTTATACCCATTTGTGAAGATAAGGCAAAAAACGGTGTACCTTAATCTAAGTTCCAAGAACTTAGCCTGATAAGGGTTCAAGAAGGTCATTACATTATAAGCTATATGTACTGTAGAACAACTGAAATGTATGTGGTTTTATGCAGAATCCCAGTGAACATAAAAATTGTTTTGCTTTAACATAACAATTCCTGGCCACACTTTACATACAAAGCATAACCTTTCCAAAACAAGTGAAATTAAAAAAAGCCAATCTCTTCAGAATACCACCGTTTTGAACAGTGACCCACTTCCTTTAAAAATAAATGTTTCAAATATTAGATTATATTTAAAATGGAGTAGACGACTTTGTAATCAAAACTGTAAGAGATAAAAAAGTAGAGGTAAATTTAAGATATCCAGCAGCTGGAATTTAGATGACAACTATATATTTGGGTAATTTCTTGGTTAATTAATTAATTATTTTTAAAATCATCCTTAAAATATACACTTACAACTTCTAGATTAAAAAATCCTGCAATGTTCTTTATAATGAGTACTCTTTCTTTAGGATTTATGTGATGAAAGTTGGCATCTAAAACTAAAGCAAGGACTGTTTTTTCTTCCAGGTGTTTACAGTATTCCTAAAAAATATGAAAATTTAAGATGAGCTTTAAGAAAAATTTTAAATACACTGTTTTAAAAATTAATTCAAAACATTTACAAACCTTGTTATAAAGCATAGAATTAGACTTTGAAAGAACTTCAACGGCAAAAATATCTTTTACATTACTGTGAAAATCTTCGTCGTAGGCCTTAACAGTGATATAATGCTCTCCTAACTGTTCATCCGTTGCAACTCCCTCCAAAATGCCTGATTTTTCATGAAATGTTAGCCAAGAAGGCAGAGATCCCTCCTTTTCACTATATGCCTAAAATATATATATTTATTATATATATAAAAGTCTACATTTATAATTATCAAATTTATAAATCTAGAATCACTTGAAAGAAAATCACTTTTAATGATAAAGAAATTACTAAGGCATCAGATAAACAATATAATTGTAGCGTTGTAAAAAATCTTTTTATTTTCTAATACCTTAAATCGTGCAATATTCCCCTCAAATGCAGTCTTTGGTATCTGGTAATGAAATAAATGTCCAACTTGTGCCGTCGTGTCCGGAACTCCCCACAGCCTTTGCAGAGGGTTATGCTTTATTTCTTCAAATCCAAAATCATCCTGGCTTATTATCAAAGTAGGAACAATCAAAATAAAAGTCCAAAAATAATATAAAAAATCCATGTTAGTTCTCTGAACTTTCCTAAAAATGGAAAAAAAAAGTTAAACATCAATTATGCGCAAAGAGGAAAAACGCCAAACTGGCAAAAGCCACAAACTTAACAAAAGTTACACGCTTACAGATAAATGAAAATAACCAAATATAAAAATCAATAATCCAATAATTGAACATTGTATAATATTTGTGCAGTTGCAAAAGTAGTTTCAAGTTCAAAGTTGTTCAATTGTAAACATCGTCGATAAGTTTACAATTTTAATATGCAAATCAATTAATCAATTTTTTTATTTATTGAGTGTTATTCTATTAACCTGTGTATTGCATAGTTTCTGTTTAAAAAATAAACGAAGTAATTTTCTTTTTGTTTTTTAGGATTTGAAATATTTCAAATGAGAGATATAAAAGTGGCAGAGTCTGTTAAAATTTTTGACTCATTTTTGACACGCCTAGATAATCAAGGAGTAAGTCCTGGCACAGCCCATGGAATTTTAGTACTTAATAATTTGGAAAAATTAATAAAAGCCTCTACTAAATTCTATAAAAGTTTTCTTTCAAGACTCACAAGCAATCTTTGATCAATTTAACACTCTAAAATTTTAAAATTAGTTCATGTAAACATACTATAATACAATGTTATGCTTCATATCTTATCTGCATGTCTTGAAGTGTTTATTGAACAGAAATCCGGTCCAAAAATAGTGTGTTTTCACAATTTACCTAAATTCAGTGACCATTGCATTACTGTATTAATACTACTGAGATTTTATTTCTATTCAGATATTAAAGATCATATTCTATGAACGATGAAACAGGCCATAAAAGTTTAATTGTTAATTTTTCAAAAATGATATATTGTTACTCTGAGACAACTGTTGCTATAAACAACTTTCGGCATGATAAACAAAATTTGTTTTTTAAATGCTCCCCCTATAAAGCATATTTTGAGTATACTGCTTACAAGTTTACAACTTGAAAAATATACATGCCAAAAGCACTCTCAGTAAAACAATATTTAAATTTCTTGTGGGATACTTTTTTTGGTTAATAACAATTACATTTTTAAGAAGTTATATAAGATATTTAAGAGTTACAGAGACTAACTTAAAATCTTTTTTTATGTTTTCAGGAGACTAAAAACTTTAAAATTTTTTAAAAATTAATTTTACTTTTTATCGAAGTTCTTGGTTGAAATGTAAAAATTAGTGACACGAGTGGGATTCGACGACCTTTGGCTCAATATGCCGTGCTCTAACCTCTTGAGCTACATTTTTCATCTCAACCAAGACCTTAGATAAAAAGTATAATCAATTAAAATAATTAATTTGGTCAATTATGACTACTATGACTATTTGGAGAAAAAAAAATTCACGCTAATAAATTACATTTACACTCCAGAAGTCACTCACTCACCCCAGAGTGCTGGATTTGCTTAGGGTGGGGTTGAACCCACTCCATTCACGTTAATAAATTACATTTATTCTCCAGAAGTCACTCACTCACCCCAGAGTGCTGGATTTGCTTAGGGTGGGGTTGAACCCACTCCATTCACGTTAATAAATTACATTTATTCTCCAGAAGTCACTCACTCACCCCAGAGTACTCTATATTCCTCAGGGCAGGGCTAAACAGCCCATTCCTTTCACCCTAATAAAATACATTTATTCCAATAAATTAACGCAAAACACAACACAGAAACACAATATAAACAATGATACCTCAGGTTGTCAACTAATGAATTGAAACAAGACATAAACACTGGAAACATAAAATTCTGGTCACATTCACTCTCAAATAATAGTAATAGTCAATATTTCTAGAAGCAAACACACAACATTCTTGTTAATAAGTTACTTTTACTCGCTAAACATCACACATTCACCCCAGAGTACTCGATATTCCTCGGGGCGGGGTTAAACAACTCATTCCTTTGATGCTAATAAATTGCATTCAAACAAAGACACAACACAAACACACATAGACATTATATACATTTAAAAATCCCTAATGCACTGAGGTACTGGAACAGCGGTTCGTGCCTGCCCTTTTGCCCTAAGACTACGCACAGGTCTGACAATGTACCAAAATATTGCCTATAAATGTCAAGCCTTCTATCCTGACCCGTCGTTCTTGTAAGACCTATGCGTAGTCTTGTCAGTATGGCCTTTTCCCTTTTCATCCCGATCAACATGGACCAGGGGGCTGACGTTTTCCTTAACCACAATTTGGCAGAGTTATTTCTATTTTTACAAGCCATTTACTAATTTGATTGTTCTTTTACCTTCAAACATTACAGGCGAAAATACATCATTTTTGAGCCCTAGAGGTAAATTTATCAGAGAGAAAACTATGTCATAGATCGACTTCCCGTGGACCGCGGCTTTGCGACAGTCGTTAAAATAATTGAAAAGATAAAATAAGACAAGACAAGCCCGAGTTCCGTCGATAAAATTCTAATTGGAAAAATGAATAATAATTACATAATAGAAGATAATGATAATTGGGCGGATATAAATACAACAGATACCAAGAGGATCGTTGAAGATGTTATTTCTGACTTAAAATTCTGGCCGGTAAAGGTCGCCGATGAAGTACTCGATCCCTTCGACAAAAATTGAACTTAGCAGAAGAAAGAAAGGAAAACACTTACCTTCGAATCATTAAATGCTCATGCCGGAAAAATCTCAAGTAATGATTTATCGAAGATTAAGACACATCGTTGTATTATAAAATTTAAAATCAAAGGAACGGACCTTTCCGAGCCCAATTTGAGTCAACTGTCCTTCAGCATGCTGACGTTTTTTGGCGGCCCTTTGAAAAAATATTTACAAACGGCGAGAAAACAACCTTAAATCTAAGAAAACTAAAAACTAAAAGGTTAACTAGACGTTGATTGTTTATCTGACATGGGGATGGATTAGACTGGAGAAAGGGATAAATCTGCAGTTTCGACTCGTGTTCGATAGATGGAGAACGTCTTCAGGAGGCAAGCCGCCAATTTACAAAACTTCAAAGAAGTCTGGGAAGTTGGTGTAAGGTAAAAATGGAAATACGCGCATACAGTCGACTCTCGTTATCCGCGATTTCACTCTTCCGCGGATCCCACGAACAATCTTGGGAGAATGATTTGGAAGAATTGGAAGAACTCAGCGATTCCACCACAAATGAGGATGAAGAGGATAAAATAGAAGAAAATCAGGAACTATAAAAAAAGGATTTGGAGAAATCTTTCCATTAGCTAAAAAGTTGAAAGACAAAAATCATAGAATATGATACAAGAGTGGAACGAAGCATCAACGTAACACGACTGCGAAGTCAAGCAATGGGCCCATTCAAACAAAAGAGCAACTTTTGTTGATTCAACCGTTTTTATCTTCAATTTAACTTTTTCAGATTTCAAACCAACCTTTTTTTATTTTCAAACTCACTTTTTCAAATTTCACACCAACCCCTTTCATCTTCAAATTAACCTTTTTTAAATTCCAAATTAAGCCTTTTTATCTTCCAACTAACTTTTTTAAGATTTCAAACGAACCCCCCTTTATCTTCAAATTAACCTTTTTTTTAATTTCAAACCAACCCTATTTACCTTCAAATTAAATTTTTTAAATTTTTAAATCAACCCTTTTTATCTTCATATTAGCCTTTTTTGATTTCAAACCAACCCTTTTTTTAAATTTCAAATTAACCATTTTTATCTTAAACCTTTTTTAGATTTCAAACCAACCCATTTTATCTTCAAAGTAACTTTTTAAATTTTAAATTAACCCATTTTATCTTCAAATTAATTTTTTATAGATTTCAAACCAACCCTTTTTAACTTAAAATTAACCCTTTTTATCTTCGAATTATCTTTTTTAATTTCAAATTATCCCTTTTTAATTTACAATTAACCTTTTTTTAATTCACTCTTTTTAGCTTCAAAAGAACTATTTTTCATGTCAATGTAACCATTTTAACATCAAATTAATCCAATATTTAAGTTTTATAAAAAACTTTAGATATGAAACAAATATAAGCATGTAAAGTTGAAATTCCTGTACATATGCACACTATTTAAACATAAAATAATTTATAAGTCAATTATTTACAATTAATTAAAAGTTTTACCACACCAGACCGCATCTCACGACCTCTAAATAATCATTAACTAACGGTCATTAAAGTAGCTCGAGCGGGATTCGAACACACGACCTTCGGCTAAATACGCCGCTGGCTTTTTTATTTCAACCAATACCTTGCATAAAGATTAATCAATTAAAAGAATTTTGCCAATCGGACCACGAAATATAATGGATTTATATTTAATTTATATAAATTTTAAGTTTAATTGTAATTTTGGGGTCTTTGAGTCAATGTTTAATATTTACATAAACAAAATTCGCAAATGTACAGGAATTTCACTTTTCACGCTTATATTTCGTACCATCTGCTAAGTTTTTTTAAATGGTTTTGAGTAAGAGTTAATTTGAAGTTGAAAATGGTTAATTTGATGGTAAAAAAAAATTATATTTTTCAAACGTCAAAAGTGTTTTATATTGAGCCAATTTTTTTTCTCTTTTTTTTTACGATGAAGTTCTATATTTGAACTAAGTTTGTTTTGTCTCTGACTGTGGAGATGGTTATTCATTTAATGATGGTTAATTTATTCATTCGATTTTTCTATCGATAAACTTCCTTGGTAGAAGTGACAAAAATATACACCCACTTTTTTCTAATCGAGAAAAGCTTTCTAGTCAAATAAAATTTTTTTGATGTTTTTGCTGGACCTGAAAAAATTAAACCGACAAATTAAAGTTTTTGACATTTTTTTTTGTCCAAGTCAATGATAAAACTATTTTGTTCTCGTATTGAAATGTGTTTAGATGTTTTTTCGTGTGGTAAGTTGTTTTTTGGTAATATGGAAACGACGACTTACAATTTTAAATTTCCAGAGCTCTATTCACGAGTCGGAAAAAAATCCATGTTTAATGTGAAAACATGTTTAATTCACAATTATGACGCACCGATCCGGTGCAGAAGTGGCGTCACCTTGACGCGGTTGGAAACGATCTGGGCCCTTTGTGAGACGAGTCGCCGGGAGCGAGCGATCCGCTGCAGTGGCTTTTCTCCGATCCACAATTTCGCCGGCTCGCGCTACGTTTTCATGTAGATGTTGTAATTGGAATCGGCGAGTGGAGGGGGGGCGACTCTAGCTGTCAAAATCCGCCCGTTGTCTACATCTACAGTGTTCCGATTAGTCACCCGCTTTTCAACGGCGTCTTCCCTTCTGGACCACACTCTACGCCCTACTTCACGAAGTTTTACCTCATAAAGTAAGTCCGTTTAACGTTATATGCGGTGGGTCGAGGCGATTTTAACAAAAGAAATTATTCGGATAGACGATGGCATTTATTTATTGGTGGCTATCAACTGATAAAAAGCCTTTTCTTCTTTCTTTCTCCCGTCTCCACCCTGCCAATTCCACTCTGATCCATTGAGGATCATCAGTACAATAATAAAAATAAAAGGAGATAACGTCTCCTAAAGACGAACAAAGACTTTAAACTTTTTTCATTTTTTATTGCTACAAAGATATCGTCAGGTTAATCCCCTTAGGACATTTACTGTTCGAATAAACAAATTTATCTACCATATATACGATTTTTCTTGGGAAAAATATTCTGATGGATCTTTAAATTGATAAAAGCGTTGTCAACAGATTCCTTATTGCTGATAATGTTCCATTATAATGTTTACGATAATATTCAGAATTTTTCCATCAACAGCACCTTGAAAAATCAAGTCCTGGTTCCTTTAAGATGAGTGAACAGACTGAAAATACAGATGAAGATGACATGTAAACAAAAACAGTTGGAATCAGCCATCAGATCTAGACTTATGGATTTCTGAGGAAAGGTTAAAGCCCAAACCAGACCAGTTCAGTCAATTTGGTTGAAGCATACCAAAACAAAATATTCAGGGGTTTGTGAAGAGTCTACCAGACCAACCCAGCGAATATGAGCAGATCAAGTTTTTCCATACTTTAAAATGAGACGAAATGAGTGAACAGACTGAAAATACAGATGAAGATGGTATGTAAACAAAAACAGTTGGAATCAGGCATCAGATCTAGACTTATGGATTTCTGAGGAAAGGTTAAAGCCCAAACCAGATCAGTTCAGTCAATTTGGTTGAAGCATAGCAAAACAAAATATTCAGGGTTTTATTGAAGTGTCTGCCAGACCAACACAGCAAAGATGAGCAGATCAAGTTTTTCCATACGACGAAATGAGTGAACAGACTGAAAATATAGATGATGACATGTAAACAAAAACAGTTGGAATCAGCCATCAGATCTAGACTTATGGACTTCTGGGGGAAGTTTAACAGATACAAATATTTCTTGAACTCAAATATTAAAAAAGAAGGATACTCTCAAAATGTCATAACTATAGACTAGTTTTCTGAATTATTATTGCACTGTAGAAGTTTTAGTCTAGGAATAGACAGGAAAACACCACCAATTTAGTATGTTTTTATATAAGACAGCTTTAATGGTAATAACAGCCTTACAAGTGAAATGACCTTCCTATTAATTTCTAATTATATCATTACTGATCATCTTGATCTGCCTGTCCTCGGCATTTCACCATTTTCTGTGTGATTGTTTTCAAGTCTTTTTTTATAACGTCATGGGGGTGGGTTGTGTGCCAGCATTTTCTTTGTGTGTTGGTCCCTTTGGTGGATTGTCTTTTTTTTTTTAAATTTAATTTAATTTATTTTTTAAATTTAATTATCTTTTTTTGTGACCGTTGGTCCTTTTTCTGTTTTAATTGGTATCCAGTTTTGACTGTCTTTTGTTATGGCGTCTGACAGGCCAAGTTGTTCTGTACTGATCAAATTACAGGTTCATCACCACGCAGACCACAGGAATGGTCATAATATTGATTTTGGTTGTTTTTGATTACTTGTCATTTTTTCTTTGTGATCTCAGAGTCTCTTTCATGTTCTACTTTTGAAAAGTTTAAAAAAATACTGTGCACAGGACATTCATGTTTCTTTGTCGTTGTCTTCTGTGAAAATGACAACCACATAACACATTTTCTAAAATTGTGTTGGCACTTTAGAGAGCTTTTGTGGTGATAATTGCCCACAAGTAAAATAACAACCTTAAATAGATATTTTTGCCTGTCTGTCCTTGCTAGGTAGGTCTGTCAGACACGTTTCGGCATTTTTCCATCTTCAGGCAACAAAAATACACAGACCAAAACCATCAACAACAATTGAAATACATCTGTGCTTGCAATTTGAAAACCATTTGACAAATCTTTTGCCCAGCTCAATTACTTTTACTTGGAATAGTATTTTTTCGACTGATTTTTCGTAGTGCTACACTGAACTGAAATTTAAACAGTTAACATCATATTTTGAACTTGATTTGTCTTATTCATCAAAGAGATAGTTTTGGCTTGAGAAAATTTGATGGTGTATAACTTTGGGTAAAATACATCTTATACTCTTTTTATCATCATTTATAAACATGGCCTCCAATCTCCAATGGGAGGGGAAGGGTGTAAATTCCAGGGGTAACGGTGGGAATCAAACTGACGACTGCCGGGTCTATGAGCAAATAGTCTGACACACTAACAACTTGACTACCATGGTCCCAGTTTCTGTATTATAAAGTTGTAGTATATACTTACATTAGACTAAAAAATAATGTCTCTTTTGTTTTATCATAATTATTGGAACTTAATATTCCATTAGTTAATAACAAGTCCTATTTATTAATGAATTTTTAAAACTTGCTTTCAGGTTACAATGTCGTATCAGTGAATTCTCATGACGAACGGGCAAATTTCAATAGATCAACGGGCCAAGTTTTGATGTGAGTGCTTACAATTCAGTATAATTTTATTTAATTATACTTTTAATCTAAGGTCTTGGATGTGATGAAAAAGCAACTGCCTTCAGCGGGATTCGAACCCACGACCTTTGGGCTTAATACGCCGCTGCTCTCACCACTCGAGTTATAATGACTTCCTGAAATATCGTGGGTTCAAATCCCGCGCATGACACTTGTTTTTCATCCCAACCAAGGCCTTAGATTAAAAGTATAATTGAATAAAATAATTATTACGGTCAATTATGACTGCTAAATCATAAATGGATTAATTCAGGATAATTTTGTAATTGAAAAATACATTTTCATTGTTTTTCTTTTTTTTTAGAATTGGTTAATGGGTGGTTTGGCAATGAACTTCATGCAACGTCCTATACGTGGATGGCTTCATGACGATGAAGTTATTCGAAGCACGGGCGTCATTTATGTCGTTAGAGTAAGTGTTACTTAATTGCATAAAAATTAGTTGTTACTGCTTGCCAGCCGTCTTGTCTGTACCAATGTCTTGAGCCATATAGAGGCTGGGACTGTTTTTGCCTTTCTTATAGAGCTATTGGCAATTAAACGTTCAAAATATGTCCAATATGCCTGTTGGGTGGTAATGAAGGTCTTTAAGTATATAGCTACCTAGAAAAGGGATCATTTTTGCCTGACCCAGCTTGACACTGACTTTCAGGTCATTGTGAATGAGTCTTGCAACTGCCAGAATGGAATCTCAAAAACTTGGGAGCATATTCTTACTGTATGCAAAGTTTTTGACAATGTGCAGTTCAAAATCATAAGGAAAGTAAAGTAGGTTTGGCAGGTAAAAGAGGCCGCTGTTCTGTGACCATTTGAGGACACAATGAATTTTAGATGAGTTGTAGTTTAGCTCCATAGTGATACTATAAATGTTGTGTAATAATTTGTAACTTGTCAATTAACACAGAACATTGAAACTGTAAAATCAAATATGTAAATAGATTATGCTAAATACGTGTAATCATTGTGGTAGCAGGTAGAAATAAATTTCCTAGCCATAGGGACCCCAACTATGGTTAGGAAAAGTAAACTACCTATACTAAGCTAACCTGTCCCTAACTCTACCTAATCTAACTATACCTAACCTAGCCTATCCCTAACTACCTAACATAACATAACCTGTCCCTGAGTCTACCTAATCTAACCATCTGTAACCAAACCATCCCTAACCCTACTTAATTTATCCATTCCTAACCTAACCTAACCCATCCCTATCTACCTAACATATTGTAACTTGTCCCTAAGTCTACCTAAACTAACCATACCTAACCTAGCCCATCCCTAACTACCTCACATAATGTAACTTGTCCTTAAGTCTACCTAATCTAACAATCCTTAACCCTACTTAATATAACCAACCATTCCTATTCTAACCTAACCTAACCCTTCCCTTTCTACCTAACATAATGTAACCCCGTTTCTAACTCTACCTAATCTATTCATATCTTACATAACCATCTCTAACCCTACTTAATCTAATCATTCCTAATGTAACCTAACCCAACCCTAACTCAACCTAACCTAACTCGACCCAAGCACTATCTAATTCAACCTGATCTAATCCCAAGCTGTACATAATCTTACTTATCCTTAACTCTACATAACCTAACCATATCTAACCTAACTCATCCCTAACTACCTAACCTAGCCATTCCTCACCTAATCTATCCCATCTCTTACCCACACTTAATCTAACCATTCTTAATCTGCCCTTAACTCTACCTAACCTATCCCATCCTTAACCCTATTATAACCATTCCCAACCTAACCTAACCCATCCCTAATACTACTTAGCCTAAACTATCCATAACTCTACCTAACCTAACCCAACCATTCCTCACTTAACAACCCAGCCCCTGTGCACGCCTTGGTAAAGCCAAATCTACGACTTGAAAATGGTCTTACAAAATATTGTATCCAGGCCAAAAGCACATCCACATTAAACAAAGGTAATATGATAAGGAAGTGAAATTTGTCTTTTGTTTCAGTATATCGGATGCATGGAAATTCTAGCATCGATGAAACTTTTGGACTATGATACTCGCTTCTTGGTCGCTAAGTATGTGTAAACTAGTTGGTGACTTGCTCTTATATATTTAATATAATTAAACAAGAAGGCTGATGTAAATAAATAGATTTTATTATATTGATTTTCTTAATTATGGGGTAAGAAAAACAAAGTTTCAGTGAATGAAATGAAATTTAGCAAATCTAAACTTTATTTTGCTAAATAGAAGTTAATTCTTCTTATAAAATTATACAGGGTGATTTCTTAATAGCTTGAAGATTCTAAGATATTAAAATTAATTAAAAATGTAATAAAAATATTATTTGATTTAAACACTTTCGACAATTAATATTTTGTTTCAACATTTTTAGGGAGTGTATTTACAGGGTTTGTGAGGCAGCAGGTTTAAAAGCTCCTGATAGGCGGCGGAAGGTTAACATATTTATTAGAGTTCATCTGCAAGAATTTTTATCAATAAAGTGTGCATTGTCATTTCAGGTTGAGAAACGAGTTGCAAGATCTCTTGGAACTAGAGTTAAGTCTGATCATGTCGGATTTAACGTAATTCTTAATATTTCGTCAAAAAATATTAGTCTAAAAACTGTTGAAGGGAACAATCAAGTTTGTGTTCATGACATGCCCAAGATATCGTTCGCCTCTGGAGGAGATGCAGTAATATTCGTTTCACTTTTTAATTTTACCAAAGTATGTGTCTAATTCTCTACCTATGTGCAGGAAACGTTGGACTTTGTTGCTTATGTTGCAAAAGATGACACTGAATACAGAGCTTGTTATGTTCTCGAATGTGGTAGAGGTTTAGCCCAAGAAGTTATAACGACAATAGGGCAAGCATTCAATTTAAGGTTTAAAGATTACCTTACAGGTCCAGACATTCGTAGGTAAGCCCACTTTGACAGGACGGCTTTATAATAAGATATGAAAAAAAATGACTGGTATTTTGTTTAGTACGTCATCAAGGGCGAATCGATGCCAGGATGCAGATAGGGAATATTACAATGATCTTCCTGGGAAAGTTCCACCTGATGTTGCCCCCCTAAAAGAATCAATTCCACCTCCAGTTCCACCACTCCCAAAAACCAATCAATCGTTTACAAAAAACAGTATGTCTTCGCAAAGGGGTATGTCTTCGTTACTGCTGTGTATAGGTTTCTGCTTTTTTTTTTATAGATTGATTATAATCTAATCCACTAAGATTACATTTTTATATTTTAAACTGTATTTAAGTAGATGTTAATGCAAAAGTAAAATTCACTTATTGTTAATTAATTCATACTTCAACTTTGTAAATCTTGGCAATGGAAAATATAAAAATTATATTTTTCATTGTATGGTTTTGTTTAAATTTAATAATCATTTGATTAATAAACCAGAACTACCTATTTCTATGGTTTAGATTTGTGGATGTGTCTGCCTCTCTGTGTGCGTGTGTGTGCTTCTTCCGTTCCATTCTCACACAATCTCTCTTTCTCCATTACAATCCATTCACTATCACATTCTCTCTTTCTCATTCACTATCACTCTTTTTTGGTATCACTCTCTCTTTCTTTCAGTATGACGCCCTTTTCACTATCACTCTTTCAACTCAACTCTCTCTTTCCCCTTCTCTTCCACTATTTCTTTCTTTATCTCTCTCTCTCTCTTTCTTTCTCCCTCTCCCTCTCTCTCACACACTCATTTTTTCTTTTATTATAAAGATTTTTAATTTAGTGTTTTATTAATTCATTATCATTGATTTTAAATTCATGTAGTTAAACTAAAATGTCTAAAAAATTTAAATGACCATAAATTGTATTACAAATGACAAATATGCATATAGTTTTGTGTAAAATTATGTAGCATAACATTTTTTTTTTCCAGAGCGTCTTCCCTCAACTAATTTAATAGATCTAAATAGTGAATTACCACCACCACTTTTTAATCATCACTATGTCAATGATGTTATTTTTAATCCTCGCCCAGCTCCGAGGGATGTCTTCGATATGCGTAAGTAATTCATTCTTCCGTTCCATATTTACGGAACAAATCACTAATTAATTTTTCCGTTTTGTTTTGATTGTAGAACCTTTTGAAAGCAGCTTATCAAACGATGTTCTTCAATTACAAAATGAAGAGTGGTTTCATGGTGTGATCGATAGAGCACAGGCTGAATCAATGCTCAAACAGGTAAATTAACCTATTCTAATTAGCGGGATAATGGAATTATGGAATTTTTATTTGTCTGCTCGTTTTTTTTTATGATGAGGAAATATAGTTAGTGCTTGTTTTATGTTCACCAAGCACTGCAGCCTTCTGGTTTATTTTATTTTTCTTAGATCCTTAGTTCAGTGCAATTGACTGGATCTCTTAGGAAGCACTGGGTCATTGCCACTGGGTTTTCTTTATATCTCAGGTTATGTCTCATTTGAGCAGTTGCTTCTTCATTTGAAGATAATACTGTTGGTTATCTCTTCATTGCATACAAATTGGGTCATCATTGAATTAACCCATGTTAGATGTTTTTTCAGATGTAAGTTGTCATAACCTCTATGTTTAGCCCTCTCTAACTGTAGAGTTGGCTAGTTCTGGTGAGGGTTCTTTTATCATATATTTATTGGGTTTGGCACCTTTGGCTATGTTGTCTGTTTTTTCTTTACACAAAATCTTTTCTGTCCTGGTACCCGAGATACCATCAGGTTGTTGCGTTTCCCCAGGTTTTGGAGATTGTAGATGAATTCTGCACGATGGTTCACAGTTTAGGTATTCATGAAAATCAGTTGAGAGAGTGATAGGTTTTTTCCCATGAGCACGTAAAACACCATGTTCTTTGCCCAAAAATTGCTAATAACTCGAAAAAGGCTGAGAAATCGGGCAAAATAGAAGGTGATCAATTGATAGCTGATTAAAATTTCCTGTCGATTGCTATAGGACGATTTCCTGGCTCCACAGCTCAATTTGGAGTTTTTGTAAAAAGTGAAAAAATTAACATGTTCCCAAATTTTTGATTTTACTGATGAATGACTGAAGCTAGGAAACCATTTAAAAAGCTATCTTGTTCTGCGTAAAATTATCTAAAAAATTAGACCTAGTGCAAATCTGTGACTTGACTTGACAACCAGGTGGTCAGTTTTTTATTATTATTTTTTTTATGGACAGTGTATAATTAAAACGTTCAATATATAGTTTGTCTTATAATCAATTTTATAGAGCAAATATTCAATTATGTTCTTAACAAAATATCTATTGGTTTTTAATTTTTAATGATGCTTGATGTTTTAATAGGATGGAGATTTTCTTGTGAGAGAGTCCAGCACTACGACTGGGCAATATATTCTCACAGGACTTCAGGGAGGAACGAAAAAACACCTTCTCTTAATTGACCCTGAAGGGATGGTATGAAAACTTTTCATTTACTAGTTCAGACCTTATAACCTGAATCTGGTCGTTTTCGAACCTCTCGCCTACCCTTGCGAGTTCTGGTCTGTCTGTTTCAACATTAGACAACTGAAGATATCGAAATACAACAGACCAAGCCTGTGAGGATAGCAGACTAGTTTGGAAATGAACAGTAAATTTTATTATTTAACATGTAAAACACCAGCGGTCTCGAGTGAACCCTTACCCTCCTGTGTGGCTTTCTTGTAAATAATTTTTTTCTCTTTTATAACTGTATAATTAATTTTTGCCACTAAGTAATCAAAATGAAATACTCATTACTTAAGGTAAGGTATTAATTGAAAAAAAAAAAAAAAAAATCAACAATGAAATATCTTTAGTTTTACGTATAAAATGATCACTCAAGAGAACTGAAACATATTAGAAAAAAAAATATTTTCAACGTATATAAAAAAATAATAATAAAATAAATAAAATAAAAAATAAATCCCTTCCTTTTTGCTAGGTGAACCATTTGGCGCCAGGGAAGGAGCATTTAAAAAGCCAGCCCCTCACGCCATAGTGGTCCCAGTTTTTTGATAAATTGGTACATTTGTAGCTGAGCAAACAAATCCTTAAAATCCTTATCCCACAAAACAATTAATTAATTAATTTAAAAAAAAATTGCTATGATCAATGTGTTCAGTTCAGTCAGCCTTACATTTTGTAGTTGTGTGTATCACGTAATATACAAAGTTTTTGTTTGTTTTTAGGTAAGGACAAAAGACCGTATGTTTGAAAATGTTAGCGACCTGATTAATTACCATTGTAACAACCAGTTGCCAATAATATCAGCAGAGAGTGCACTTGTGCTTCGGAACCCAATACCGAGACCTAACCTTTAGTATTCTAATTTTTTCTATTTATAACGTACATTTAAACGTTTTTTGAATGACGAATCTTCACAATTCAAGTTCTTTCCTGAGTAAGATTAATTTTGTTTCACATACTTTTACAAAAAAAACAAAAAACAAAAAAAAACAGTTCCTATATTTCTTTGTTAAAATCTGCATGATTTTTTTTGTGACCAATTTGTTGTGGAAGATTTAAAAAAAATATTAGGTTAGATAAATGAACAGCTTTAATAAAAAATCCCATTTTATTTCTTAAATAGCAAATAGAAATTTTGTCATCACAAATGGAGCGGAGATTCTTATCGATACTTCCTCCCCATCCCTATTTTCTCTAAACAATTTAATTTTTATAAACACATAGTGCACAATTTTTACTTACAGAGAAGTATTTATTAAAAAAACGTTCTTTGTAGTAAAGGATTGTAAATAAAATATTTACCGAATGTAGAATACTAGATTTGTGAGTTGTACATGACATTTCAAGTTAAAAGTGATTTTCTGTAATAAAATTAACCAGTTCCAACCTACTGTTCTTGACACTTTTTTGTTTTATAACCGAAACGTTAGGTGACTACTGGGATGGAACAAGTTTTAACAAATAATTCTTCATGAACTTATTGTCCGCACACAATTTTGCAATAAGAGGCAATACATTATTTTACTCTTACTCAACTATTTTACTGGATTATAAAATTACTCTCATTGGTTAGTGAGTTAATGATCTGTAAAACTAGATTTAATATTATCAAGGATCAACCCAGAATAAAACCAGCAAGAGAAAGACTAACATATTAAGGGTAGAACTGTGAAATAGTATAGCTTGACTCATATTTTTAGTTAATTTGGTAATAAAATATTTTAAACTTTTGTGTACAAAAGCAAAAGTTACCTTTCGTCTCCTATTACAATGTACTGTTTTATTCTGGATTAATATAATGTATTGTCCTCAAATGTTTATTGAACTAAGTTTTGTTTTCTTTTGTAAAATGAAAAACATGAAAACCTCTGTAAGTTATAGATTTAACATGCGAACTATTTTTAATATTTTAACATGTGTTTTATTTAAATTATTTAGAAACGAAAACTCATTTGGCTGTAATTATTGTATTTCTTGTATATGGACAGTTTGTTTAAATTTTATGTTATTAACTCATTTGCATCATGATTCGAAATATGCAACCAATTTAAAATGACTGCATCACCAATCATGCTTTTTAAAGAAATCTTACAAATGTTTTATTCTCTCTATTGTTTTATCTTTAATAATTTTATATATCATGCTTTTATACTAATTTCATTACATAATTTAAATATTATTTTGATTTCATCCAGATTATATCTGGCTCTATGTGTTAATTTTTAAAATTTTAACTAATCAAAAGTCATGCAAAGACTTCTTGACACATCTTTTGTACTTGGCTTATGCTTTATTGTAAGACAAAAGAAATATATATTTTTATGCTTGAGTCCAAAACAGACAGGTTTTTAAATATTCAATGTTTATTTAGTTTTTATTTATAACAATAAATAATATTCTTGTTATTCCTCTTTCTGAATGCAGATGGGTTAATTATCCTCTTTTTTAGTTCTTTTTAAAGCTATAAATTAAGGTTGTGTTACACAAAAGAAGATTTAAATCAGCAATAATGTTAATTAATGCAGAAGTGCTAAAAATCAATAAATGTTGGGGGTATTTAATATTTTGAATGTGTTAAATGTATTTTCTTAATCTGAAATTATCGTTGCCAACAAACCGTAATTATAGCTAAGTTATTATCTGTTCTTGTAAATTTATATACAAACTGATTTGGTAAAAAAATAATGGCTGTTGAATTAGGCATGAAAACGTATATTTAAAGAAGAAGAAACAAAAAAAAAAGATACTTTAGTAAAGATTTGTTACAGAGAAAAGGACCATCTTTTCTTTTGAATAATAATAATTGCTTTATTATTCTAAGTGACTTTCGTATAATAATAATAAAAATATTTTTAAGCTCATTTGTATATTTGTAAGTAATTATATTTTCTCAAAAAAATTATGTATTTATAATTAAAAAAAAATCTTGTATATTTAAGAGTATAAATAAATATAGTTCTTAAAAAGGTTTTTATTTTATTAGCTGGGTAGTGTGAACGAGATCTACCAACTGTCCATTCTGCATTACAATTGACACCAATACATAATTTTTAATTTTGTAAGTTTTTACACATTTAACTTGAGCTTGACAAAGGAATGGAGTATTTTTCTTTTTTCAAATTTGCCTTAAACCTGATAACTGATAATGTTAAAAATCGTATATTGAGGTAGGGTTAAGGACGGCTTATGTTATATATCTATGATTTAATTTCTATGAACGGAGAAAATATTAGTGCGAGTTTTTTCTTTAATTATACAGAAAGTTTGAATTTAATGGCATCTGAAGAAAGTAAATGCCACTGAGGATTCCATAGCTGAGTAGAAGTCAGTTACAATGATTTTTGACACCTTTTGAGAAAAAAAAAATTATGTAATATTTATTTTTAGTAAAAGTCGCTTTTAACACATCAAAGCTTTTAAACTTTATAGAAAAACAGAATCTGAGCAAGCGTGTATTTTAGCTTAACCAGTCCCTAAACCTAACCTAACCTAACACTATAATAAATTTAACCTAGCCCTAGCCTTAGAATAAAATTAACTTAACCCTCAGATTATTGTAAACTAACCTAACCCAACTCAAATGCACTCCCCGGAACACAAAAATTGTGTATCAAGCCCCAAAACATTTTTTATTGTCTTTTTTTGTTTTGCTGGTAGATGATTGGATATCTCGAAATTTCCACTATGTAAAACCATATGATAAATTGTTTTAATTTTTAGATTTGTAAGTTCATTTGTATTACATTATGAAAGAGACATATGTGGCATGCAGTAAATAAAATTATGCACTACCTCTAGAGATGAAATAGTTGATAAACTTATTGGGTGTTTTATTGATTTTGCTTCAGTTTTAATATTTAATGTTGTTTTAGCAATTTAATTGTTGAAATCTTAATTTATTTAACATAGACTTATCTTAGGTACAACCCATAAATTATAAATATTTAGCCCCTAACTTCTAACCTGACTTAACCCCCTAACACCAAAATAAAATAAACCAAACCTAAATCTACTCATAAAATAACACTGGCCTAACTCGAAGATTATCTTAAACTAATCCCACCCTGCTAGGTCTAGATTTGAAATCTTTGAAGGGGAGGACATCACCAAATCACTCCCTGAGATAAAATGGTCCAAAATCTTGGGGTTTGTGAACAAGTCCAAGAGTTATGCAGGACATGCGAGCCGACCAAGTCCCAGACCTTTTAGGGATGGGGTACGATGGTCTACCCAGGCATTTAACCCCTTGGGGTCTATAATCCCACCCTTACCCACTTCCCAGTAACACAGTACATAGTCATAGTGAAATTTTAATTTTGTTTCCATACGTTAAATTCAGTACCTATAAATTATAAAGATTTAGTCCCTAATGCTAACCTAACCTAGCCATAAAATAATACTGGCTGAACGCTAAGATTATCCTAAACTTAAATCTAACCCATACACACTCCTGGGTAAGGTGAAGCACAGTTAAAAAAAATTTTCTAAATGCCCAAAAACATTTTTATAGTCATATTGGTTTTTGGCTGGTTAGATGATGGAATCTTGCCTAAAATTTCCACCTTTATAAAACCACTTGATAATCTGTTTTAATTTTGAGATTTTAGTCCCTAACCCTAAAATAAACTAAACCAAAACCTAGCCATAAAATAACACTTACTTAACCCTATGATTATTCCAAACTAACCCTAACCTAACCTAACCCGACCCATTCACACGCTTTGGTAATGAGAAAAATAGCCTCATAAAAAAATTGTATGTCGAGGTCAATTGTCATGCCATTTATTTTCTTATCAGATGATGTTTTGATCTAAATGAATTTTTCGCTTCCTTACGTTTAAAAAATAATGAATGGTTGCCAATGTTTGTACATGTATATATAAATAAAGTATATAAATTTTCTTAAATTGATTGATGTGTTAGTGGAAATTTTTAAATTGTATCACTTGTAAAATTGATCGGTTGATATTAAGATTTAGTAGATCAGAGGAGAGAGAGAAAAAAAAATTCCTTGTGTCTAATATTAATGTTGATGCATTGGCTGTGTTATTATATGTGTGTACTTGAATAACTTGAAAGGTAAACAGAATTGAATCCAAATGGAACTTTGCTTTAAACTTCTTTATAATAAAAAAGAAATCGGTTGGCCAGGATACGAAGTCGTCTTCTTTATGCCAATACTCGACCAATATTCACACACTGATATTAACATCACAAAAAAGAAGAAAAAAAAAAACTACCATAAATTATTTAGTTTAGGTTTTCCAGTATTTTTTGTTGAACTGTATGCATAGTTAATACTTCATTAAAAGAAATAATAACCATTAATACAATAATTAAAATAGAGTTTTCAGCGAGAAACTCAACCACAAAAAATCTGTTGTGAAAGAGCAATTATCATTGAAATGTCAATAAATGACATTATGTGCTCTCACGAATCAGCAAAGGAAATAAAAAAATTTGGGGTACTAAAATAATTTATTAACACGTTATTACACTTTGGTATTGTACTAATTTTATTGTTTAAAAAAGACAGTAAAGAAGACACAAGATGACAATTATAATGATATACCATTGAGTATTTACATAATTATTTTGTCTTTACTGTCAGGTGTTATAATACACAATATGAATACAGTATTCACAAATTATCCATGAGCATTATATTTACAATTAAAGAATAGTTAGGAACTATAGAAATGATTTACAACATAATGAGTTGGTAATACAAAGTATAAAATATTACATTAAACCTTTTGGTATAGTTTGCAATAACAAATCTCTATTTTTAATAAAAGGGGGGATATTTTTATTAAGTTAAGTCTTACTTAAGCAAAACAGACAAAATTAAGCATTTTTCATTTTTGTGTGTCAAAGTTTAAATATCTAATTCAAAAAATATTAGTAACTTATTTAACATTTAATTAATTAGTAACGTTAAAATATCCATATAAATAATTTATATAAACATAAACTGTTTCAAGACTGTACATGGATGTACAGATTTATTAGACATTTTTATTTTGTAAAATTGCTCAGGATGATTTCAGACATCACAATTATTTTAAATGAAGTCATTAAGTATATAAACATACTCAAGGGTGTGAAAAAAAGTTGATTGTTTTTGAGCTAAGTTGTACGTATTTTCAAAAAGTTAAAACATTTTTGTATTTAAATAGCCTGATCATGTAAAAATTGCACACTCATTTATTTACAACCAACTAAGGTAAGCAATATAATTTAGGCCCACACATTATACAGTTTATAGTCTTTCTCGTAACTATACAATGATCATTTCAATACATTGATTATATTTTTATACATTATGATTTAATTTAATTAACCTGATTACTGTTTTTTGTTTTTTCATTCAAGCAATACTGTTTGCAAATACCCTTCCAATAATCTAGAATTGAGCTCTGAAACAATCATATCTAGCAAATAATTATAAATAACTAATAATTAACAAATAGATAATTACAAAATTATATATTTCAATGAGATCAAATGGGGGAGGGGGCAAAAACAATGGAGAACATTAAAAGGGGCTGGAGACTACATTTAACAAATTCGATTGGGTATGATACAAACAATATTAAAACTTTTATTATTAAGGATAAATTACTTCAATTAATCTAAAATACTGGCAAAGAACAAACAAAAAATAAATAAATAAACCTTTTCATATTATCGATTTTATATAAATGTCATGTACTCGAATCAATTTTATATAAAACCTATACATTCTATTATAACTAGTCATACAATATTTTTTTACACTTAATTGATGTTTCGAACTATTTACAAAACAAAACAAAAATACAACTGGGCAGAAAAAGTCATTGTCATGTATATTATTTTCCCAAGAAAAAAAAAATAATAAAAAAAATAAAAAATAAGTATGTCAATTGTGGTCCAGAAAAAGTGATATGTGTATAGATCTTTGTGGCAAGTTTGGAATATTTAACATACATTTTTAACTTGCTGTAAAATAAAAATAATAATGCCAATTATGAAACAGAAAAAGAAAATTAGATCATGATTCAAGGGGTAGATTTGGTTAATAATTATTTTCATAACAGTTACACTAATTGAAAAGATTGTCATAGTTTTACAAAGGTATGAGCGTAAAATTATAACTGTAGAATCTTTAAAAAAAAATTGTTTTAAGAACGACTAAAATAATTTGTATTTAAATAGATTATCTTTGCAAAGTTAACAAAATGGTATACAATATTGAAGAAATTCGATTAATTTACTTACTAGCCTAACAAAATAATTTTTATTTACAAATTTTACGATTTATTTAGTTTTTTTAATACAAAAACTTTATTGTAAATTTGAATATCAATATGTTTCGTACTTTTACAAAGTTTTTTCAATCACAAGTTTTAGTGAAAGGCACAAAATAATAATGTGATTAAAGCTGTTTAAAAAAATTATACTTAATTTTAGAATATTTTTTGGTACTAGATGATCCAATACTGTCTATGAGTACTAAATGTTTGCTTCTTAAAAAGTTTATTAAAGCTCATCTTAATGAAAGCCAGCAAAGCGTTAAAAAAAAAAAAAAAATATTTATTATCTAATATGATCCAAAAGGCTTATCAAGAAATTTACACAATTATGAATTTTCGGTAATGCGAAAAAGGAAAAGAGTAGAAAATAAAGATACAATTGTAATATCAATGCACAACTGCTATGATTCATTGCTTCGAAACACTATAAATTTAAACATATAAAAGAATATATTATTTTTCGTTCTTTGTAATAAATCGCAACTTACAAGTATGGAATAGAAATGTGATGTAAATTATATAATTTTTTTCTTCTTACAAATATGGCAGTCATTAGCTTTAGTAAAATGAGTGTCCAAAGTATTGTGACAATAATTTATAGCGAATAGTTTTAATATTAAATTATTGTTTTTAGGACACCTTTTTTATTTAATCTTTGTTAAATATTAAACAAAATTGTAAACTGACTGTTAAGAAAGTGAATATTTTGTTTGTTGACAATCAGCTCGAAAATAACAAACGGAAATTACTTTGTACAAATATATTTTGCATTTTAGATATATATCTTTTTACATAGTTTTTTCTATGTAATTTAAAAAACAAATATTTTATGCTTATCATGGGCCTAAGGAAAAGATTGTTTATGCATGTTGTATGGTTTTTGGGTACATTATAAGATCTTATTGTTTTTCAGTTTGTTTTTAACTTAATTTTAATAGAACATTGTCTCATTACTTACTTTAATACAACAAATTTGTACATTATATTTACATTATTTACAACAAACGTACTGGATTTAAAATAATAATTAAAACGATAAATCTCCTTAAACTTACAATTTAAAGTGAATTTAGATATTATATTAAGGAACTGTAATAAGAAATTATTTTATATACAAATTACCCTTTTTTGACAACATTATCATCTAGTTGTGATGCCTTCATTATTTCTCTTTTTTTTCAGTCTACAAAAATATTTTTTTAAGTGATCAAGATGTGTTTCCAATATCTAATTTTACCTAGGAATCAATAAGCTTCTACGCTTAGGCAAAATAATATTTACATTCACATTCATGTACAAAACAGAAAAAATATTGCAGTTACCATAATGATTTTGACAGAATCAAGTTAAGGTAATAAAGTACAAGGACAAACTTTAACTAATGTTCACTATAAACACACAAAAACAAAGAAAAAACATGAAAAACAAGAAGATTCAAAATGTGATGGTTTCAGATAGTATCAAAAACATACATACAAAACTACTTGTATGCATTTAATGTACATTATTATAATCAAGGAAAAAATAGGCAAAACTTGCATAAAAAATATATAAAATAATACTTTAAAAAAATGTGTTCTTTATAATTACTGAACATCCCGAATTTCCTTTTGTCAACATTTAGTCGTCTTGACAACATGTTGTGGAACGTAACCGTTAGGTGTAGTACTACCATTACTCATTTTACTGCTTGTACTAGAGTGTGGTTCTTTATAGTCTTCTTCGTCGCTCAAAGAAAAGTCTTCTATTTCCCTTGAAATGCTTAAAGGCGTGTCTTCCGTGCTGACGGCAGCACGGAGATCAACGCCTTCTTCGCTGTGATAAAAAGAAACATTTTGGAAATCCGGATCGACATCGTCTTGAAGGAGTGTCACTAACTCTAGAAAACTAGGCCTTGAAGAAGGTTTATGGCGCCAACACAATTTCATCACTTGGAACAATTTGTCTGGACACCTTTCTGGCCTTTCCATAATTCCACCTTCGATTACGTATCTCAAAACCTGATCGTTCGAGAGACCCTATAAAATGAATAATTTTAAGTTTTGTCCAAAATCTCATAAAATAAAATATATGAATATAGTGGTTTTTCATTTCTGTTTTCTTGTATTTCAATTCCAATTAATTTTTCATCTCAACCAAAAACCTTAGATAAAAATAATAATAAATTGGAATAATTAATATGGTCATTATGACTACTAAGCAAATATAGATTAATTTAATAATTAAAAGAAATAATTACTTTACTAATAGATCCTCAAGGCCACTTTATAAGTCGCTGAGAATTGAATCCTGATTACATGACATTTGAAAATATGGCAAAAAGAGGGGTTCGAAGTCACGACAGCTCAAGTGGTTAGAGCAGCGGCATATTTACACGAAGGTCGTGAGTTCGAATCCCACTAGTGACACTAATTTTTCATCTCAACCAAAAGTCTTAGATAAAAAGAATAATTAATTGGAATTTTTAATTGTATTGAAAAAAAGCCTTAAATAATGTACCTGATATGGTTGTGATGCAAGTGTAGCCATTTCGTACAAGACCACTCCATAGCTCCAAGCATCTGAATGAGAAGTAAATACACCGTCTTTTAAACTTTCTGGTGCCATCCACCGTACTGGAAGTAATCCTTTGGAGCCTTTTTTAAGGGGAAAAATGACATAATATGTTAATATTAAAATAACAAACCAAAATAACAAAATGTAATACCTTTTCTATAATATTCTGTCTCATAAATATCCCTTGTCATACCAAAATCTCCAATTTTTACGGTCAAATCTTCAGCAACCATACAATTTCTTGCCGCTAAGTCTCTATGGACGAATTTTTTTGCAGACAGGTATGCCATGCCGTCAGCAATCTCTGCTGCCATTCTTAAAATCCTCTGAAATTACATTTTACGCATTATTATTACTGCAGTATTTTTATAGGGAAAAAGAGAAGTAGGGCGAACATAAAAAAGGCTGGAACATTGTTCAGACTTGCTGAACATAAAGAATAGTAGAGTATAATGATAGCCAATGCTCGAGGGATTGAGTAGGGCTCAGATGAAGGTGATGATGATTAATTTATATACTTGTACAATTTTATAGACCCCCCTGGTTTCACAAGTTATGGCGAATATGTACTCAATATTTTGCCATCAGCTCTCTGATTAATCATACACACAGAAAAATTTAATTATTTACATATACATATACACACATATGTACAATTCTATATGTGAGGAAACACTCCTGTTTCCTTTAAGAAGCAGAACAGGGGATCCAACGGTTGACCCGCCTGCCTGAGTACCATCATTATGTCAGGGGTCATGCCTATTCGCTCCCTGTAAGGGGCCAAGGCATGGCACTTTTTGATCAACCGTTCTCTACAAACGTACACCTGCGTTAGTTTTGACCCATGTGTCAGAAGGGTATGGACTATCCTCAATTGGGTTAGCACACGATCTTTTCCTTTTGTATCAGACTCTCAGAACGACAAGAGCTTAAGACAAAGGACAAATAGGCTGATAAAAGTTTGATAAGGACAGCTATCAGCCCTGAGACCTTTTGTGGAATACTAAGTTGCCAAAAATGTAAATCTGTCGTACAATGGGTAAAGAATAAGTCCCCAGTTGGAGGGGATTGTATTTCAGGACAGAAACTTAAACAACTGGCAGAACAACTAAATCTAGTAGATCAGCTCTATCAAGAGGAACCAGAGACATCAGCATATATCCTTTGAGAATGTAAAGTGATAGCACATTTACAATACAGCCACTTTGGCAGGACATTTATCATACTAAACGAGATACACAGAGAGGCACCAAGGAAAGTGCTCAGTTTTTAAGGAATAGTGCACTTTCCAAGGTATAGCTGTAGGTTCCAAGGTAGACCACAGACCTGTCTAGGTCACAGTGGAGGAAAAAACTGTCTTCTGTATCAACCCAATAACTCCTAAAAAACAACCTAGGAATGATACAGGACTAGAATGATAGTTGGACTGCTGATTAGACAAAGCAGTGTCACAGGTTCATTCTCGGAATGTTAACAATCCACCTGTACCCCAGGTGCCTGGGGCTCAGTGAAGATTTTTCCAAGGTGGCTTCTCTCTTCCAAAAATCAGGCACCACTCTGTATTTTCCTGAGAAAGAAATGGTGAATCTAAAAAAGCCTCCGGAGTTGTGAAGTCGCAGGACAAGAAGAAAAGTTCCAAAAAAAAAAAACCAAAATCAAGTTCTTTTTACAAGCACTCAAACTTGCCCACACCATCATGTTGGAGCTTGAGACTCACTTGTCCTCGTTGAATACCGGCTGCTCACCTAGACCTGGGTCTACTACAGCTTCCAAGAGCACCCCCAAATCCGGCTGATCTTGGTGCTAAAAAATTTTTATTTTCCATTTGTAACAGCAGAAAAATATGAATAGACTTGAAGAGCTCTAGATAATAATGGATATTGCAAAATAGACTATTGGATGCGGTGAGGAAGGTTGTAAAAAGACCGAATCCTTTTAACCTTAACCTAGAAAATGGTAAAACTATTAAGTTGTTATTCATAACTGTGGTACATATAACAAAACCTGTAAAATATTTTTTTTTCAACATATTATTCATTCAACAATAGTAACATCTAGAAAAAAATAAAATATTGATTTTTTTTTACTTTTAAGCAAGGTTGTTTAGGATTATCTGGAAGATCAGGTCTGTGAGAACGAAGGTAAGACTTCAGGTCTCCACGACACATTAATTCCATTATGACAAGTGTAGGCTGGCCTTGAGAGACGACTCCCAAAAGTTTCACAACATGGTGAGTATTAAAAGCTCTGAAAAAAAAAATTTTTTGTTATTTGTTCTAGAGAAATAAAAATAAAAAACTTACTTCATAACAGAAGCTTCGTTCAAAAACTCAATTCGATCTCTGTCTGCTGCTTGATCATTGACAGTTTTCACAGCGCAAGGAAGCTCCTGTGTGCCATCGACATTTTTTAAAATCCCTTCCCACACCATCCCAAAAGAACCTTGGCCTATCTCTTTGATCAGATCTACCCTAGTTCTAGGGACTTCCCAGTCATCCGGTTCATACACTACAAATTAAAATCAATTAAAACAATCAAATACTAAAACTGCTTTTTATTATTTCATCCTCTTGTAATTCACCTGTAGGTACATATTCTGGATTTACCGATGCTATCAATTTACGATTAGGCACTTGGGTGTACTGTCTTCGGAAGTATATTACACAAACAAGGGCAGTAATGATTAAAGCTGTTGAAAACATTAAAGAAATATACACCACTGATATTTGGGATTCCTCCTGAAATTAACCAATGTCAATAGTCAATAAACTTAAAAAATGCAAAGATTTACATTCTTAAGAAATCCTCAAGCAAATATATAAAAACAGAAAGAGATGTGTTAAGAAGAATTAAAAAATCAAGTGAGAAATGTCGAAAAGGAGAATAACATTACATATTAAATTATATGATTCTTTTAAAAATCTAAACTTACTTCTATATAAAAATATTTTACAGGAGTAAAATTTCCTTCTCCACCATATGAAGTAGCCCTGACACGAAGACTATAATTTCCTGGCCCTAGGTTCTTCAACATGTAAGAATTATTGGCGTCTCTGAATTGTTTTCTGGTAATGCACTCGATGTTAGGCTTGAACTAAAATTATAATTTAAAAAATGTAGAACTTGATAAACTTTCTGTACACATACATTTATAAACTGAGAGGCAAAAAAAGTGACCACCCTCATTTTTTTCCTCCTCCAATAGTACCATTCCCAATTCCTGCAAATGTTCTGGCATCACTGGGTGACTTTTTACCTTCATTGACAACTCCTCTCAAAGGTTTTTGGTCAGGACTACATGCTGGCCATGCCAAACATCGAACTGCAGCCCGTTCCAAGTGGTCACCAATGACCCTAGCTGTGTGGGTTCCTTTCATTGTCATTCAAAAAAATAAACCCATCGCCAATTAGTGGCAGTAACAACTTCTTCTGATAGCACATCATCAATCGCACAGCAGTTAAGTCAAATTCAAAACTTACAAATGAAACAACTTTTTAAAAAAATCAAACCACCAGAACTTTAGAAAGAAGCTTTACAGAAAAATCAACAAAGAAGAGATCCACTATGCAAAGATGTGTTTACAAAATCCAATTATAAACATAAGCGGGAGATTTTCTTTTGGTTTTATTTACCTCTAATTAAAATGGACCAAATATTGTAGTAAGATAACCAATTGTCTAAGAGATAATTGAAAATATTAAGAGTGGCCACTTTTTCCCTCTCAGTGTATATACATACATTTTCAATGTCCGTTCTTCTGTATTCAATCTGGTAGGCAACAATAAACCCGTTTGGGCGTGGCGGCTCGTTCCATCTCAGCAATACAAAGCCGAGACTTTTATTGGAAATCTCCCATTGTAGGAATTGGTCATCGATGTTATCAGCATTTGCTACAAAAGAAAATACTATGTTAATAATAAAAAATAATAATCATTGAACATTTACACAAGAGGTTTATTTCATTATTAAAAGCAAGGAGTAAAAATTGTAGCTGTTAATAGCCCCTGGTAAGACCGAGGTCTGACCCAGGACTGCTAACACCCGGTGTGGGTGATTCTAGAGGCCTGCCGGTAATTTATTGTAAATTAAATGGCTGGAAATGCCGAGGCCCATATACGCATGCACACTTTGGAGTTTATATAAATCAGAATTTATTCATTTTATGGGGTTCTTGAAAAATGAACTTTGAAAAAAAAAATGACTTACCAAGAGGTAATGTTTTAGCTGTTACAAATGCTGAAGAACTACAGGTACCGGTATTATTTTTGTTCTCATCTTCTTCCAGTTCCCGGCATGCATTAACTGCAATATTGTAATGAGCAAAATGTCTTAGATTTTTTACAACTAGGGATGTTCCTCCTCTAACGATCCTTGTGAAACTTTCTTGGAATCCTAAGTTACATCAAACAATGTAAAAAATACTAAAAGCTGTTTATTTAATTAATAATAATATTCATTAGAAACTGAAATCACCTTCTCCCATAACGTTTTCCATTAATATAAACTTCCCAGTAGTTCTATCTGAAACGTCTCTTTTATTTCTTACCGAGTCCGTCCTAAAACAAACAAGAAAAATTGCATAAACTGATACCTAACAAGACGAACATTTCACCTTTTGATGTATATAGTATTCTGCAAATGGTCTTCAAAATGTATTTCTTTTTCCCTTATTTTATTATCAGGCACTTTATTGGCACAGGCACAATTTTTGTTGGAAGAATCCGGTTTGTCAGTAGTCTCTGGATGCTGTTCTGGCTTTGCAATCGAATGAGAAGTTCTTTTATTATCATAAGCTGGAAAAAAAGTACTTTTAGTAATGTGTAGAGATTAGTGACCATTAATGGATAGTTATTCAGATATCGTGAGATGCGGTCGGGTGTGATGTAGGTCTCAGAAAAACATTTTCTTTTAACATCTTTTATTGAGATCCTACGTCACTTTGTTTGAATATAAAATATATTTTGCATTGTATAAATTCACTTTTCCACATCCTAAATGTAATTGTTAAATGTAAACATTGTTTGTAAATCCCAGGCCCTGAAGATGATCTCAATAAAAGATCGAAACGTTGGCACGATAAAGAAAATGTTTTTTTGAAACCTACATCACACCCGACCGCATCTCACGATATCTGAATAACTTTTATTAATGATGAATTGGTGTATTGAACAATGTTCGTAAAAAAGTGAAAATGTATGGGACAACCCAGAAGAGGTGAGAACAAGTATCGCGTGGTAAAAAAAAAGTCTGTAACATTTTTTGATGGTAAATACAATTAAAATTGTATGTAAAGGGTGCGAAACGAATCCTGGCGAAAACAACACACTTGCCATTAGTCAATGCCAGTCGATTTTGGTCAATTGCCGACTTAATCGCTCTAACTGTCTGAAGTATACGCTAAAATTAACATTTAACTTTTTTTTAGTTGTTATTAACAGTGGGTCACTGGGGGGTAACTTTGCAATTTAGGAGGGAATCATAGACGGAGATGCGATCCAATATTTTTATCATTAATATTTTTCGATCATTAATCATTTTTTATCAAATATTTTTCCGTCAAAATTTGAGGACTGAGTAGCCCATATGCCCTGACAGACATATCCAGCTTCTCTCAGATGCATTGTGTGTGGGTTATTTGTAAGAAAATTTGAATTTGGTCATCATCAAGGGCCAAAGGACGACCAGAGCACTTTACAACTTCCAAATCTAAATTTCTGCTTTTGAACCGAGCAAACCACTTACAAATGGTGCCTTTAATAGAAATTATAAATGATGGGGTGAATGTGGGGTTCAATCCTTCTTAAAAAAGATGGTTCCTACTCACATTAAGTCAACTTAATGTGAGTAGGAACCATCTTTTTTAAGAAGGAATGGTGCCTTTTTCCTAAATATCAAGAATATCATATTAAAATTTTTCGTAGAAGTCTGAGCTGCCGTTTTCCCTTTGTTGTAATAAATAAACCATTAAACAATGAAAATGCACTATTTTTTTTCTTAAATATTTAAATACCAAAACACCATGTAAAAATAAAAGATCTCGAACAAAACTGACAAATAAAAAACCTCAACTAATTCCTGTTCAGTGTATAAACAATAATGACTAAATAAACATGGCTTCAACTCTTAATTTGCAGTTGGGCAAGTACTGGGAGTATGCCATAGGTGTTATGTTGGGTTGGTGTCCAAGACCTTAGATAAAAAGTACAATTGATTAAAATAATTAATATGGATTACTACAATTGTAAACCTTCCATGTGGTCATTATCGATCATTCCTTATCTGCCTATCTTTATTGGGTTGCTCTGTCAGACTCATTTTGTCATTTCACCATCTGAATCTGAGTGAGTTTTGTTAAGTTTCTTTTATAAAGCCATGAGAGGTGGAGGTATGTGTCATTGTCTTCGTGTCTTTTGTTATTTAGGGTTTTTTTATATTTTTTTGGACAGGGCTACCAACAGTCAAGTCATTTCAGCCCCTTCTCGTTATGACTGATGGGATACTCATACTGCCATTGGCCCTATGCTGTATATTAATTACACAAACACGATAATTTAATTGTTTACAAATATATTTACATATACAAATAGATTTCGAATAAACATACCTACACACATATTCATCTACACATACATGCAGTAAATACAATATTTACAGAAAGGAAAACACCCATGTTTCTCTTAAGAAACGGAACAGGGGACCCAACATTTGACCCGCCCTCCCAAGTAACATCGTTACTTCAAGAGGGTTCATGCCTACTCACTCCCTGTAAGGGGCCAAGGCACAGCACTCTTCGATCAGATGTGACACATTGAGCAACCTTTCTCTACAAACGGGACATCTGTGCGGGCTTTGACCCAAAAGCAGGTGTTTGTGTGTCAGTCGGGTATGGCCAATCCTTTACCGGGTTAACACAATACTTTCCTTTCTTTTAGGCTCTTAGGGGCCATCGCTCAGTCCTGCTCTTAAGCCACAGGAGCTTCTCTTTGGTGGTTTTTAATTTTTTTTATTGTTCCATTGTTTTATTGACTTTGTAATCAGTCCTTTTCATTTTTAATTAATATAATGTTTTAAATAGTGTTAATGATGTATACGAGCTGTTGTTAATTTGTGTATTTATTCGTTTTTTTGTTATGTTTCCCACTTTCCATGAGATAAGTAACGAAGCCCCCCCCCCAATCTCGTTATCCTCTCTTCATACGAGCTTTCCTTTGTTTTGTTAAATAAGAAATATTTAAAATTTGTAATTTAATTGAGATCTAGAAATAAACTAATTTTCCTTACGTTCCAAACAAAAATTCCTTTGCTCAAGGTGTTCCTCTTCACCCTTTTCCCATTGTCCAGTTACAATGTAGTATGTAACGTTTCCATTTGGCTTTGATGGAGGCAGCCAATTTATAACAATTTCAAAGCTTGAATTGGAATACGCTGTTAACGAACGAGGTTCAGATGGTACTAAAAAAATTTAACAAGTGATATAAATTTAATTAAAAATCTTCAAGTAGGTTCCGATTGCAATGAGATTTTTTTTTTTAAATGTAATTAACTCACTATAAGGAGCTGTTCGAAAATACAGAATTGGGCTTTGTGCACCACTTCTCTCAGTAGCGATTGTATAGGTTTTCACATAAAATGCATATTGCGTATAGGCTTTTAATCGTGTTAAAACAAATTTCAGCCACAGTTCTTGGCCTTCTTTTTCTAGTTTTCTCTTTTCATCTTCAGCCATTGGTGCAATATCGTCAACTCTCCACCTGCAAATGATCAAAAATATGAAAGTGTTTAAAAAAAAATACAAAAGTTAACCAAATTGAGATTATTTTTAAAAATATTAGATAGCACGGACAAAACTAGAGACACAAGAGGATGAATTTAACCACAAAATGTTGAAAAAAGATTTTTTTTTAAAAGATACACATACTGTTCATTGTATGAACTTGCTAATGTATCAAATGAAGGTTTCCTTGAATACTTGTAAAATCATATATTTGATTCCTATGTTGAACAAATATACACTGAATAATAGTTACAAAAGGAATAAAAGAAGCTTGTGCTAAGTATAAAAGAAAATCTTATCACGCATTCCTGGTTTTTCAACATTTCTACTTACTTACAACTACTTAGTAAAATTAATACAATTTATATCATTTCAATTTTTTTTAAAGAAATAAAGCTTATATATATATATATATATATATAAAATACAAACCCGTCTCCACCACATCCATCACGCCCATCGTATAATGTGATGTTTCGGTAAGGGGCCTCAATTGAATAGACAACATATCCCAACAAAGTTCTTGTATCATAATGTTCAAATTGTTTCCATCTGATTAAAGCTCCTTGTGGGCTTCGTGTCTTTACTTCAGCTATCAGTTCAGTCACATTGCCTATAAAAATTGTAAACAATTAAGTGAGGAGGAATAATAGCGAAAGGAGAAGGGGAGAGGGAAGAATGTGTGTGTGCATTTGTGCGTGCGTGTGCATGTGTGTGTGTGTGAGTGTGAGTGTGTGTGTGTGTGTGTGTGTGTGTGTGTGAGAGAGAGAGAGGAGAGAGAGAGAGAGAGAGAGAGAGAGGAGAGAGAGAGAGGAGAGAGAGAGAGACAGAGAGAGAGAGAGAGACAGAGAGAGAGAGAAATATAGGAGTAAAAGAGAGGAAACTGCCATGGCCGAATAGTAAGGATTCATATTTGCCACGCTAGTTCTGGGTTCAAATCCCGGCATAGCCCACGGCTTTTTAATCAAGTATAACGTTAAAAATATAATTATTCAGAAATCGTGAGATGCGGTCTGGTGTGATGTAGGTTTCAGAAAAACATTTTCTTTATCGTGCCAATGTTTCCACCTTTATCTGGGATTTACAAACATTGTTTACATTTAACAAATATATGTAGGATGTGGAAAAAAGTGAATTTATACAATGCAAAATATATATATTTTTTTATATTCAATCAAAGTATTTCTACTCAATCAAAGTGTCTGTCTTCTGTGTAATTGTGCCATTCTTGCGTGTCGTGTGGAGTAATGGTTCGGCCAGATTATCCTTTCAGGATTATATAGAAAGGGGATAAATAGGAAAAGGAAAGCTAAATTGTTGAAAAACTGAACTATGTGAAAAATGTTTGATGGTGGAATGTGATGTGATGATATATGTATATTATCTATATTGAATTTGATTAATGATATTGGCGTAGCTGCAACTGAGTATGTATCTGTTCTGAAATTTATGCTGTGTTTATCTCTGTTGATGTAAATCATTTCTAAAAAATTACGTTTATGTTTGTTTTGTTCTGTGTGTAATATTTTTGGATTGTTGAAGTCGAAATTGTGTTTGTGCTCAAAATGGTGGGTAGTGAGTGCTGTAGGATTTTTCTTGGGTTTTTTGCAATCATATGTTGATATGTTGCTTTACTCTCTTGTCTAGATTAATAAGATGTAAGACCGATGTAAGTTGCCAGACAGTTTAGATTTAATACTTTGATTGAATATAAAAAAAATATATATTTTGCATTGTATAAATTCACTTTTTTCCACATCCTACATTTCGTTAAATGTAAACAATGTTTGTAAATCCCAGGCCCTGAAGATGATCTCGATAAAGATCGAAACGTTGGCACGATAAAGAAAATGTTTTTCTGAAACCTACATCACTCCCGACCGCATCTCACGATTTCTGAATAATTATCAATTAACGGTCACTAATCACCACACATTAAAAATATATTGTTAAGTGGTTGGAACCCTTGTTCGCTCTACCCAATGTTAAGGAAGGCTAAATGTTTGTGAGGACTTACTTTACTTTTCTAAATAGGATGTTAAGATTTGCACACATTTTATCTAATTCGGGTACTTTATAAAAAAAAATTCTTACATGCCACTTTATCCCCGTTCGAGTTGATCGCAACTTCCAAGTCTGTATATTCTGGTAGTTGAGCAACTTCTCGGAGTTTGTCAATCTTCGAAATGCACAGCTTAGGATTAAAGTGAAAAAATAACTTTCCCCTTCTTATATGGAAAGACGGCTCTCGTGACTTCCAATCCCACAGCTCGATGAGGTTCTGATTATCCAAAACAACCAAGCCATACCTTAAAAATAATTAATACAAAATTATTTTTATAAACGTTCATTTTTGTTCATCGGTTCCAATGGTATTGAGAATATGAACGAGACTGCCATTTAATAAACAAGCAGAAAACAACAAAATTATATATGTAATAGTATTAAATAGTGAACCTATGGAATTAACAAGGTAAAAATTTGTATCTTTTGTAATTTTCCTTTAATTAATAATACAAATATATCTAAATAATAACATAAATAATTATCTAATCAAACATAATATACAATGACATTAAATTGAGAATACTTACTTTGAACTTTCCAATTTTTTTCCGTGAATTTCCCTCAAATTTTTCAAAAAATTCAAGGAAACTAAAGGAAACGATCGAACAATTTTCAAATAGTACTCGATCTCTTCTATCATGCTCAAATTTTCATCAAGCTCTTTCACAACATTGCCTGTTATAAATAAACCAAAGTTAAATTCAATAAGAAACAAATAATTAAAAGTATACCATTTGACATAATGTAAATTATGCAACTTGAGAATAATTCTTATATAATGTTAAAAATGTCACAAATAAATTGTTGAAAAGAATAATTAATCAAAGAAACAGTGAAATTAAATTTAATAATTTGAGCACTTTGGTTATAAACAATTTCATTACATGCATATATTATACCATATTTCATATTCATTTAACTTTTTTCATTTCTTTTAAACTTAAAATTAACCATTTTTACTTTCTAATTAACCTTTTAATTTTCCCCTTTTTAACTTCAAAGTAACCCTTTTTAAGATCAATTGAATATTTTTAACTTCAAATTATCCCTTTTTAATTTCACCTTTTTTAACCTCAAATTGACCTTTTTTAAACTTCAAATTAACCCTTTAATTAAAGCAATAAAAACCATATGAAAATTAATTACAAATAAAATTAAAAGTAATATACAATTAAATATAAAAACAAATAATTTTTCTATTATTAATTCAACATTTTTAAAAATATTGGGCTCTTATACAAAATACTAAATGAACATTGTTTACGATTCATTTACGTTTTTGTGGTCAATTGACCAAGTTACTTCTTTCAATTAATTGTTCTTTCTACGTAAGGTCTTGGATGAGATAAAAAAGTCAGTGTCACGAGCGGGATTCGAATTGAAAATCGATCGATTGAAAATGGCAAAAAGAGGGAAAAATTCGAATGATAAAAAGGTTGAGATGGAGAGTTGGTGTCCGAGAGGATCGAAGTCACAATAGCTCAAGTGGTAGAGCAGCGGTGTATTTAGCCGAAGGTCGTGGGTTCGAATCCCGCTCGTGACACTGACTTTTTTATCTCAACCAAGACCTTACACACAAAGAATAATTAACTGTTTACAATTAAAATTAAAAATTAAATAATTAGTGCTGGACTCAATTACAGGGAGTGATCACTGCTAACTGACTCTTATCAAGTGTAAAATGCCTGATTGTTATTGTCTGTTATCTCATTTGCTTGTTGCGACTAAAAATAGCAGTTTAAAAATCATAATTTAAAAAAATATATTATTTTATTTTTAATCATAAAAAATTAAAACAAAGGGTTTTTCTTTAATATAATGATTAAACAATTTCTTACCAAAAACTGGGATATACAGGATGAGTTTGACTTCTGTTGCCCCCTTATTTTTATTATTATTATTGGGTCATTTTTTTGAAAACTTTTAAATTTTGTCTAATATCTAATGGACCAAAATGTTTTGATCAACTCTCCAGGATACCAGGGTATGGATGGAGCTAAACTTTTTCAAATAATAGTCATCAGCGCACATTTTTTACACTGTTTATTAACGCTGAATTCAACGATTCATATGATTTAAAAAAAATAATTGCTTTATAGAAAGGGTTAATTTTAAGTTTTAAAAATGTTTAATTTGATGTTGAAAATCTTTCAAAATTTAAATGAAAAATAAAGCGTTAAGTCACTTGTTGACAGTGTATACTTACTTCCACCCCTTATCTGTATCTCTAATGCTCCTTTTATGTAAGTACAACCTCTAAGCTTTTGAGCAGCTGCAATACTATCTACATTGGCTCCTGGACACTCCTTCTTGCATACACCTATAAAAAATTATTATATATATCACATAGCAAACAAATGCGCACAATCTCATGATTACCTTCACAAGGTTCACACTGGTTTCGTTTTTGTCCTTTCAAAATCACTTCTTTTTCAATGTATCCAGATTTGCATTCCATGATACATTCGCCTTGAAATGGTTTCCAAGGATTGTGCCCAATGTTTGAGTCTACAATTTCAACTGGTTTAGGCATATCATAGCAAACCGATTCAACGATGCACCGGCGATTCATGTACTGGAGGGGGAGAAAAATTAACGTATATACATATCTTTTTTTTTTAATTAAAAATATACCTTGTAAGTGTTGGCAGGACATTTTGATACACATTTATTTTCAAACAAAACATGCCTACAACTGATACAGTTGTCAGACCCTGAACCTGTACATCCTCCAATGCAAGATGCATTGCAGCAATCTCCAGCAGCGTTACAGCTACCGTTACAGTGCTTCGGGCACACTGCAAAAAAACACCTTTAATATCAAGAAGGGCCTAATATTTTAAAACACATACCTCTTTGACAATGATGGGAATTCCAGCAAAGAGGTTCTCCCGTAGTGGCTGATGTGGGGCAAGTGTGATTTATTGGTGGACACATTGGACATTCATTTTGCAGCTTATTTCCCTAAGAAAAAAATAATGATGTTATAATTTAAGCACTAAAAAATAAATTACGCTATTGGGTGAGGGACAGTGAAACTTGCTTGATCACTGGTTTTAATGATAAAATAATAAATAAAAATATAATAATTACAGCTATGTGATGTACTCCTTTTCCGTTGTGGGCAATGAGATCCCAATCTATCGTATCCACAAAACATAATACTGGATTCTTTGACAAATTCACAGAACCACGTAGTATGTGAGTAAGAGAAGAAAGTCCAATTTCCTATGATGTAAACAATTATATTAGATAAATTTTATTATAGCTAGGATTTGCATTATAAAACCAAACAAATATTTTTATATACAAAATAGTATCAAGTAAAAAAAAAAAAAAAAATTATAATTTAATATTTTATATCTTAAAATTCAGTCAGGAAATAATATACCTGCAAATGCAGCATTTCGAATACGACAAGAGCATAATCTTTGAATAAATGATTGCCTCTTATAACAGCAAGGTTGGGGAAAATAGATCCGAGCGATCTGAGACCGTGAACTCTGTAAAGCAGAAGATAGTCCGTGATCTCCTTTAGTTCGGGAAACGTTATGTTAGCATAATCGGCGTCAGTAGCCTTATCGATAAGAACGATGTGAACGAATCCCTCGACAATCTGGCATCCATTCAGCTGAGAAAATGATTCCACTGAATTTCGGATGTCTTTGCTGCTACAAACTACAAAAAATGAACAAAGAAACGATGTAAGTATAGTGGTGGCATTATTCCAAGTTGGAGAGTAAAAGTTTCGTGTTGGCTGTCAACATTTATATAATATGGACCAAGGATACTGCCCTGTGAGCAGTATGATAAGGTAGGTGAAGGGAAGAATGCTTTTGAGCTTGATCCACATCTAGGAAAACCCCTGAGCTGTACTATTTTAGCTCAAGAGATGGAAAAATTGTCTACAACAATCCCAACTAGTGAGATAGAATAGTTTTATTCTTCTAGGATGGGAGGCTTTGGGATCAAGGGAGAGCGAGGACGGGAAAGTGAGTTTTAGGATAGGAAGAGGATTGTTGTATTTGTTAAGGATGATTTGTTAAGGATGATTTGTTAAGGAGGAATCCAATTTTAGGATTTCAGAGGTATAAGGTCCTATCCAGGAAGGTTAATTTTTTTTTTTAAAGTATTATTCATGTAACTTTACATATTTCTTTTAATTAAAAATTACCTTATCATTATAAACATTACAATAATTATGAGACTATTAAACGGATGTGAAAAATAAGAAAATAACAATCTGGTCAGGGTCAATCAGTTCAATCAGGTACTATGATTCAAGTGATCAATTTGTAAGTCTGATTGAATTATTAATAGCGCCAAATTTACTGTCCTGTTTTTGAAGAACGAAAAGAGTATAATTTAAGAGCTAGAATTAAACTGATTTTAATAAATTGGGACTTAACTTTATAACATGGCTTATATGGGATTAAATTTAATTCATTTTAAACAATATAGATTAAAAAAATATATATTTACCTCCAGGCTCGTTTAATACAGTTTTTCCGTGGTCATCTGTAATATATCTATGTGTGGTAGCTGTGTGAAATATCAGCGATAAAACACACATTAAACTAAATACCACATTCCACGATATTGCATTTCTTTTACGCCACTTCTTAAACATCTTTTGACCTGGAAAAAAAATATATACAGTAAGATTAGTTAGTTCCTTTCCCTTATAGTTATAAATTATAACTTTATATACTATATAATTATAAGTTGTATGGATAGCTGGGTTCAAATCCAGGCATAGCCCATGGAAATTTAACTGAGAATATGATAAGTATTGCAAGTAGTCTGGTCAGTCTGCGACACCCGATGGTTTAGTTGGATGTTAAGCCTCCAGTACGGCAGGAATTTTACTCATTTAGTTTATGAAAAATTAAAACATGTATTGTAGTGTATTGAATGTATTCAAACTGAAATTATCAATGAGTTTCTCACAAAATTCTTTGCACTTTTTCATCAAGGATGTTGTAAAGATTAATCATGCATTCACATAACCACATATATCATCAGAAAAACCTCAAATACGACAAATAAATACAAAATATTAAAATTATAGATTTACAATGTGCATCGTGGAACACTAGATAATCATATTCTTATATATTCTTGACAGACTACTCGCCAAGTCCATAGACGTCCAGACGTCCACTTCTGAACTTATAAGAATGTAAAAACCTATGAAACCACTTTATACACAAAAAGTCACTGAAGATGGTCTATGTTAGACCAAAACGCGGCATCTGACGTAATAAATACCAATTGTGAAAAGACAATTTATTTCCTACCCATTATCTTACTAGATAATCAGTCTGTGCTTCCTGCTTATACAAAATAGCTTTAATTTTGATTTAATCCTATTTAGAAAATGGAGTAGAAAAATTTACCGAATGTTCGACAGAAATTCAAGAGTGAACATGGGCCACGATGGACGGAAATGAGATAGGCTAAACGTGCACAACATGCGCGCTATACATGCAATAGACGCCACAGAGAATAAGAATTTCCTCTTCGAACAATTTCTAAATTGTAAATCTATGTTACATTTCCCGAATATTTCCTAGTTTCTACAGAGATTTAAGATTTTTTCATCTCAAAAAACAAAAACAAAAAAAAACAACGCACTAGATCGAGAAGAAAGTGTGCTCGTAAAATTAATCAGATAAATGAGATAAAATGCACTTGTAAGTCAACTTTCGGATCAAATAAAAAATTTCAGAATACATTATGTTTAACCATTAATAAAGATTCTTTGACCTATTGCTGACTATTCTGATAATATAATAAAACGTAAAAGAACTTCAGATTTCAGAGATATTACCGTTTATGAAGTCTGATGGCCAATCTACACACTCCACGGCCTGCATGGCAGCAAATCACGCCAAACGGGGGAAACTTTTTTTTACACTTTAGGTCACTAAGCAAGAATAACAGCAACAAAACTGGCGCCTGATCGGTGACTGATTTCCTCTCATTCAAAACCCCCACCCGTTCTCTTTTTAACGGGCTCAAATAGTTTGTAATCAGAAAACATCGTCCTACCTAGATCTTTGTTAATGATTTTTTTGTTAAATTATTCTTCCTCATGAAGATCCAATCTCTTGGAAGGACACAAAGTTGCAAGATTCTGCTTCTATAAACAGTACAATGATAGTTTCAGTAGGAACATTTTTGCTCTTTGTTGTCGATTGTCAAGCAATAATAATGAAGAAGTACAGCGGATGAATTTTGTACCTGAAGATATAACGACGAAGAAAAAATCCAACGGTTTAACACCAAGGCAAATACACCCTTCTCACAGAAACTTGTGAATAACGAGCCTTCTCGGTACTTCATCTACTAACATCAATGAAACGAAAGAAATTGATGGTCCACGGGTCGGTGAAAACATGGTGAACTTATTATCAGCGTCATTCAGCTCCTCACTGAAGAAGGCGTGGAGCCGAAACACGTAATGTATCATTCAATTCAACAAATTCTACTTAGAGAGTTATGCTAAATAAAAGAATGTCAGACGTGTTTTTTTAAATTTTTGATTGAAAAGTGGATTCTGCACTGTAGGATTGGTAAGTGATCATGGGGAAAGTCGAATGTTCGTTTATCACTTCTGAGGATGGACTCCAACCTACGAAGATCACTGGCTTAGTAGGATTCGATGGGTTTCTCGTTTACTAACAGCTTAAGAACGAAACGGTCCAGTTTAATTAAATACTGTTTCAAACTCAACCAGTTAAACGCTGATGCCATTAAGCGTAGATAAACCAACATTTGCCAACAGGAATGGAGTCGTACAGAGCAAGCAAGGGCACCACATTAAAGGAAATGAGCCAAGATAAAGGTTTTTTCGGTTTTGACTTTACGGTTTATATGGACGCAATCTAATATGCTGACACACTGAAATTAACTATCTCGAGTTTAATTTTCATATAGTCTTCTAAGAGCAATTTTATATTAAAAAAAAGAGGCAAATATACAGGAATTTTATTTTACATGCTTATATTTCACACCATCTAAGACTTTTTAAATGCGCTAAGAAAACGGCCATTAAAAAAGGTTAATTTGGTGCTAAAAAGTGATTTGAAGTTAAAAATGGGTAATAATTAAATTAAAAAGGTTAGTTTGAAGTTAAAAAGGGTTGATTTGAAATTACAAAGGGTGATACAGGTAATAATTTAGTACAAAGAGTACTAAAAATTAAAAAAAAAGATAAACTAATTAATTGATAATTTTATAATTAACTTCAATTAAATTTAATTAATTTTTATAATCAAGACTTTTTAAATGTGCTAAGAAAAAAAAGACTAAATGTGCTAAGAAAACGGTCATTAACAAAGGTTAATTTAATGCTAAAAACGGTTATTTTGATATATATTATATTTCATACCATTTCCTAAGTTTTTTGATGCTTTAAAGAAAGTGTTCTGTTTGAAAATCATTGGATTTAACTGTCTTTAATTTTATTTCATTTTATTGTTTAATCGTAGTTTTAATTAATTGGCCAACACCGGCTATCAAACATAAAGAACAATTAATTTGAAATTAAAGAGTTAATTTGAAGTTACAAAGGGTTAAATTGAAATTAAAAGGCTAATTTGAAATTAAAAAGGGCTAATATGAAGTTACAAAGGGTTTTATAATTAATAACCAACCCGTATATAATTATTTATAGGTAGTTATTTTACTTACTTACATTTCATTTATATTATATTTAATAATATCTAAGATTTTTGAAAAATTAAGATTTTTGAAATGAATGAAACATGAATTTTTGAAAACGAAGGGTTAATTTGAAATTAAAAAGGGTTAATTTGAAGTTGGAAAGGGTTAATTAGATATAAAAAGTTAATGAGAAGTCATTTGAAATAAAAAAGTTAATGGGACATTAAAAAGGGTTAATTTGAATTTCAGAAGGGATCATTTAACGGGAAAACTATATAAAAGAAAAATCCTTTATCATTATATTTTGATAATATAGATGAAAAATCTATATCTGGTCTATAAAATAAATATTTCATATTTAAAAGTAAATCTTTTTAATAAATAAAGGCCCGGAAGATGATCTCAATAAAGATCGAAACGTTGGCACGATAAAGAAAATGTTTTTCTGAAACCTATCACACCAGACCGCATCTCACGATTTCTGAATAATTAANAAAACCTTAATTAATTGTAAATTGTTATTATTTTTATTTTTAATTCGCAAATATACAGGATTTAACCATATCTTATTTTAATGCTTTACGGAAGGGGTTAATTTGAAGTTTAAAAGGCTTAATTTGAAATCTAAAAAAGTTAAGTTGAAGTTAAAAGTTAATTTGAAATTAAAAAACATCAATTTGATGTTAAAAAAGATTAATTTGATGTTAAAAAAGGTGAAATTGAAATTAAAAAAGATTTATGTGATGTTAAAAAAGGTGAATTTGAAATTAAAAAACGTCAATTTGATGTTAAAAAAGGTTAATTAGAAATTAAAAAAGATTAATTTGATGTTACAAAAGGTGAAATTGAAATTAAAAAAGATTTATGTGATGTTAAAAAAGGTGAAATTGAACTTAAAAAAGATTTATTTGATGTTAAAAAAGGTGAATTTGAAATTAAAAAAGATTTATTTGATGCTAAAAAAGGTGAATCTGAAATTAAAAAAAGATTAATTTGAAGTTAAAAAGGCTTAATTTGAAATTTAAAAAAGTTAATTTAAAGTTAAAAAGGGTTAATTTGAAATTAAAAAGATCAATTTGATGTTAAAAAAAAGTTAATTTGAAATTAAAAAGTTTAATTTGATGTTAAAAAAGATGAATTTGATATTAAAAGATTAATTTGACGGAAAAGAGAACAGCTTGATTTCCATTTTTGTAAAAGGTAGCCGTTGGTGTAGGTCTTGGTTTCTTGAGCTTTAAAAATGCACTTTTCTTGTTTTTAAGTGTAATATTTCCTATTTTTAATAAATCAGGATTCCATAACCGAACATCAACAGAGGAGAAACCATTTTAAATAGTTACAAATGTGAGAAACACTTAAACGTTGCATTTGCTGTAAGCTGATTTAAAAAAAATCGATTTGGACTTTCAAGTGGAGGGCGATCCGTTGACAAATAAAAATATACAAGAAATTTTGTTATGTAAACTAACTGGTGTACAAAGCGATATAAAGTTGTTATTAGTTGTAGAGTATAAGAAAATGACAAAATAACGAGAAAAGTGTCCACTCGAAATCGTATTTACTACAAGAGCGAAATCAGTTTGCCAAATGAACCGATGCCTGGGAAAACGATTAGCAAGAAATACAAGTACAGGGACAAAGTAAAAGAAAGGTGTGAGATATGTGGGAAAATTAAAAGTACTCAAAAATATTTTCGACCCAGAAAACGTAAATTTTTCAGCCTAGGGTTGAAACAATTTTTGTATTTATTTTTAAGGAGTAAGCGAAAGGAAAACAAATATTAAAAGCAGACTAAGAGACTAGTGTTGGAATTTTGGGCCTTTCCATATAAAAAGTACTGACTTAACTCAATGCAGCGGGTCTTTATACGTCAAATTGTTACTTCAAACTACTACGATAACAAGTAAAAATTCCTAATTTTACAGTCTGAAATAAGTTAAAATGATAAAATTTAAAGGGCAAGAAGATTTTCCAAGTGTTTGGTCTGATGTGTTAGGTTAGTATTAGAGTTAGGATTAGGTTTAAAAATGTAACCTCCAGAAAGTAAATAACCATCATGTTGCAACATGTCCAAATATTACGTCAGTTTAAATGTGTACATTTGTAAAATTACATCCATTATATTTCGTGGTCCGATTGACCGAATAACTTCTTTCAATTAATCAAGCTTTATGTAAGGTATTGGTTGAAATAAAAATGTCAGTGTCACGAGAGGGATTCGAACTCACGGCCTACGGCTCGATACGCAGCTCCTCTTAAGAGAAGTAACGAGCTCAAGTGGTTAGAGCAGCGGCGTATTTAGAGTAAGATCTTTGGCTCGAATCCCGCTCGTGACACTAACTTTTTCATTTCAACCAAGACTTTACATACAAAGAAATATTTGATTAAAAAGTTCAAATTAAACTATTTCCCATCTCATGATTACACGACATTTGAAAAATGGCAAAAAGGAGAGAAAATTCGAAAGGTAGGTTGAGATGGAAAGTTGCTGTCCGACTGGATCGAAGTCACGATAGCTCAAGTGGTAGAGCAGCGGCGTATTTAGCCGATGGTCGTGGGTTCTAATCCCGCTCGTGACGCTGACTTTTTTTATTTCAACCAATACTTTACATAAAGCTTAATTAATGGAAATTTGTCAAACTGTGACTTCAAAAGAGGGCGATAACGATGCAAATCTGCTAAACCTACAGGCTGAAATAAGTTAAAAAGAATGTGGGCTGCTTTTGTACCAGATTTACCAGGAAAATGTAAAGGACAAGAAGACATTTATAGGGTTTGGTTTGGTGAGTTAGATTAGGTATAGTTAGAGTTAGGTTAGGTTAAAACATGTAACGTCGGTTGAGTAAACAACCTCCATGTTCCACTGTCCAAATATCACGTCAATTTAAGTGTATAAATTTGTCAAATTGCTACTTCTAAGGAACGCGACAACGAGGAAAGTCTCATAATCCTATAAGCTGAAATAAGTTAAGAAAGAAGCTGGCTCCTTGCGTCCTAGCTTTACCGGGAAAATTTAAACGTCATTTCTGGTTTTCATATCAGTTTGAATCATATTTATCAAAGCTCTTAGTCATGAGTTAGCTGAGATTTGTCACGTCAAAGGATTTGAACACCAAAAAGCCAGCCGTTCTGCTATTGAATTGCGACGATCCTGCTTTGCATAAAATCCTCATCCGCCTTGAAGGGACTTTCGAAAAAGTGAATAAAAATAATGACTATCTAGAAGTATTTTGTGAAGATGACAGTGAACTTTAATAATATTCCAGATTTCAAGCACTCCAAGCATATTCGAATGTTCAATCTTTAACGCTTTAAGGAAATTTACCGGACAGGATAATAAAGGAATTTAGGAAAAACTGTTTTGAAAAGTTATAAACTGGTCTTTCATCGTATCTTTAATAAATTAAAACAATTGATCGTTCAGACGAGATTTTTTTCAATAAGTTCCCTTTCAAAAATATTGAGAGACAAAATTAATGAACTTCATCTTCTCTGGCCGACGTCAATTGCTAAAACAGCAAAAGTTGCAGTAATATAATGGATGATTGGAGATTAACACAGAAAAAAGGAAACAATCCCTTTTTTGTAACCAAGGGGCTAAAATTGAAGAAATTATTTATTAAATTATTAAATACAACTTTGAATGCCCATTTGCCTTCCTTCTCATTTACGGTATGGAATATAGCAAAATGAATTATTATCTTTTTATTTTATTAGTAATAATACAAGTTTTTCTTAACCTTTTGACAATTTATCCAGACAAACTGTGATAAATTACAACTACATATTTTAAAAGTAGTGCGGTATTATTTATTTATGGGAAAATCTACCACTATCAATTGGTTATTAAACATATTCACGTTAGCTTCCTTCAACATTTACAATGTTATTCTGTTATCGAACAAGTCTGATTATACTCTGGTTTGAGATATTATTGTGACCACCAATTAAGTACCACATAGCCAATAATATCTTAAACTTCAGCATTGATACACGAATTTTAGTTTAGGTTAGGGAGGGTTAGGGTTAGGTTCAAAAATAACCTTCAGAAAGTAAGTATAAATTTTTCAAATTGTTACTTTAAAAGAGTGCGGAATCTAGGAAAAACTCTAAATCCTACAAGATGAAATAAGTAAAAAAAGAATACTGGGTATTTATGTCTAGCATTATCAGGAAAATTTAAAGGAAAAACTTGCCTTGTGTTCGGTTTGGTGTGTTAGGTTACGAAGGATTAGGGTTTGGATTAGAGTAAGTTTAGCTTCAAAAATGTAACCTCCAGAA